AAGTTTTTTAGTTTCTACTACAGGATCTGAAAGTGAAATGTTCAGTGAAATTCGGCCCAATCGTGGCTCACAAAAATACGCAAGTTATTTCATATGACAAGTAGAAAACAAACTGTTCAAGGCGAGTGTATTATGAATGAACAACAGCCGAATTCACTAGGAAATGAAGATCGCTCGGAATGACAGCGCCGTAAAACTCGGTTGCAGTGACTGATCTGGCCTCCCACTCAACGCATCGGAAAGGTAATCAGGGCAAGCTCTTATTTTTTCACTCGAAGGGTAGTCGATTCAGTTCCTGAGGCTCGCTCCACTGCGATGACCGATGATCGCCATGATTAGCGAGCTGCGATAGACCTTAAGTCGCTCTGACACCGTCATGATTAGTATGAATTTTAACAGTTATGCCAGGCTATATTTTTCATCATTCCTGTTTTTTTCTGTTTGAAATCGAAACTTTATATATTATACAAGTGTTAGCTGTGTTTGATTTTTATTACCGTACGTAAATTCGCAATCTAACTGAGCGTGAAAACCGTTAAAAAAACTCGGACTGTCTATCTTGTTTTATCTTTGAGGATTTTTGTCTCTGCTCACGTTACAGTAACGTAAATTACTGCGCCTGGAATTTTTGCAAACCTTTGCTCGCTTGTTCCGAAATTTCACTTTCAATTAACGAAAGAAAAGCTAGAAAGAAGCCCCTTCTTCTCGTGGAACTTATTCTTGGAATGTGGAATGATCAAATGATCCTCTCGCTTTAAGACAATTGTTTTATTTTTGCAACCTTTGATTTGTCAAATAACCGTCTTTTTATAGTTTTACAACACAGCGAGAGGTAATGAAAGGATGAAATTATTTTCAAAACAAGATACGGCGATGAGCTCGTTCAGGTCAAGGCGGCTATTCTATTCAATGAGTAAAAAGGGTACATTTCTAAAGAAACTGAGGAGCTTCATCAGGGGAAGAGTATAAAAGGGTAATTAAGTATCATTGACTGAGTTGAACGTAAATTGGCCACCGTAAAGAGTTAAAAAGTTGACGTTGCGAGCGTTAGCCCTTCGTCAGAACGATTGTCGAAGGGCTAACGCTCGCAACGTCAACTTTGAAACTATTTACGGTGGCCAATTTACGTTACCAACTTAGGTGATAATACCTAACAACCCTATTCAGTATTAAATGGTTTATCGATAACATGGCACCTTGCTGCGTAATCGCGGGTGGTCTCTAATTTTAGAAATTTATGCGCAGAATGGAATACGTAAGCCAAGCAATTTCTTTCAGTTTAAAAATAGTGCAACAGCATTGTTGCCTTATCACAACATTCCTCTTAGTAATATTTTTAGTCCGTGATCACTATCATTCCAGGCATTGAAACGAGAAACACCTCTCCCGTAGACTTTGGTTGTTTTGGTTTCGTGAGTCAATGTTGTCGCCTGCACTTGACCCGAAACGCAAGTAATTGTTTTGGCAATTAAAATAACTCAATGATATATATGTATATCGAAAAAAGTTGACCAGTTTGAGAAGAATTGATTGACTACGGAAATATCGATAAAGTTTCATCTCACGCATGCCTAGACCAAAGATACTATCGGCAAAGTGACGAACTTTTCCATTGGCAAGTTGAAGTTCTAAAAACGAGAAGTCTTTTTTTCCAATTTTATTACGATGCGGCTCGCAAAGGGACAATGGGAATTCCATAAAAGTTTCAGTAGATTCAACTACTGAAGAAATTCAACCACTGAAGAAATTCAACCACATGACTGCACATAACATTTACATTTAAAACTGGAGTTTATTTTCCAGAGTTGCGTGACGAGAAGGTTACTAAGGTAATCTGTTTACCCTTGAATTCTCACAAGCGTACGTAAATGGGAAAACAAAGAAGCAGAGTATACTATTGTTCGCCAAATCGCGATGACCGCCAAATTATTTACGCTTCGCCTAACTGACGAAGAAATTCTCTGGGTACTTGACGACCAGACAAAAGAACACAGCTCTCCGGAGATAAAGAAGCTGCAACTTGGTCAAGATTCAATCGCTATCTAATCAAGATTTTCAACATCAGATTTATTCAAGAATCTTCACAATGATAAGAAATAGTATTCACGTTGACTGAAGATCAGGTCAACTTCAAAGATCGGTCAACAATATGAAACATTGACAACACGTAACCCGCGTAACGTGATAGTAGAAAGAAGTAGAGAGTGTTTAAACGGTTTTTAAGTACGTGCCTAAGGGGTTTCCGCTAATTCTCTGCGAGACAAATCAAAGCAGGTTGGGTCGTTTATGAATTTAATTAACTTCGGTGCGTATTTTTGTTCATTTGTATGGACATTGCTTGAATCTTAAAAAGGTAAATTACCTCGACATAGTACACCTCACCCGCAAAATTTTATTTATCAGTTAATGGAGAAGCTTTACAAGGCACGTAGTGAAACCTACCTTTGGCGGGTAAAACCGAAATTCTGGAAAGAGCCTTTGCCGAAGCAGAAGAAAAAACTAACCAAAGGAAAGAGCTTCCTTCCGCATTCGCCTCCATCTTATCGTTTTATAAACAACAACTTCAGTAGTTTGGTATCGTCTGAAGAAGGAGATTTTTGCCAGCTTAAAGATTGCGCTATGTTCAGAAGAAGACCAAGTTGGCATAGGAGACGCTTTGTGCTGTTGGAAGATAAGCTATACTGTTATGAGAAGAGGGAAGAAGTGCTGGTGTTCTTCGAGATCACAATGATGTCCAATGTCACGTCTTTGACTGTTCAGAACTCTATATGCATTAAGATTTCCCAGGTTGATGGGAGTACTAGAATGTTGAGATTCTCGTCTACAGAAGTCAGAAACGCTTGGCTCACGGCCTTATTGACAGCTAAGGCAGTCAATTTACTGAAGTACCAGTAATACTTTTAGAGGCATCACTACTTCAGTAAATAATCGGAACATTCAAGCATGTAATTATTCAAGTTAAATTCTCTCCAGGTATAAATATACTCTTGGACTACTGATAAGGTTTGAAACAATATTGTAATCATGATAATGACAAGACATTTTTTAAAATCTCCTCAGGAAAAATGTAAAAAATTTCAAGGTTAAAGTTAAGTCAAGGTTAAAACAGTATTTATTTAGTCGTTCAAGGTACACAAATATAAATTCCCATGAAATTGTTGCGCTCTTATTTTGTAAAGCCTTTTCATTTAAGTGACCACTGAGATAATTAATCGTAAAACGTGATTACTTTCAATATTCAATCTTTTAAGAGGGAAACAAGCGCCTTTTACCGTCAGATCAATAAATTTGTATATAAATATTTAACTTTAGGAAAAGTCCAGAAGAGTTGGGATTATTCATGAAAAAGTTGATCTTGTTTCGACCATAAAATCCCTTTGATTGCAATGACCCAAACAGGTAAGCTTTAAAAATGTATCTGTAGGTCGCGAACTAAGGATGTCATTCCTTAAAATAGTTCATCTCGTTGAAAATGCGCAGTTCAAATATTAAAATGACTGAGCAACACGAGATGGGTGGCATGTTTACATAGCACCTCTTTAGCTCGTCCGCCAGTCTGAGCGGAAGAAAAGGTCAAATTAAACGAGTTTATTTAAACATGCACTCCGGCGACTAAAAGTATCTCTTACTAGAGTGGCTTCAGAACCACAAATATTAGAGGAATCTTCTGTTTATCTTACCCATTTCCTCCCTTCATTTCTCAAACAGTGATTTTCTTTGCTAATTGACATAGATATGTTAACACTGAGAATTGGGGAGTTGATCAGACAACATCCCTTTTCTTTATTCTTGTCACCTATGAGCTTGCCTTTGTGATGATATCATAGGGGGTTGGAACAGTAAATTGGTCAACAGTCCTGGTAAAGGGGCTAAAACTCTACAATGAAGATCAACAAAAATATGCTTAGCATTTAGTAATGACAGAGAGAAAACCATTACAATCTGGCTACGTGACTTGAACAAGTCTAAACAGATTTTAGGTGGAAAAATCAATGAACACGTATTTTCAGACGCATTAAAATCGAACTTGTTCTCAAAAATTCATCCTTTAATAAGACATTGAAAACATGATAGCGAATGACAGTTTAGGTATGTTGCATTGTACGTGAACTGTAGTTTGTGTTAAATCACAAAGGTGAAAGGTGAGTGGTTACCACGCAAAAAAAATACTCTTACCACTATGCCGCAAGATAAGAAACCACAAAAGTCCAAAGATGAAAAGGCTCTGTTCATCACCCACGCTCGTCACTCGCAGCACGTTCAGTTGAAAGTCTCATTAAATTCAATGTTTTTTCGATGAGACTGAAGTTGAACCACGACACAAATAACATTCATGACCGACACGTTTTGCACACTTCTTTTAATTCGTTTGATTTTGTTTTTGTACATTTTCTTACAGCTACTTCCATTTTCATGAACTGATTAAGCTAATAAAATGCATATGCTGACTAATATATGACGTACGATTCATTTACCTCTACAAAAATATACTTTTAATATGCCTAACTACTGAGTTGCTTTTTTAGTGGACGACTCTCTACAGGTGAGTATATTTTTAAAAAGTTGTGTGACCACAGGAAAGAAAACAAATGAAAGCTAACTATGTCAGTATTTAACAATGGAAAGCCACAAAAAATATACTCTTGGCATATCTACAATTGATATTTAGCAATAAGAATTGACTTAAACTTCGTATTAAAACATTCGAGAGAGAGAAACTTTATGTCACCACTTATATCATTCCAAACTTTAGCACCCTGGAACCATATAATGAAAATTCCATTTAACAAATAGAGAAGCCTTGGTTGTGTTCTGTTCTGTTCTGTTGTAAAGCACACGGGAAACGGTTAGAGCACGAAAGAAGAGTAGGGAGAAACACGAAACGTATTCGAGTATTTCTCTCCACTTAGCCGCTTCCTAAGTGCTTTACAAGAGAACAGAGCACAGTCAAGGCTTCTCTGTTTGTTTTATAATAAAGCCATGATGAGCTAGCCGCGTAGGACCTCAGCAAGATCGCCGTCGCTCTGACACCGTCATGATTACTATGAATTTCCACTGTTATGCCAGTTTGGCTATATTTTTCATCATTCCTGTTTTGTTGTGTTTTATTTTTGAACACGAAACTATAAATGCTACACGAGTGTTAGCTGTGTTTGATTTTTAATACCGTAAGTAAGCTTGCAATCTAACTGAGTGTGAAAACCTTCAAAAATCGAACTTTCCAATTAGTTTTCTCGTTGAGGATTTTCGTTTCTGCAAATTGAGTGATTTAGCAAGAGGATGGGAACGTCATTTCAGAACGGGAAAGCGCGTGGATAATCTGGACACGACTCTATTTCGACTTCCGGTGTAAGGGTTGCTATTCTCCCCAACAAGTTCAGGACGTAATTTCGGGCGATTTGCGTAAATGATGCACTTATAAACGAGATAATGCTGTTTGTAATGATTTCAGAACTCATTTCCAGGATAACCAGGCCCGTTTCTTTGTTTCATTCCACGTATTTGTGAAAATTTACCGCTACATTTATTCTGGATTTCCGAAAGGAAACACGATCGTTAGAAGCGATCCAAGAATTCGGGGTTCAGTTCGCTTTATTGAGCAAGGCTTTAAACGACGTAAGGGCTTTTCTTTGATACATTTCTTTAACACTATATGAAAAATCTACGAATGGGATGCTGTTAGTTTTATTGTGAATCAATTCATCAGTATATTAAACTTGCTTCATGTTGAAGTTTATCAAAATGAAATACCACAAAGCTTACCTACTGTATTATTCAGTGTTATTTGTTGTCAATCTCGTGTTTACCATGATTAAGAAATGTTCTGTGAATTGAAGTCAGAGATAAAAAATTAAAGAATAGCGTGGGTTTGCACTTTTTTATGTCTTGAATTTTTGATCAGCGCCGATGAAAACTAAGACAAGAAAGTCATGTAGCTAGATTTATTATGGATGCTAGCTCTAAGGCTTCTTCTGTCAGATTATTTGATGATTTAAGTTGGTTATCTTTATACGAAGAGGCTAAAATTTCCATATATCTAATTGTATTTGAGAGACCATGAGGAGAAATGCCTGCATATATTACTCGCCTTTTAATACGTATTAGTGATCTTCACTCTCGCAACACTAGATATGCAAACTATAACTTTAAACGTAAATTAGATGGCGGTAAAACTTTCAATGTTACCACATGTCAACTATGAAACAGTTTACCTATCACTATACGACAAATGACATCAGTACTAAGCTTTACAAAGGTCTTAGAGCAATTTTTTTCTCGGAAACCAAAAGAGTTTGAATCCTTTTATAGTTTAATATGTTTTTATTTTTTAGTTTCCTGACTCTGTCATTTAATCCTTGAGATCTACTTTATTTCAGATTTTATCAAACGATTTACAAACAATACTCACGAGCAAGTAGTTAAGACATAATCTATTAACAGTTAGTATTTTTATCGTCCAATTACAGGTCGGAGCCATTCCTGTCTTTAGTCGCGCTGCATAAAGGTGTATGGTTTCATGTTTCGAATGTTCGATCAGCTTTTACGGAATGTTCGGTCAAAATCTGCCGATTTCTACCATTTTCATCTCCATATTGAAAATAACGCTATCACGATGCAACGCAATCAGAGTGGGCACAGAATAAATCGAATCTAAGGCACTGTTTTCTGTTTTGTGAACGCTTAAGAACTCGATCAGCGATCTTCGTCATGAAAAAGTTACATTGGTGACGTTTTCTGAACGGTTTTGACGGCCTCAGTGTAGCATAACAGGAGAAACTTATGTGAGATCGGAAATGGCATCGAGGTTTCTTCGGTATTACTTTGTGAAATCGACGGCGATATTTCGTGTGTTTTTTTGGATTTCGTTTAAGATCGTGGGCCATGCTTGCTTGTAAACTTAACTAAAAACACTGTAACGTAACTCACGCCTATATCTTATGCACGTCCAGCCTCGATTCGGTGCGCCACGCAATCCAAGATGGCGCTGCGTGATAAAGGTGTTTATTACATAGATACTGATGAAATACCAGGATTTTTCCTTTTACTAAAAAATCATATCTTCATCGCGCGCAGTGAAGATACTATTTTTATTTTTCACGTGCGAGGATATTGATGTCGCCATGGTTACTAACATGATTAGCCAATTACAAGAGAGTTTCCCGTTCAGGCACGCGGCCGGTTCTTTTGAAATTACGTAGGAATTTCATCAGCATCTATAAAATAAACAGAACATTACATGGCCGCTTGGGGATACGAATTTTATCTCCTCGTGCTGAAAGTATCTCTTAAGAAATGGTTGACTTTTGTAAGACAAAAGATAAATATCCTGTGTTTTCTTATAAGTATTACATTAGTCGGTAACTAATTACGTTACTCTTTACAAAGTGTCTTCAAGCGAAGTACATTCCTTTTAACATCTCAGGGTGAACTTGGACAGCTTTTGCCAAAATCTGCGGGCTTCTGTCCTCTCCATGACCACCGCTGCAAGACGAACCATTCTCAGGGCTGAATGGAAAAAATTGCAAAAATAGTTTCACTAATATCAGGTGTAACAGAAAGAATTAGAATTTAAACTCACCTTCCTCCAGCTAGCTAAGCTTGGAGCCCTTTACCCCTCGGCTCTCAAATATCCCTACCCCTTGGATTTCAAACCCCCTCTACCAAAAGGACCTCAATCATCCTTCAACAATCAAGCCCTTAATTTACCCGTCCCTTGGGCCTCGTCCCCCCTCCTCCGCCTATCCCCTAAACCGTAGATAACTCCCCCTGTATCCCCTGCCCTACGATTTCAGATTTCATGGGTCTCTCCAGGAACTAAAACTTTTTGCTCGCAAAGCTTCTGCAGCTCTTATCCGGAAGTCAATGAGTCAAATTCCACCAGGTTCAATTTCCCTGCCCGGGAATGTGGTAATATTTTCTGATCTCACTTTTATGGTTAAAAAAAATTCCCAAATTTCCAATCATCATTCATATTTATGCCTTGGCCAGTAAAGTTTATTAGGTTATGTGGAATTTCACCATCTTTCATGACTGGGGACACTCCTCGTCTACCGTGCACAATATCTCACCTTTCCCGTTCTCTTTCTATCAAATGAAATCGCGCTCTGAATGCCACCAAATGCGCATAATACGCGGGGGCTGGTATAGATACTGCTCGTGTGCACCTGACGTAAGTATGACACAACTGATATGTGAGGGCCTGGATCTCGTCTGCTTTGAAATTATTGTCGTCCCACAGGACGTGATAATGCGAAGGTCGGCTGGTGCCCTGCAAGAGGAATGGGCGGGTTCATTAGCGTCTTGTCTTTGTTCTAAACACAACCAAACAAGCCAGGGGATGGTGACACTACGGATCACTTCATGCAACGGAAAGCAGCATTAAGTTGGGCAGCTGCGTAACCCAGTGTTGTATCTAGACTTTTGCTTTTGATAAGAAAGGCCACGAAATACAAATGGCATGAGTTGGGCGTGCTAAGGAGCTTAGAAATCCCCCCGCTAAAGGGAAGAGAGGTCAGAAAACTCTCGAAGAACGATCGGAATTTAAATTCTTCTTCTGATCCCATTTTAAAATAATTAGGTCCTCCCAGACACCAATAAATCCTCGATTTCCGCGAGGCATCTAGGTACGTAGTAAATTCCCAAGATGTGATTGTTGATTCTCCCTACCAGCTGATTCAAACTCCATTGTAAATTTGCCAAGAGAATCTAGTGTTCCATCAAGTTCACATCAGGACCAACTGATACAATGTGTAAGTATTCTCACCAACTGTTTCCTTTATGTTTAACAAAAATCTGGGGAGAGGTTTTATGTTACTCAGCCCTGAGAATTAGAGAGTGACAAAGCCTTACCTGAATTCCAGCGTGACTGCAGAGATAAAAGTCAAACTCAGTGGGGTGAGTTATACCAACATCAACTGTGGTTCCGGGGGGAACGTTTTGACTAATTCCACACTAAAACCAACCACAACAAACAAATTAAATGTGTGAAAACCTAAATGAAGCGGAATCCGCCAAATTCAGCAATAGGAGTAAGGACGCATTGATGATCCGTTTTTTCCCTTTCAACACTTTGACCCCAAAGAGTGGCAAGCATCTAATTTCTCCTTACAATATCATCCCTGAAGAGAATAAGGGAATTGATCATTAGCTGAAGAAGCTCTTAATTTTTGGAAAAATTCCCCTTTTCATTACCTTAGGAAATGTAAAGAGAGCAGAACGGAGAATATGAAGACTGGTATTAGGCTGAAAGGGATTAAGAAACACTTTCCTCCCTTTCTCTTGAGTTGAGCGAAATAAAAATTTGCGCATTCCCGCTCGCATAGCCACACGAGTGGTTTGTTTACAGCAAATTGATGAGTCAAGGCCTGCAGGCGGGGGAAACTAGCGCTAGTGTTCTAACTAAACCTCCAGGAAAACGTTGTGTTTTCCACTACTTTCCTCCCCAAAATTATATTTTTGTACCTAAGAAGATAAATACGCTCTCGAGACATTTTCGTCTAAAATTTACTGTAAGATATTGAAAAAGAGGTAAAACATGGCGAGCCAGTTTCATAAGCCATACCATGTTCTCTTTATCCTGACAGAAAAATCTGGTGTGATGTCTTTTCTGCACAACAATGAAAGTGATGCCCGGCTGGTACCCAACTTCAAGCTCGATACAAGCCTCACGGATGGCTTTTAGTTCGTGACACAACACCTACTGACAAATTTAGCGTCATAACAGTTTTAGTTCTAAAAGTTCGCGAAGAACTTCGTACACAATTGAACACTGACTGGTCTTTCTGCATGTGTTATTGTATGAAATGTTTTTGACACAAGTTTCAAAGTATTACTATCTTATCTAGAATAAAAAAGGAGCAGCAATACTCTTCAGTTTAAACAACTTAAAACGGAAAAATATTCGGCAGGAATAGGCAGCAAATAATATTCACCCATGAACCCCTGTAACTACAATCACTACCTCACCTGTCTAAACTGGCCTTCTCTGACTCCATCACGGTAGAAAATGATCCTGACTGGCTTTTGTCTCGTCGAACGGTAAAACTGAATCAATAGCTCGCGGACCATGGCCGCTAATTCGGCAATGATTTCCTGTAAAATAAATAATTGAGCGGAGTCTAAGATCACGTGAGGGTAGGAATAACAAAATGTTTTCTTCAAAAGCTCATGGAGTGCGACTTCGACTGCATTCTCGCGCGACTATCGTACCTGTCGATGTGTCTGAACTCGAACTGAAGCACAGTACCGGCTGGGATGAGCATCCATACTGCCGACAAACACAAAAAGTTATCTTTAGGTTTTTCATTTATAATTTATTGGTTTTCAAGTCAAAGTAAATTCATATCGCTGAGTGCATTTATACAAATGGGGAAAGTTCTTGCAACAAATTCCACGGGCTTCACTGTGACAATATTGGAGGGAAAAAAGGACACGTAAAAATAACAAGAACAACAAAAACTACGAAACAAAAAGAACAGGAGAGATACCGAATAAAACAACGCTCAACTTACAGCAGCAATTGATGGTCGTTTTTCATCCCCAGCTGCAGGGTGAGTTACATCAGCTCCAAGAAATATCACAGGTTCACGAAACACAGGAAGTCTGTAAACATGGATTCAAATTTTTAAGAACCAGTCGTAATTTATCACCCAAGGGAAAGGGAGGGTACGAGGATTTTGAGGGGGAACGGAGTGGGGGATCAGTCGTCATCAACAAAGTATAAACGAGGGACTATAGAAAATTGACATCCAACGAGTGAGGAAATATAAGAATATTACAGAGCCGTCTGAGGGATCTGGTAAATCTAATCGTGACACGACAAAAGAATAGGAAAATTCCAAGATAACTGGACGTAATTTGCCGAGCATATGCATACATGAACTAGTAAAGAATAACAGACGTGCAAAAAAATCGTTTTCTCGCAGATTTCTCTCAATAACCCAAACTTCTCCCACCCGTTCCAAGCCTGGCATATCCCCATCCCTCCCCCCTTCCCTGCCCCTGTAAGTACCACTAAGTACATCAATCTTACCGAACATCTGGGGCCAAAATATTGTTTATTCCTCCGAGCTTGGCATTTATCTTTAGGCACAGATTTGACAGTGTTTGGGCCTGGAACTTGGTGACGTTCTTAGCTTGCACACACTGAGTAGCGATTCCCAGCATTGTATCACCGACTCGTTTGACTTCAGCTATAAGAGAAATGTGAACAATACAACATTGAGAATATACAATCTATAAAGGATCAAAGTCAAAACATTCAATCAGTGAGTCAGTGAGTCAGTCAGTCTGTCAGTTAGTCAGACAGTCAGTAAGCCGGTCAGTCTGTCAGCCGGCCATTCAGACAGTATTGAAAGATACTCGCACTGTGAATTTGTCGCCTCTCCTTCCTTTTTTTCTTTAACTCACCATATACGGGCGTTTTCCCAGGCAACACAAGAATAATGAGCTGAAGATTGGCAAAGGTAGATTTCAAATGTTTAAACATGGGCTCAACCTGACAAGAAAAAACAAAACGGCAAATCTCTTCCATCTCTTGCACTTCACACATAATTCACGTAAGGTGAAAACTAGAATATAGTTTTGTAAAACGAAGAATGAGGGTCGTGTTTATCTATACAAGTTTCTATGCAAATGTCTTTCCCAGTTGTTTTGCATGTAGGAGATGGGAAATTTTCATTCCTGGTAGTTTGCATTTGAAAATAGTTTCCTTTCCTAGAGGTCTCCTCGGTTTCGAAGACAGATGAAGACAATTGGAACACCTCGAGTGTGTTTTTACCTGAGAGTAATGAAATTTATTTTGAAACGATACACAGAGAACTGCTCAATAAATGATTTTTTAACTTAACTACATAAGTCAAACGTAAGTAAACCTATCACGATGTTAAGGAGAATTTTGAAGTTGAGCTACTCACATCCTCCGCTCTTTTAGCGTATTTACAGAAGCATGGTTCAGATTTGATTGGCATCCCAGTCTCGCCACTAATCTTCATCAGCTGATGGGCGAAGCTCTTCAATACTCTGTCGTTGACTTCCCGTGGGTCGACAAAGCAAGCGATGGCCCAGACTTTTATCTCAATGCCGTGAAATAGCTGCTTCCCCCTCATATCCCATGCTCCTGGAAAGCAAAGCATGAAAATGAAAGTTGGACGGTGCAAAAACAGCATAAAAATATATGGAGACGACGATAGTTTTATAACCAGCGAGTGGAGTAATTTTCTTCATGACAATGAGAATTATCAAGGCTTCGTTCTGTGTCATTCATCTCAGTCTTTGGCTACGGAAGGTAACACAAAACTCTGGCCGAGATTATTTTCGCCATCATGTAAAAATCGAGTCGCGAATAACTGTTTTGTTTCTTTCTAGCGCCTCTGCTGTCATTGTTCTGTGTAAAATCGTCCTTATGTCGAAGTAAAGCGCTCACTTCCTACATCAAGAGGGTTAGACAATCCTGTTTCATTATTTAATGGCAACGGACGTAGTTGGTGACTGGAGAATGAACTAAAAATTCTTCTGAATATACCTCACTTCACTGGGTATAGCATTTGAATTGTTTCGTCATTTTTACTATCATTTAGTGATTTTTCACAAAACTGTTCACTATACCTTGTTTCGGGGAAATTTTCAGTTTGTCCTAAGAAAAAATTAATATTAAATTAGACATATAACAAAAAAAAGTGATATGCAATCAGAGGTTTGGCAATGAAAGTTCTGTAAAGGACGCTTGAAAAATACTATGCAACAACAAATATTGACGTGAATGAAAGTGATCTTCGCAGTAATGTGCACTACTTAGGCAGTAGTGAAAATGAGGCCTGAAAAAAATTCAGGCCTGTACGGGATTTGAACCCATGACCTCTGCGATACCGGTGCAGCGCTCTACCAACTGAGCTAACAAGCCAACTGGGAGCTGCCTAAGTAGTGCACATTACTGCGAGGATCACTTTCATTCACGTCTTTATCCGCAGTTCAAATATATGACTTTCATATATTCTTAACCAACAAATATTAACATACTTCAAACCTCCGTCTCATTGAAAAAGAAATCTATCCTAACTTTTTGCAATTCCTCCACGTGTGGGAGCGCGGTGACCTGGTGGCTGGGTCAATGTGCTGTATTCTTGGGATAAATAATTTTTACTTTCACAACGTCTCTCTTTACCCAGGAGTATAAATGGACACCGGCGAATTGTCAGGAAAGCCTGATGAAATGCTAGGGGTAGTAGCACTACTCCTGGTCGCTTTATGTTATAGGAACCGGGATAAGTTCCAGCTGAATGGGCCCCTTGGCTCGAGTTCAGACTTCACCCTGGATCTTTTTAATTCTTCTCCATTCTTTTCCATCCTCGATCACTTTCACCCATTTGGTTATTTTCTTTACTCGAGGGCGAAAGCTTTTTAAAAGCATTTCAACATCTCCAAACCGGATTTAACCCCCCCAAAAAAAATAATCACTCGAATACAATTACCTTCCCACCGTACTGAAGCTTTGGGGCCTGAAGCACCCGCCCTTGAAGGTCCACCATTTTGTCGTTAATTGAGATTCCAAAATCGTTGACATATTGGTCATTGTTGAAGTCAGCTTTCCTGACCTAAAGTCGTACGTGAGCGGAAATTAAAAACATGTCATTGTCTATAAGAAGCTTCACTGAATAGAAATGCTGGAATACAAACCTAGAAAGCTGGGGTCTAACCCTTGTAACGGTAATATACTTGTTTTCTTTCAGTATGGCCTGCAACAGCGTTTTTCAGTGTAAACAAAGCATGCAGAACGCAATTCCGAAAGCGTTAAATTTTCAGAAGGAAGGTGAAGTGCTTCCGCCTTCTCCTGTAATATTTTATTACGCTCCATATAATTCTGTCATCTACTTTGCACAACGAGCATACGTACATATTGATTAACAACATCACATGACTCGCATTGGGGAAAAGGCTATTCTGAAAAAATCAGAAAAATTCACTAATCAGATATGAATGTCAATCCGTGGTATTCCTCACCAGATTTAAGATCTCTTGTTCTCTCTGCGGAGCACTCTTTGCTGTTGTTCTTATCATCATAGACGTTTGTTTATCAGTCAACTTCTTGATGCAGCGCTGACCTGCCACAAGGTTACACACTTCGATGGGAAGGTAGGTGTGTTTCTGTTCTTGCCCGACTTGAAGGCAAGGCAGATGAGGGTATCTACACGAACACACGAACAAAGAAATAAAACGAGGATTAAATAAAGGAACGTACACGTACCTTTGCAGATGGGACGATAAGTGACACAAAGTTTGGTAAGCTAGAATATTTATCAAAAAGTCTGGGTTGAGACCTAGCCGGGTAATAATGACGTGTTCTTTGGAGAGACACTTAAGTCGTACAGTGCCTCTCTCCAACTAGAGAATGTATGTTTATTCATGCAATAAGAACTGATATAATTACGCCGTCACGTCACTTAACCATATGAGGACAACGGAACGCGCAACATGTGCCACGGTATTATATTGTAGAACAGGGCAAATGCTTACGGTAAACGCCCTGAACGAAAATTTAATGCCATTCGAATTCTTAGTGTTGGTGATAAATAGCACTTTAATTGTTTCGTTTCGCCTGTTTCCGTTTTCGCACACGGATGCAATTCTCAAACGACGACGTAGGAAGTATTTCGAAAACTGGACGTTAAAACACTAGAAAATGAAATAATAGTCGAATATTAAACCATAAAAAGCTATGAGTCACAATAATGGAATCTACTGAAGTAAAATAGGTGAAAAATTACTGCTTTACTCACTGAAGCCTTCTCTTGTGTTTTTCCTGAAAATATCTGGCCACTGTGATCTCACAGGGCTGACCTGTTTCCATTTGTTTTAGAGGGAACTTCAAAGTTTGTGCCGGTAATTTTGTTACATTGATGACACGATATTTTCTCTTCATTGATCCACAGTGTGTAATCTCTACCTTCAGACCTGGTAATGAAAAATCAATATATATATATATCTATTTAACAAATAGATTCCAAGTTGCCGTGCGTCTGTTCAGTAATAGATCACAGATGACGTCAAAATGTGGTAAAAAAAATGGAAACCTCTGTCCCACATGTGCAAGAGCAATCAAACAAGTATAAAGTTAACCAATTTGTAACATCCAAGAAACAACATGATGAATTAAAACGTGTCTAGACATTTTAAAAAATTGTCCGGACAGGTTGGCATTCCAGTATTATCAAGAGATAATACTTAGGGATTGCGGTTAGAATATACTGGATTGAACTAATAAAAAAAACCTAGTTGAGCTACAAGTACATTTACCTTTAAAATTTGGAACCTATAATGTAACCATATTTAAAAGCACATTTAAAAAAGCATTTTCTTCATTGTAGCATAATAACAGTAAAAACAACAATTACAACAAAATCTGCTAAATATCTGTCAATGTCAACCATGCAGATAAGCTATATTTTTCCAAATTACTTTCAATAATATTAATAAAACAAAAAAAGAGCATGATTGCACAGTGAAACTCTTCTTCAATTATTTTTCCCAGTCTACACGTATCTATCATCCTCGCATATGCACACAATACGTGGCTCCATACCTTTTATCTCTCGGGTGAATTTCAGTCTTTCTGCATCAGACAATGGTTTTGTCTTTTGAAGATCCTGTTCTTGTCTGCGAAGGACTTCACACATGAACTCTACAACTGGCTGGCATTTATAGAATGCTGTGGCTGAAACTATGATCAAGTCAAAAGATAAAATTTCTCAGTAACATCGTCAGAGTTTTAGTGACCGGTAACTATCTATCTTGATAAACAAAAACTTCAGACAAATCTTTGGGTACATTTATACTCTACTGTTAGTGGAGGCTACCGCTTATGTTACCCTTCAACCCTTTGACTCCTTAGAGTGACCAGCATCTAATTTCTCCTTACAATATCACCCCTGAATTACACACTAAGGTCCCAAGAATAAAGGACATGATAACCAACTAAAGAAGCTCTTGATTGTTGAACAAAATAATTCTCCTTAGCCATCACCCTAAGAATTGTAGAGAACACAGCATGTGTTATAGACACATGATTTTCATGTCCTAAATTTGTCTGTATAATTTCCTTGCATAATTCTCCCTTGATTTCAAGATACAGTCCTACATCAGCAGTATGTATATGACACACTTAAACAATTCTATAGTGATATAAAGTAGTCATTTTTACACTAACCATAAATGTTCAGCATCATCTTCCACTGTGATGGTCGGACACTCTGATGAAAGCCAAACCAAACTTCACGCCCACTCTCCAGGGGATGGTAATAGCCTTCTGGCTGCGAGAAGAAAGATCTTCCAACAGGTATATACTTCATAGATGGCAAATGTCTTAACACCACATCAAGAGCCTGGATGGTCTCAAAAGGGATTTGATTGTGTTTTCCTTCTAATGCTTGTTCCAGTGCAAATAAGCTGACTTGTGCTACCCATTTAACAGTCACCTAAATCAAAATCACAACATACTGTAGCGTGGTAGAATAGAAGGGAGCCATTTGTGTCTACAATATAAGACCAAATCTTGAACCTGTGTACAGTACACAAAACTGTTTCACTGCTGACAGGCACCTTTAACATGTGCAACTCCTCTACATTCTTAGCTTCTTGTATGACAACTGTAAATCCTCAACTACCAAAATCTCACAATCATTATTTCTTATAAAGAAAATGTACTTTAACAAAATACTGTTGGAAGTATCCAGGCATAAATTACCATGCTAGAAATATATAAGTAGCAAAGATAATAAGTGCATTCAGAGATGTCAGTGATTTGTAGCTTTTGAATGTGATATTTTTCTTTATTCTCATTACATGTCTGCTTGATATCGTACTGATAATGTAAATAGAAATTATGTCTAGGTCACTAATGGGACTTAAAAGGTTAAAATACAGTGTAAGCTTTTTAAACCTAAACTCACTGTTACATGTACTTCTGAGAATTTTGTAAATAATCTCACTTGAGAACAATATCTCTTATTTAATATTTTCCTTTATTCTCACTATTGGTTTGCTTGACAATGTATAGATCTTTTAAAGAGAAACAAATTGTTGGTCACTTCTGGGAGAAAAAGAGTTTAACCAGACATTTCTCTCTACGATAGCAGAAACCTACACAAAAAGAGGAGTACCAGAGGATTGGCTGCTGAATGCCAGTATAACCTGTACAAAAATCTGTTATTTTCTAATAGCTATGTAACTAATTGTTTGACAAATAAATTTTTATGACACCTGGTGGGAAAAATGAATATAATAAAGTGTGATTTTTAATAGTACTGTAAAGTTGTGATTATGATGTAAAGCAAGGTGAAAGAAGTTGTTGCTAAGCAAAATTTCAAAGCTACTCTCACATGAATTCCTTTTCTTACCTTAAATACCTTGTCTTTACTGTTCTCAGTTGGAAGTGTTACTTCAAAATCAATCTGAAATTTTCAGTATCTTAAATTAAAAAAGTTGAGGCAGAGCAACACTCCCTAAATTCATCATTTTAGTAATGAAAATACTACTACTACTGAAGGATTTCTATAAGCAGCAGCTTATTCCACTTTACAATGCTTTCTAGAGGACTTCGGCAAGACTCCATAAAACCATTAATAATTTACTGAAGGAAATCTTTGCAGATGCCCCTAACTTCCAAACACAGGCCTGACCACCACAACAGGGGCTAGGTTCTCTACTTACGATTAGTGCAGGGGCTATTTCTTAAAGAACTACTTCACTTATTGCAATTATTAATGGAATGAAAAAACTGTTTTAGAACCACAGGTGCCAAGTTGGCAGGGTTACTGAGCTGGTTTTGAATGGTTGTTTGTCAGGGTGAATGTGTATGGGGGCTGTTAGAAATGTCTAAACTGGAAAATTTTTAACCAAACTGCAGCTTAGTGTTGGTTTCACGGGGAAACCAAAACCAGAGTATATGTGTTTGGATTCTTCATTGGATTTGTGGCCATCTGGTAATTTTGAGCTTGGATTATTTGCTTCTCGGATTGGGTGTTCGGAAATGGAGTGTGCAGCCTTGGGCTTCACTTATGTATGTAGTAACCTAGAAATGGATAACTCGCCAGAATGGGTTCTTTTCAACATAGTAAGTGATCAGATAAAAGGCGATGCACTGTGAAAGTAGGTGCAGTATTTTTTTGGAGAATTTGGGGGGGACTGTTTATTTTATTCCTTAGAGCGGTCGCAAATATTCCCACAAAAAATCTTGTATTCGCCATGACTCTTATTTCGCAAGATGATCATCACACAACTGGAGCTTGGGCCGCATGTAGATCTACAATCAAATTAGTTGAACGACTCGCATTCACTAAAGTGTCGCAAAATTGTAAAGGTTAAATTTAAAATCACGACATCGGACAAAGAATTTTAACCTGGAAAAATAAGTTCCATCGAAGAGGAGAGGTATCAATTAGCACTTTCCCTAGACAATGCAAGAAGACAAGGTAAAGATGATTGAAAACAATATAAATTTAGATCTTACGATCACATGCATGGCAAAATAGTTGCATGTTTCTACAGTTCACACTTACTGGTTTTCGTCCGATCGGCAAAGCTTTACTGCTATAGAGGTTTTTTCTTCCATCGAAAACAGGCCTTTGTCCTCCAAAAACTTTGTGATATGTGTTAACCATCGCCTCGACAACATCTCGGTTCACGCGCCTTGGACACTTATCGGGGGATATACTAAGATCGTAATGGTGTATGTCTCCTTTAGGAAGGCGAACTTGAAAAAAATTTGTCCTGAGAGCGATCGGTCTTCCCACTGTTCCAAAGTTAGGTCTTTTCGGAGGGGCGAAATCTCCACCGACACGATTAGCTGTAAACATAAACGTAAGTTACAAAAAAAGAAATAATGAATCCAAAATGGCCGTCTATTTCACACAATAAAACCAAAAAAACCTGGGTTATTCGATGCCATTTCCCATTTCACATAAGTTTCTCCTGTTATACTACGTTTTCGCCATCAAAACGGTCCAAATGGAAGACATCACAAATGGCGATCACAAATATAACTGTCTTTTCATGACGACGACCATTCGTCACAGTTCGAAAACTGAGACATGATGAGTTAAGGTAATCTACCCGTATCCGCACCCTCCCCCCCAGCGGTGAAACGAAGGCGAGGGAGCTCCCTCGCCTCCGTTTCACCTCTGTGGGGGAGGGTGCGGCTGCACGTAGGCTAAACTAAATTCTACAGGCAGGAAGTACGCCCGAGGAGCACTAGTAACGAGTTTCTGAGTCGGGTGATTATCGGGACAGAGCGAGTGACAGGGTGGTGTCTCGTTCGTTTCTTTACCCCTGAAAGACCACTGGGAACGAGCGTCTGCCATGAGGAGAGTCCACGTGAAACTCAAGTCAAATTTCATTCTGTTTCTCATTTTTACTGAATAAACAGTAGGTTGAGAAGTACCGCTGTGGTGCGATGGTCAGCTTGCTGGATTCCAGATCAAAATGTGCCGTTTCAAACGTGGCAGGGTCAATTTAAAGTATTGTAAGGACAGACACTTCAAGGTCACTGTGACTTTCTTCACCAAGTGGGTGAAATTGGTTTCAAGTGAGCTATCAAAAAAAGCCCTCTGGGTGTTAGCCGCGATGGAATAGAATGCCATCCAAGGAGAGTAACATTACTCTTAATATTTTCATGCAATGGAAGGCGGAGTGAACCGCAAGCTGTCATCGAGGCTGAAAATATTTAAGCGAATAGTTAATTGCAGAGGTAACTATTTCTGGTCGAGACTTATAGTGCGAGAGATCTGGGTTTGAGCCCCAGCTGGGTCATTTCGTTGTTCTCTTTCCCTTCACCCAGGAGTTTGAATGGATACCAGTTTACTATCATAAATTAGTAGTCTTCTCCCCTCCCCTCTACTGTCCACTCTAAATCTAACTTAAACATGTCCAGTCGAATAAACGATCGTGAGCTTGTCCATACGACGGCTGGACAAAATAGAGACGAATAAATTAAATGAATTGAATATTTCTTTGCGGTAAATGAAACCAAACCCATCCAAACAGACACAGGCATGCATTAATCAGTTTAATTTAAGCAAATGAAAAGAGAGAAATATCTTCATGGCATGTTCCGTTTTTACATAATTGAAAAGCCTTAACAATATAAAAAAAACCACTCGAATCTTTGAGTGCTATTGTTAATTTCCTTATCTTTCGATGAACATTTAAATAAGAAATACTGCAATTTTAACAATTTTGGATCAACCCTGAGTGGAGAACTTTTCCTCAAAACTAAATAGGCGGAAAATTCTTACCAGAGCATCAAACAACAAAAAATCTCTCACTGAAGCCAGAAAAACAAATAAACGAACAGATCAAAAATAGTAGGGCGAATTTCTGAAGCAAAAAAGAAACAGTAACAAACACAACACTTGTGCTACTTAAGACAAAATCATCAACAAATACATATAATTCCAATTAAGTTTTTTTGAAACTAGCTTTAAAATCCTGTTCCTTTTTTAAACTTTTTACACTCAAAAATTCTCAATTGAGAACAGTATATACTTAAATTAGTTCTGTTAAATCAGTGCTTCCCCCCCGTTAGCCCTGCAAAGATTTTCATTCATTCCTATCAGTATTTGGCCTTCTAGTAAGAGCGAACTGCTGGGGGGACAGAGGCACAGTCTTTCTGATCCAGAGTTTCGTCGATAACTCCTCGATAATCCAGGGTTGTCTACAAGGCAAACAGGACAGAAAATCAGTCTTCAAAGGGGAGAAAGGGGAAACCTCTTTGGAAAATGAATTTTGTTTGCCCAATATTAAAAAAATCAAAGACACAGAAAATTATCTCCACAACAAAAACTTTGCTCCAAAACAGAGGAACAGAGCCCACAAGGACTAAAGCTAACCTTTGTGGTCAATAAATTACACTCAAATTTTTCCTCACTAACATTATCTTTCTGCAGGGTAGAGGGAGGGGAGAAGATGGAGAAGAAACAAAATACTATGTATGGTCCCCTTGGGAAAAATTGAACAAGAATGTTGACATACCTCTCCTGTATTATGTTCAGTCCAGGCCAAGGTATGTTTTCTCCAGTGGCTATCAAACGGACGCTTTGTTTGACCTTCCAGTGGCTTGGAGTAGTCATACTCATCGATACGTTCCTACAGAGGATCAAAAAGAAAGATCAACAGGACAAGCAAGTTTTAAGCCCTTAGTTCCATCATTAGTGAGTCGATAAACCAATTTTTAATTGAGTGTTGAAAGTAATTCGGGATTGCTTTATTTTGTTCTGTTATTGGTCCAGAAAACTTGCATCACCCTCCCAACCAATCAGTTACAAAACTAACACCAATCACGACTTGATTCCTTGCACACATTAGGCAGTTTGGATGGTTTTGTTTGATTTCTCCTCGGCTCTTACAGGAATTTCCCTTTCTTCCAATTGGCTGCTGTGATTACATTGGTTTTGGTTTAACAACACTCAATTGAAAACCGCCCTTAATCAGTTAATACTTTGTCAATCGAGTAACATCAACGAGTTTGTGAACTTTACCATAAACTCTATTTATTTCGTTTTTTCCTTGTATAAGGATCCATTGATTCAAAATCAGACACAATCTGCCAGTTCGGAATGGAACGGATTGAATGAAGCGGTAGCAATGCAAATGGAACTTAGCTGCCCACAATTAGACAGAACTGTCTAGATTGATTGATAGATTCTATTGATTGATTGATAGATTCTATTGATTGATTGATAGAGAGATTCATTGATAGATTCGGCATCCTTCCTATCAATGAAAGGAAAGTAAAATAATCGCAATCCCGCATTCATTTCGACAATCACTTGAAAATCACTATTAACTGAACAATACCTTGAAATCCTCTCGAGCGTGCGCACCACGACTTTCCTTACGAGCCTCCGCTCCATAAAGAGTCTGCTTGCAGTTGATGAGAAGATTCTGTAGTTCGAGTGTTTCAACCAAATCTGTGTTCCACACCATGCCACGATCAAACAACTACAAATTAGATAACAGGAGAGGAAGAGCAAAACTTAAACTGTGCAAGAAATAGGTTAAATTTCTCTGCAAACTTGTGACTGCAATGGCCCACACTGTGAGAACCTTAAGTGAAAGGGATGAGGGGGAGGGAGGGGATGGGGGAGGGGTATTTACATCATGTAGTTACCACCTTGATACTCCTGCCCACCCTTTGGTTTGAAAATCTAAAACATTGGTAACAGATTACCCAAGAAAACATTGAGTTGAGGGGCAGTCTAAAAAATTTTTAAAAATTACTTCAAAAAAACCTTGAGCACAAGTCTGGTTCTCAAAAGCAAAGTGCAGTTTTAAATGACCACGATATGAGACAGAATTAGGCAATTGGTGAAAAGCTTTAGGGCAAAACAAAAGTCCAATTGTGTTTGTACCTTGAGGTCTTCTGTCTGGTTGTAGATATCATCAATCTTTCGGCAGCCATCAGCCAAGACTGTACCAGTCCTAAATACAGCTGCGTGTTCCTGCATAGTCTGGAAAGAACCATGAGAATAATAAGTCGTTTAGCTTCTGAGTTTCCACTTCCCAAGAGCCACCACTAAGTGCTCTCCCCTCTCAATATCAGTTAACCTTTTAGCTCCAATGAGTAACCAACACAGAATTTCTCCGTACAATAACAATACAACATCAACCAGATAAGTGATGAGAATACAGAAAAAAATAATATCAATTTAAGGATAATTAGTTGATCCAATACTAAATTCTCTGAACTAACATTATAAGAATTGCATGGTTGACAGTAAGGAGAGTTACAAATTTGATCTGAAAGTTAAAGGGTTAAAGCAGGATGATAACAAGAAAGCAACAAACTCAGCTAGGAAATATTGTTTGATTCAGTGCCAAATCTTCTTTGATCTCTAACCATTCACAATTCTATTCATTCATTTGGAAAGTTTAATATGGGTCAAAGGTACCAAAAAAAAATGACTCCAAAAAAGAAAGCAAACAATCAAAACAAAAACAAAACCGAAAAAGTTAGAAATATCCCCAAATGTAATAGTACGTATGTTAAAGACCAACTTCTGATTCTGTGCATAATTTGACATGAAACTTGTGCTGTTCCAGAGGAAAAAAGATTGTGCAAATAGAATGTTCCTCCCACTGTTCTCAAAATGCAACTTTTACCTTTTGCATGTCCATTCTCAAATCTGCAGTAGGAGTACTGCCATTAGCATATCGAATTTTGTCCAAGTTAGCAACAGACTCCTCTCCAGCATTCTAAATCAACAAAAAAGAATTTATATAATTATCCTCCACTCAAAACACAATGGAACCATTTTCATTCATGTGTACATAACTCATTTCTTGTCTCTATCTACTACTAATAGACACTTCCTATGAAATAATTCCCATAAAGCTCTTAACACAATTTGCTCATCCGCAGCCATAGTTTTGTTTCTCAACTTAAATTTCATGTTTCTCTCATGTAATTACAGACACTTCACATGGAAGATTCTCATATCCAAGAAGTGATTAGAATATAACTCCTCCAAACAACACAAATAAATTACACCAAAAGCAGTCGATGAGATGAGAAAATCTTATCACATATTTTGGCAGGGACATGGTTTATTGTCCATTGCCATTTTTGAGAGTTAGCTTTAAGAGAATAGATAGCTGCCCACCAAGGAAAAATATGTCGCTGTAAGAGATAGAAGGAAAATGCTTTACCAAAGGAAGCTCGGGAAGTGTCTCATCCGGCTTGTTAAACTTAGAAATGAAATTTGCACATGCTCGTCCAAACACAACCAGATCCAACAAGGAGTTAGCACCCAGTCTGTTTGCACCATGGACCGAGGCACATGCAGACTCTCCAGCCGCCCAGAGGCCTGGCACGACTTCATCTTTGCCCTCCTTCTTCGTCAAAACCTGGAAATGGAGAAAACTTTAAATTGTTGAAAAACTTCTTTCTAACTTGTCATTGGCCGTTTTATTTGACATGGCACTTTTTCCCCAATAAACAACAAAACAGTACAATAGAGAGTGCCATCAGAGCCTCAATTGGGTTAAGCATTAAAAATTGGAGGCACAAAAGCAAATGGGAAATTTCACTTCTGTTTTGTTTACTTCCCTTTTCATCCTCACCAAGTTTCTTCAGAGGAAAAGACAATTCTCATAGGGCACATATTTCCACGTTGTTGCAAACCACAGAAATAGCGATTGTAAAAATTCAATTATTGAGCAATGAGTGGTGAAAAAGAATGACCATTTTTGCTAAGTGAACTTAAACTACATGTAGATGTTCTTGCAATCTCACAGCAGAAGACATTGGGAAGAAGACAATGTTTCTCTCATGAGTAGCAAACCCAAGAGAGGACAGAGGGGATTGGGGAAAGGGATCACAACACCTACCTGACCCATGTAATTTGTGGGGATACCCCCCATGTTGTAATGTACTGTGGGAATAACAGGGATGGGGTCCCTGGTCACATCGACTCCAGCAAAGATCATGGCTGTCTCTGATATTCCAGGCAACCGTGTCTTGAGTGTCTCAGCTGGAAGATGGGACAGTTGAAGGTACACATGATCTTTGTCTGGCCCCACCCCTCTGAAAAGAAAATCAAATGTAAGTTAAGACAACCTTAGAACTGGCAATAAGCTTAACTCAGGGCTGATCAGAAGTCATAAAATACTTTGTAAACTAACCTAGAGAAAGTAATCCTTCTTCAGTGTAAAATGAAAAAAAAAATTGGAAGCTAACCTTCCGATTGCAAATTATTTTCTATACCCCTGTGGCTGCTAAGTTGCACCCATAACCCAAAAAATAACTACAATAAAGAAACAAACTTGCTTATGTACTCACCTTCCTTCTCTGATCTCAATTGTCATTGATCTGGACACGACATCTCTTGATGCCAAGTCTTTAGCTGTAGGAGCATATCTCTCCATAAATCTTTCTCCCTAAAGAAAGGACACCATAATAAATCAAGCCCAGAGAATGTGATCAATTATGCCTGATAGATCAGAAATGATTCTAAAACAAGTACAGAGTACACAGTTCAGTACCTCACTGTTGATAAGATAACCTCCTTCTCCTCTGCTTCCCTCAGTAATCAGACAACCAGCGCCATAAATTCCTACACAAAAATGAACAAATAAATCTTTAGTCTTTTAGGTAGTGATGCAATTATATAGCACATTCTCAATATCAATATGCTCTTCACAAAATTTTGCAGGGGACTTTTGGCCAGGTTGCATTAAGCAATTTACAATTTTTGAAACAAAATTTGAAGGTGCTACCAATTTAAGAATTTTGGAAAATAGGCCAGAACACAAAAAAAATTTTAATTGGAAACAAGTGGAAGGTACCATAATTAAACTATAATAGGTGCTGTAGACTTCAGTGAAATGGTTGTCTTAGTCATTATAAGAGGTTTTTGGGCAGGGTACTTTATTCTCAATTGTCTTTCTCCTCTGAGGAGTTAAAATCAATGAAGGAAAAAAAACTATTCAGGAAACATTCTAAAATGCTGGGGATGAATTAGTGGCTAAAATATAGGGGTTCAAAATCACTCCTGGAGGGAGAACATGTATCATGCTGCAGAAACTGGGAAGTTATAATGTAGATCCTCTTTTGTAAAAAGAACTTTTCTTGTAAAAATACCTGTTGGATGAAACTGGACAAACTCCATGTCTTGGTTAGGAAGTCCTGCTCTTGCCACCATAGCTGTTCCGTCTCCAGTACAGGTGTGTGCTGACGTACAGGAGAAATAGGCACGGCCATACCCACTAGAGGAAACAAACAACGAATTAGCCAAATATCCCTAAAATGAACTACATTAGGCATATGCACAACAGTATTGCAAATGAAAAGAAACAGCATTGAAAGACTGCATGTTTACTTTTAACCTTGTAACTTCCAGAAGTGATTAACAGGTAACTTCTCCTAATAATATCCACAGATTATCCAACAAACTGGTAATGAGAATTCTCAAACTTATCAAGTAGAAGTTATTATCTTGATCTTATATCAAATTCTTGTAAATATTTTTCAAAGAAATGTGTAGCAGCTAGAGGGGAGGGTTAAAAATCAGATCTTGGGAGTTAAATGGTTAAAGATACAGTCAACAACAGTTATTGTTAAAAGGTAAATCCATTGTGTATATAACAGTAATCACTAACATACCCAGTTGCTATCACTGTGTTCTTTGCCTTAAATCTGTGAAGTGACCCATCCTCGAGGCACAAGGCAATAACTCCCACACACTTTCCTTGGTCCATGAGGAGATCCAGTGCAAAATACTCCACAAAATACTCTGTTTCATATCTCAAGGACTAAAGAAGAAATAATTACAAATGAAAAAACAAAAAATATCAATGTAACTCAAAACTGAAATCTAAGTTTAAATTGTTCTTGCATGTACCTCCTAAAACAAACCCCTACCCAACCTTACCCCCTAAAATATATTTTTTTCTTCAAACATACTCTCCTTACCTGGCCATACAAAGTGTGAAGCAAGGAGTGACCTGTTCTGTCAGCAACAGCACAACATCTGTGTGCCTGACCTCCCTTACCAAAATTATAGCTCTGACCACCAAATGCACGCTGATAAATCTGGCCCTTTTCTGTTCGACTGAAGGGCATTCCATAATTTTCAAGCTGTACAAAAGAAAGGAAACAATACAAACACTTTAAATTTGTTTTACTTACTATTTTTATGAATGTTTGCTTGTCTGCCAGATGAACAATGACTCTTGAGAATGTACTGTACCATGCATGGAATGTCAAACTTCCAAGTTTAATTTTAACATGATACATGTATGTACCTTACAGAGAACTAATTCACATTGACGACAACTTTTGATTGTTTGTCAAAAGCAATCCAGAAATGTGCTGCTCTACTGCATGTACATTTTCTCGACTGGTAGAAACAAACTTAAAAGAAGAAAAATTGTAACTACTTTCTAATTTGCATTTTTGACGCTTAGTGCCGGTTGTGAGTTTATTGTAAGCTTTTCATGGTTCATCACACATGTGTTATTTGATCTAATTGGCTAGAATTATTAGTTTGGCTTTAAAAAATTCAAATAAAGGGGGTAGGTTTCTGAAGAAACTGTGGTGCTGCATCTGTGGGAGAGTATAACAGGGTAAAACTCCCACCCCAGGGTAAAACTTCCACCGTAGGGCAAATATGTGAATTTTCATATCTAAAATCTTCATTCACTTGGATGTTTATTTGGACCCAATTCATTGACCAGCTCCCAGTTGGCTTGTTAGCTCAATTGGTAGAGCGCTGCACCGGTATCGCAGAGGTCATGGGTTCAAATCCCGTACGGGCCTGAATTTTTTTCAGGTCCTATTTACAACTACTCGTTTCAGTAGTGTTCTTAGCTGCGAGGATCTCTTAATTTCATCTTTCCACCGCAGTGCAAATATGTGAATTTTCATATATCTAAAATCTTCAGGGTAATTTAGTATTATCAATTAAGTTAATAACGTAAAGGTTTCGAGCATTAGCCCTTCATCAATTGCTCTGACAAAGGGCTAATGCTCAAAATGTCAACTCTTTACAATGGTCAATTTACAACATTCATTTGAGAAGCACATACCTCAATCACTGACTTTGGTGCTTCCTCTGTCATGTAATGAATTGCATCCTGATCCCCAAGCCAGTCACTCCCTTTCACTGTGTCATACCTGTACGTAAAACCCCAAACAAACCAGTAACATAAATAACATTTGAATACATTGTTTTCACGAAGACTGCATAACACAGCTAGTGCTGAATCCCAGAATTGGAGGTGCAAAATTGGTGTCAACAAAAATGCAAAAAAGGCAACTTTGAAACAGACTAGCCACTGAACGTTTTCTCAGCAGATAGATGCCAACAAGATAAATATTGGGAAACTGGAAGAGAATGCCTGTAGCGGAATAGAATGTTTATAAAAACAGAGAAAGCAGCGATAATTACATTCCTCGCCATAAAAAGATAACAAACTCACATATGCCAACGCCAATCATCAGGTTCCATGTTTCCAAGAGCAGCATTGATTCCTCCCTAGTAAATAAAAACAAAATTCTTTGGGCACATCCTGCATACATGTAGATGACATTTAATTTAATTGAAAACATGTTATAATCCATTTCTTGATATTATTCTTTATTCTCAACACTTGTCTACTTGATATTATATTTGTATTGTAAGGAGAAATTCTGTCTTGGTCAGTTTTGGGAGTTTAAGGGTTAAAGTAATTGACTGCACTTTACATTGATTCATTATATATTGCTGACACAATAATCTTCAAGGAATCTGCAGGAAAAATATGGGAAAAGGGTGATAATCATATGTCCTGGCACGAATTTTTACAAACTTTTCTTGTGCATTGCTTAGGATTAGGTAATCATACCTTATGAGCAAAAAGGTGATGGCTATTGTTAAAATAACTAGTGCAAGCATAACACTTTATTTCTATTTGTGTGAGGGATGTAACTCAAACAATTGGTAGACAACAAACCCTGTATAGACTCTGTTTAAGTTTGAAAGTTACTTTAAAATATGATTTTAAATTAAGTAAAAGCGTTAACCTGTGCTGCAACAGTATGTGATCTTGTTGGGAAAAGCTTGGTGATACAAGCAGTTTTAAATCCTTCATGTGCAAGACCAAAGGCTGCACGTAAACCAGCACCTCCAGCACCAACAACTAAAGCGTCATAACTGTGGTCTACCACAGGATATTCCCGTGATAACTGCAGGTAGATAAGAAGAACACTAGTAGTTAATTTAAGCACACAAGTAGACTTGGATATTCAAAATATGATTTGCCATTATCATGATGACTAGACTGCAACCATGACACTCTCCTAAGTTATCTCTATAACTCCTCAAATCCAATTGGTAATTCTCACTTCTGTTTGTTAGATATCCTTATGAGCAAGTGGGAGAATTTAATGTTCTATCCAGGTAATTCCCTCAAATCGACACATTTCTCCATTTTACATATGATTATTGTTTGGGGAGCTACATGTTCATTAATTCAAGAAGCTAAGGGGTTAATTTCATTCTGTGTTTTTTTTAAGTGTGCTGAAACATGTTTGCCAATACACTTCATTTGAAATAAACTGGCAAAATTTCTGCACAGCCACATACTGCTCTAAAACAAATCTGTTTTCCCAATGGCAATGTATTGTTTTTGTCATTGTTTTCTCTATCCAAGAACTGAATGCATAATGTAGTACGGGGCTGTGCGGAAATTTTACTCTCAAGACGAACGATTATTATGATATTCAATACGATCATGTATTTCCATACATTGCATAATTACTGTCTAAAAAACCCTCAAGAAAAACATGTTCAACATACTAGCCAGTGTAATAGAAACCTGTGATTTTTTCTTTGGTTCTATAACGAAATTGAAAATTAAGGGCCCACAATAGAGCGTGACCGCCAGCCTAAACTGTTGTCACGCAATTCTCATAGTAGAATTGAACGTTTTCGTGTCAAAAATGCGGTCAAAAAGAAAAAAATCAACACATTTGTTCAAATTTAAATATTCATTATATAGCCAATATACATTTATACCCAATAAATAAAAGTGATTTCTCTGCGCCGTTACATCATGAAAAGTCGCACGGAAACGTAATCTGCATCGTAAATATCATGTCCTATTACATAACGAAATCATGTAAGACTGCCTTTGCCATTGTCATCGCTCGATAAATTCTTAAGTTTACGAAATAATTCCCAAAAAAGAATAGTTTCTTTCAAACCTGTCCCTTCGCCGTACCATCTTGTGATCGTCTTCCTTCAATTTTAAAATGAAAAGCCCTACAACCGGACGATCGTAAGGCACTTCTCGCCAACCCGGTTGACTGAAAAGAAATGGACACAGAAGCTGTAAAAGCGAACTGAGCGACATCAGCGAAATTTGAATAGTTTCTTACCTTTATAGAGAAAAGAAGAGACCTGCTCTTCAGTCCTGAGATCATGGCTTGAAGATGTTTAAGGACACAAAAGAACAGGACTACTTGGTCTAAACTCGTCGACTCGATTCTTGATTTTTCTGCTAAATCCTACTGTGCATGTTATTATGAATAAATCCGCTGACCTACTTTATCTCTTTAGAGCCATAAGTGGACCCGACGGACACTCATTTCTCCCTCTGAGAGCACCATCCTCGTGTCTTATAATATTACAAAAAAAAAGAAAGAAAAAAAAAGATGACAGAAAATTAAGGAGTAAGGATTTTCGTTCAAGTTTATAAAGAAAAGGAGATAAAATCGTCAGGAGATCGAGAATCCTACAGCGCTGACAAAAAACAAAACAAACACACACACCAGCCTTGTGGAGGCAGCGGGCGGACGAGTAGCTTACAAGAATAGAGGACTGACCTAAAACTTGTGCTAAAACTCGAATCCAAACCAAAGATTTCTCGGATGCACGCCAGTTTTCATTTGTGACTTCTGAGTAACTTGATTTGATTTACTCCCGCTAATATCAATTACCACTTGTCGATAAATTCGACCCATTGATAAATATATCTTGATTAAGGAAGCGCGATTAAGTCAAAGAACAAAATAAATATCGTTAACCATCGACGATTTAAGGTATTTTACAAAACATACTTCATATAAGCAATCTGGTTTATTGGATAATACAACGTCACCGTTGAATAACTCAAACTGACAATGGGACAATTCCGAGAATTACCTAACTGCTGATGGTCTTTCCGGGAATTGATTAAAATTCATGACCTTGATCTGTTTCTACGAATATCACTGGTAGAAATCCGATAGCAATGACTTTCTTTGGTCGTTGTTTTTGTTTTGTCATGATCACCCTACCGCTAAGTCAGCTTTTCAAATCACTGACGTCAGTAAATGACTGTGGAATTTCACAAGCGACGCGAGATCTACATACTGCAGCTGCATCCTCGGTAATCGCGTGACAACATTATCCTAAAACCGGTTTTGTCGACCAAAGACTGACTTTTGTGGTTACCTGATATACATTTTCGACTAATGCCATTCATTTATTGTCATTCATACCTCTATAGCCTTTAAATTTGATAATAGGGAATCACAGTTACCGCGAGTCGAAAATTCTAAAATTCATCGTGTCATCTTTGGGTCAAATAGTTATTCTCCCACATAAAGCTAATGCTATGTGGAGCCTCATGTCAGTATCATGTCAATAGTGAAGCCAAAGATGGCGTCGCAGGAACCGACCCCTCAAGCACCTTCGGCGACTTTGGGAGAGATTTCGCCTCATTTTGACGAACTATTGCGAGATGTTACCGATGCACTAACTGCTGAAGAACTCAAAGATGTTGTTGCATCCATAAAGAACACCCTAGAAGTAAATTCTCAGGCTAAAACAGACCAAGATTTGTATTCCCATCTCCGACTGTTTGCAACTCAAAAAATTTTGTCTGAGGAAAATTTAACCTTGCTGGAGAGATTTGTCGCTTGTAAATCATCAAAGAAGGAGGGTATCACAAAGAGAATCGAAAAATTCAAGAAAAACCATCTCCAGAGCGGTGAGCCAAAGATATCAGGACAAGCAATAAAAGGTAGAGACCTCGATTTGAATTTAATCATGGCCAAACTGACCGGAGCGAAGGAAATCGTCAATTTATATGGCTCCGGTGGTGTGGGAAAGACAACCCTGGGAAAAGAAATTTCTCTGCGGTGGCCAGGACAGTCCATCTTTGTCGACATGAGGGAGGTTGCGGAGATGAAAGACGTTTACTTTCAAATTATGATGGCACTGGACACGAAAAGGACAGTTTTAACTTACGACGAAAATCCAGTCATCAACCAACTTCGAAAACTGAGGAAGGAAAGTCCAGACGATGTTTTGTTACTCCTGGACAATGTGGATCAGTTTTCTGGTGGAAATGGCGATCTTTTGAAGACCCTGAACGATAAGATGGTTAAACTGCTACAAACGCTTATCAAAGACAAAGATAGGAACGCGAAGGACGATGAGGGAATTGCTAGATTGAAAGTAGCTTTGATATCCAGGACACGTTTCCAAGGGCTTACCCCCTGCGAAAGCGACTGCTATGAAGTGAAAGCTTTAGAGAAAGGGTTCTCGCAAGAGTTGATTCTTCAAAAGGCAGGAGAATTATCTGTCTTACAGATGGGAAAAATTGAGAAAATTGTGGACATGTGTAAAGGGTACCCACTTCTTCTAAATGGCATGGCGGCCACTCTTCGGCAAAAGATAGCAGCTGGTGAGAAGTTTCTTAGAATGGTTGAAGACGAACTGACGACATCGGAGACTGACGAAGGTGAAACTTTCCTCTCACCAGTACAGAATCAGCAGGAAAGAGAAGCGTGGCAAAGTCTCAGTAAGGAGATTGGTGAAGGAAAGCTCTCTTGTCTAAGAAAGATGTTCTTTTTCCTTCCAACCATCAACCTTAGATCATCCGCCGTGGCATTATCGCTGTTTTGCTATCCATTCTCTGAGGAAGCCGCTGCTTCTGTCCTTGGTGTAGAGTCTTCTGAAGCAGTCATTGTACTAGAAGGTTTGAGAAGTAGCGAGGTGTTATCAGTGGATCCTGATGTAAAGGAGCTCCTTTATGATATTCATCCCTTGATGCGTAGCTTCCTGAGAAGTATTGGAAATACCGGTAGTCCAGTATTCAGAAAAGCCTACGACGCAGCCAAAGATAGGTTCCGCGAGCTTTACTTTTCAAAAATGATCTCTATCGCGGCATTGCTGGATAAAGACTACGTAAGTGCATTCGAGTATTTTGACCATGACAAGCTTAATTTTGAGTTTGCTCTAAACCTCCCCTTCAAAGCGGACAATTTTCATGGTTTGAAAGAACATCATGAGAGGGCCATGATCTACTACCTTTTTGAAGCAATGCTTGAAAACAAACAGAGAAGGAAGATTTTTAAATCGTGGACAGAAGCAACGGAAGAGGACGGAAGAGAAGGTGGGAAGAATTTTTTGTTTGATTAATATCTACTTCCATTTTTGCCTCATATGCTATTAATTCTCTTGCACTTGACTGGCACGATAGCTAACAGAATAATCTAGTGTGAGCAATGATTACTTCTTGATTACTTAGAACTGTAAAGACTTGACCTGGGTATAGCTTTTCCCAGATGTAGGGCATGAGTGTGCAATGGAAGTATTCCTTGCAGCAAGTTTTATTAGCCTCCTACATTTGGGATACTAGTTTGATTGCTGTATTTTCACAGATGAGATGTCCGAAGAAAGAACTAGTTACTGTTGGTTGTAGAGAGAAATTTTTTTAAGAGGCTGATTTTTATTAATTGCACTTTCCAGGTTCCATCTTTCGCATGGAAGTGAGATCCCACGAGGCAATGCAAGCTCTTGAAATCTATGGATGGAAGAGGGCAACTGAAATCTTGAAACTCGCAGAGGAGTCCTCTCTGAAAGTAGATAAGGAGATAAAGAACCAAGATCCTTACAAATTTGCTTTTGCTACTTACCTGTACGTCAAAGGCGAGATTTCTTACAAAAAAGGAAGTGTACAGGAAGCGCTCAGAAGTTTGCGTTTTTCACTTGATTTGATGGAAGACCTCGTCGGAAACCACACAAGTACCACGAAATGTTTAAATGCGATTGGAAACTGCTACAATGAGCTTCGAAACTTTCACGATGCGATGAAATTTTACACAAGGGCTTATGAAATGAGAAAAGCTCTTTCAGCTTCAAATAACCATCTGGATTTGCCATTTTTTATCGGCCAGAGAGGTACGGTTTACGAAATGCAAAAAGAATATGACAAGGCCATCACGTGTTACGAAGAAGCTCTGAAACTTTCCAAGCAACTAAAACGCTCGGGAATCTTGCGCTTGGCACTTTATCACAGAAACATCGCCAACGCTTACGCATGGAAAAATGAATTTGAGAAAGCTTACAAGTCAGCAATGGATGCATTAGAGATAAGACGAGACATATTAGGTGACCATCCCGACACGGCGAGGAGTGCATTTCAGGTAGGACAGATCTGCAGAAATTTAGACCAATTGGGCGAAGCTGAAGAATTCTTAGAAGAGGCATGGAGAATTGAGAAATCCTTGGAGATGGGAAACCACAGTGCAGTGAGAGATCGCATTGTACAGAGCTACGAGAAAGTCCTTGAGAACGGCAGGCTAAACGAGTTCCAGAAAGAGGCCTTGGAATTTTATGAAAGGCTGTGGCAAGAAGACAAAGAATTTTCCTACGCTAAGAAGAGCATCATCGATCAGATCATCGAGCGGCTCAATGGGTCTGAAGACCAAAAAATGATAAGCAAATACACGAAGGAGGCTCTGGAGTTTTATGTAATGGCTTGGAATTCGCCAGATCTGCAGCAACTCCCTCGAAACCAGCGTGAAGAAATCTTGCAAATTATTTTGTACTTAAGTAAAGTACTTCGTGAGAAGGAACTTCACAAGAAATTCCAAGGCGAGAAATTTGAATTCTTTGAAAAGCAATGGGAAGAGAGAACTGTCATGTCTGCTCAGGACCAAAAAGACATTCTTTGTACTCTTCAAGGCTTAGCCACACAACTGGGTGATGAAGGAAAGAGTGAGAAATACCAGAAACTATACGAGGTTAGGAATGAGGAGTCTTATGTATTTAGGAAGTGAACAAAGATGCATGTAAGCCATTAACGGATACGTCTTCCAAAGATATCAAAACTAGTTATTCACGTACTACTTTTAAAAAGTACAGTAGGATTCCTTAAGCAACTGACTCTCTAATAAGACAGGAGTGTAATCTGGTAATTGTGTGCACGACTCCTCCATTTCCATGTGGTTTTAGGTGTAGTGTGACCTTTATGATTGGCGGCTTAAAGTTTCCAAGTTCGCAGCTGGTCTTATTGTGAATAAGAAATGAGCGTGCACAAGATATCACCTTGATCTGATGGTCAAATGCTTGCACCAATCTGAGCCTTGTGTTTGACCTCTATCAAAATTAATGTTGACACGAATTTGTTTTTAAATTCACCATTGCAGGAATGCGAGAAAGGGAAAAATTCTCAACCGTCTATGCAGTTGAAGATTGTTCCAGGTACGTCAATGAAAGCACAGTTTTCCATTGGATTAGCTGGTGGATGTAAAAGATTGGGTTGAATCTTCTTTTGGACCGAATGAACATTAACAACTTATATTTGACTTAAAGGATCGGCGTCGAAGCCGAGTAGCATCTCATATGGTGTTGACCACCCTGCAGCAATTCCTGAAAAGTCTGCTAGAGAAGAAGAGCATTCAATTCGGGGAGAAAACACAAGTATTGTGTTCCAGAAAAAGAGAGAGAAAACGTAAGTTCAACCTTGGCTCATCTTTTAAAAATGCTAAGATCTCATTAGCAATTCTCCTTACTCTCTGGCATGCAGTTCTTATGATGTTAGTTCTGAGAATTTGGTACTGAATCAAATAATAATTCCCCGACTGATATTTTTCTTTGTTCTCATCACTTGTCTGTTTGATACTGTATTGATGTAGCAAGGAGAAATTCTGTCCTGGTCGCCCATGGGAGTTAAAGGGTAAAAGACAACTGTATCTCAGTTAGAATACAAGAGTTTTTAGTTAACTTAATGTCTTGCTGCAATGGGCCTCAGCTTGCATCTATCGCTACGATTACATATATTTCAAACGGTTTAATCCCCGCATTCCAAACGTATATTTTAGGTACACTGAAAGCAAGCACACGGCTGTAAGCACTGTGGAAGAATCATCCGCTGACCGCCAGTTACCTGCGAAACAGGTAAGTATCTTAGTTCACTTTGCTACTGCGACTGTTACACACAAAAAAAAGACTAGAAATATTTGAGATATTTCAGCAGTAAAAGTGACAATTTATACTAAACATGGCCACTTTTGTTGAAGAGAATCGTACTCTTCGTTCCCATTCTTTCATTCCCGGTTATTTAGATACAGGTCTAATTTCCTATGAAAATGGATAAACTAAGGAGAATCTTAATCCATGATAGTAACTAATAATTTCCTTACGCGTTCATAAAGGTCGTAGTCCAAGTGTGTCTGCTTTCTTGTTTTTTTACCACGTTTACTTTGGTAATTGAATCAATGATTTTTGTAATTTTTTTAGAAAGAGGAAGAAACAGCTGTGCATACTGCGAGTGATTTGCTCAAGGAAAAAGGTGAGGGTTGCCCAAAATTTCTTTTCGATCGATCAATTTACTCTTTGTACGTTCTGCAATCCGGTAGTGTGATCCCGACGAGGAAAGTTATTAAATGTCTAAATAAATAATTATTATAATTAATAATAAATGGGGAGTCCTGAAGGGAATCTCTTAGTGACTTTCAACAAGATAAGCGAGACCAGCCACTCGTTAAAAAAATTCAAACTTTGATTTCTTAAAGACTAATTTATCTGTTTTAGCGTGTTTTATATTGGAATAACTGATTAAACGACGAAACACGCTTTTCTACGCAATATAAAACTTAATTTATTTTTATACGGATTTAGACCTCTCCACGTCACAGGGTGATTTTCCAAACAACCCTAAGGATATTCAAGGAAGGGAAAATAGTAAAAGAGGATCTGGGATCATCACCAGCAAAGGTGGCAAAGTCACAGCAAATGATGTACAGCTCTTATGCCCGTCCGGAGCTGTTGACAATCCAGTGTCGGTGAAGATAACTTTGGAGGACCCTGAAAGGTACTATGGCTTAGTGGTGCAAAGAGGGCTTGAAAATGACATCATATTTGGCGCACCAGTAATCAATCTCTTGCCGAACGGCCATTTGTTTAAGAAGCCAATAACACTAACATCTAAGGTTAAGATCAGTCAAAGAGGTTCTAATTTTCATGATGTTCTGGTGTTACATGGGACCGAGGCCAAGGATGGAACGATTTCCTGGCGGGACATTACCCAAAATACCACTATAAATGTTCCAGAAGATGCAGTGGTCACTAACCTCGACCGATTCTCCAAAATTGCTTACCTGCTGACATTGACTCGGATGAGTGCCAAAGAGATTGTGTCACGACTCAATCTGATGCCATTTAAGTACTCAGTATCAGCTTTCTTCAGAAAGAGTCCCACAGAGCTTGCTTTAGCATTCATGAGTGAAGACATCTTCCACGAACCATGCTACAAAGAACACGAATCCTCTGCCTTCGTGCAACTGAAAAATGACGGATACCAACTGCTGAGCGCGCGTTCCAGTGGCGAGCATTCCGAGAAGAGTATATATAACTGTGAACAACTTCAAATCTCTGTTGATCTCGCGGAAGACTACCAGGTGCGTGGCAAGCAGACGGCATGTGTTACTGTAGAAACTCCTGTCTGGTGGAGTACTGGAGAAAAAATCAAATTCCCACTGCGGGCAATCAATGATCACGGGATATTATCCGGAAGAATAAAAGTACAAGGTCAATATGGGCACTTCAAGGAGTGCCAGTTCACCGAAGAAGGTTGGTGTACATGATAAAATGATGGTAATTAGGGTAACGAAATTATATCAATATGATCAGCCCTCTTTCGATCCCCTGCTTCTTTCTTCAATCTCAACAATGTTTTGGTTTTTGAGAAGTCGTAAGTCTTCGGTATTTCAAATATAATAGCCAGATAAACTGCCCTTTAGCGGATTAACGTTAAGAAAATTTTCCATCGGATGATGGCTGGATAGAGTGGTCATTCTTTCGAACCCAAGGCGTGTATAACATACTTCTTAAATTAAAGACATTGCCACCTTTCATACTGATACCTCTCCCGGTAAATGGCTCTTGTCAGGTGCGCGACTGATTCTGTAGATTCACAGTGATCTGAAACCCTCTCGTTACAATTCCAAGTCCCGTGCTTTCGCGACTCCAAGGGTAGGTTTTGCATCTTCGAATAGGAGTTGCAAAGCTTGACCTTGGATTTGAGCCAAAAAGAGATCAATCTATGGAAAGCAAACTCAGACGCTGTGAGAGTGAAAGCCTCGTAAGCCACGAAAAGAAAAAGCAAAATATCGGAGTTGATGTGTTAATTGAACTTGTTTTACGTCTACACCTGTTTACAGATCTACTTGGCTATGTCAAACGGTTGTTGGGGGTTGAGGAAGAAATTTTCAACCTTATTCCCGTTCTAGCCCAAAAGCTTCAGATTCCCGACGCCGATGTTGTTTCTAAGGACGTCGTCCAGCATTGGGAAGATGAGGACGTCCAATTAGAGATACTCTTACAACCCTGGATTGGGACTGAGTCAGCTAATGCTATGGCTAATTTGAAAACACTTCTATCGGATTTAAAGGAGGAAGGTAAGTTAAGGGACTTTAAACATTCTTCCCATGTGCGTTCAAATAATAAGTAAAATACTTCAAGAGCCATGCACTTGATCACGCATGGAACGTCACCGTCGTGTTCTCTGCATCATACTCTTAAAATTGATTTGCCAGCTTTGCGAATTCTTCAAAATGACAGAGTTCACCTGGTCATTACAGGGGGAAAATCTAAAGCAAAATTAGTAAAATAAATGGAACAAAAACAAGCCATGAGTTTGTCACAAAAGGTTCAAGGTCCGTTGAGCATTAGCTCAGTGATAGCTAAACAACCTCTTCTAAACAACATAAAAATTCCATAAATCCCCATATTAAGCTTCAGTTCTTGAGGCTTCTCATCCATCATCTCAATTTGACATAAATCTTTATCTTTTTTTTTGGCATTTGCATTTCGTCTAGACTATAAAGTGACAAAAAGAGGTCAAATGCACATTAGAAACTTGAGAGAGCTTGCAGCGAAGATCGCGGAATTACAAGTCCACGATGCTAGTTTGATGAAGTTTTTCATCGGAAAAATCCAAACTCTTTGCAAAGCAATGGTGAGAGATTGTTGCATTCAAGTAGAGAATTCAAGTAAAGACATCGATAGAGCATCGTCATCCGATAACTGTGCAAAGCACCTTGAACTTCGACAAAAGATTACCAAAAGAACAGCTATAAAGTACCAACGATTGATCTCATTGAATGATGAATCAGTCGTGAAAATGTTTACTGAGATTGTTCCTGATCTCATTCAAGACGTGAAAGCCATATTTTGCGTGAATATAATTCCTCCTGCACTAAATGGTCTAAGAGGAATAGACGAGAAAACTCTGGAGCCAATGGAGTCCAACGTTCGAGAATCTCAAGAAAATAACAAAATCAGAAAGCTTGTTTGTCATGTCTGCAAGATTGTGGAAAAGCTTTGCGAGATAAACTGTAACAGCAACAACCCACCTGAACGGATTCGAAAGTTGGGCCAAAGTCTAGCGATTCTACCCATGCTGGACTTATTACAGTCATTTTTCTTAGAATGTGCAGAGGAAATTCGGTTGCACAAACGGTTGGAATTGCTCTCGGTTTGCATAAGAGATATAATGTCCGATGAAATAGAAGTCGACGAGGCGATTATGCGTGATTTTTTTGACCTCTCGGCTAGTCTAATACAATTTGCGAGATTTGATCCAGCCAGAATGGTGACATTCGAGCTGAGTGACTCGAACGATTCATCTGTACAGTACCGAAGGGGAAGCCTAACGTACATAAAGGAAAGTGACACGTACTATCAGGAATTCTTCGTTGAAAAAGAAACGGGACAAGATCTGCTGCTCAATGCAGTCGCAACCATCAATGTTGAAGGAAGAGTTCTCAAAATAGGTACCGGCGCATTCAAGTCAATTATCATACTTCCGGCATCTGTGGAGGAAACGTTCGACCAATGCTGTACTTCATTTAGTTCTATAGCTACTGTTCGCGTGAGGAAGCTGAAGGATCAGAACTCCTCCAACATTAGAGTGATTCTTTCTTCTACAGTGGAGAAGATCCTATCAGGGTTGCTCGCTGCGCTCAAACAAGAACTAAAGGATGAAGTGGATTGGAAAGGGTCAGAGGTTGTCCCTTGCAAACTCACGATGAGCACCCCTGCTACAGAACCTCCAAAAACGAGTGTTTATCTTCGCTTGGTTTACAAATGGAAATCCGCGGCACTTTGTCTTGAAAGTCAAGACTTTTTCACTGATGCTCCCTTGAATACCGACAGCACTTGTGGTAAGTATTCCTCGTAGCTCAGAAATTTTTTTTTTAAGTTCTACAAACACTTATCAGGAGTGCATGTCACCCCCTTTAATTCCACGATCGAGTGATTCTGTGAATTGAATGAAGCAACTTAGCATTCCTTGGGTGTCTTTGCGATGCGACCTGACCTCAGAGCATAATTTCTGTTGCTGTCCTCGTGATAATTATGTTCTTTAATTTTTCTCCAGGAATGGGTGTTTTGATAGATGGACAAGCGGCTCTTGCATCATTTACTGAACATAATATCGTGCAGTTTTCAGCTGAACAGCGGTCGCAGATACAAGTTCCTTTGCAAATTAAAATAGGTAATGTAGCAGTGGAAACATAGTTTTAACTTTCCTGGGGTTTCAATGCTGCAGAATCATTGTGACATACCCCAAGGGGTGAAGTCTATGGATTTTCCGTTTTAAGGAGGCCAAATGTCTCCTCAGGAGTTCTTTTATCATATGTAAGATTCCATCGCAATTTTATAGATAGGAATTGATGAAAAGACTAACCCCCTTTAGGAAGACTCCCCTCTTGCGTTATACGACTTCTCAGCTTTTCTCTTTTTCTGTTCCTCGCAATTCTTTCAGAGCATCATCAACACGTTCATCAAGTACAAAACATCCAAGACGTAAACATAACCACTGAATGCTGCGCAGTCGGAGACCAGGCTTCCTTTTCCATTCAGAAACCATCAACTAGCCCAGGGTTTGTACTGTCTGTTACCTGCTTAGAGTGACATTTGACGGTTAAGGGGTCAGCAATATTTTAAAGGTTTCTTGGTTGCGCAGCTCTGAAACACACTCAATCTTCGGGGGCCGAGAACCGTGAAATCTTTATAATCTAAGCGAGATGTCCTTGGTTAGGACAAAAAAAAACTGGGCAAATAAGTCATATCCAATTGCTGCTTCACTCTTACCCTGTGACGAGGAAGTTTCCAATAGTTTCATGAGACCTAAGGCGAGGAAACGATCAACTGATCAGATGTAAAAGATAAAAAGATAAAAAGATAAAAGGTGTATCTACTGTACCTCATTGGAAATGGGGGATAACATGAGTGCCCAAGTCAATGGAGGGTGGTGAATCACTTCGCAATTGGGGTTTAGTAGAACTCCGAAGTTTCTCTCATTGAACGTTCGACACTTATCGAGAATTCCCTAAGTCTTGTTCTCGTTCACTTTCAGTGCACTTCCACCAGGTCCGAGTACAGCTACACAGAGAAGCATAACTGACAGCTCGCAGTACATAGGCACAAACTCTTCTGGAGAATAAAAAATACCCGCTGTAGGAAAGAACTCATAGTCTGGAATTCAATTCTCACGTTTTTATGATTAATAACACTTCAATCTTTATTTCTCTGCATTTTGAAACTAAACGGATTTTAAGGTAGCGTCTTTAATGTTCGGACATTATTCTTTATTGCTAGAATATTACCAAACTGTAATCATAAGTGATTGTTTTTGTTTTGTTCTTTTGTTTATTTTTGAGTGGAGAGAATTTAAAAATAATATCTAATTCCTCTCTCCTCTTCTTGCCGAATGCAACAGAACTATTCACGCATAACTTTTTAACAGCATCTCAGAGAAGGCCCTTAACCTTTTACCTCCCATGAGTGACCAAGAGAGAATTTCTCCTTACAATATCAATACAATATCGAGCATAGAAGTGACGAGAATAAAGAAAGATATCAATTCGGGGATTATTAGTTGATCAAATACCAAATTCTCCAAGTTGACATCATAAGAATTGTATGACAGACATTAAGGAGAATTACTAATGAGATCTTGGGAGTTAAAGGGTTAAGGTCTGTGTAGGTTTTCCACGTAAGAACAATTGCGAAATAGTGAGGACTCCTCTTAGACTTTCTTAAACACGTCTTAGAAAGCTTCTATTAAGCAAAGAGAAAATTGTAATAATTTAAATGAGAATACAAATCTCATGCAAGTGATGATCTCTGGAAAATCTTCCCTGACTTTTAATATTTCCATTAAATATTTCAAACATCCGCCGCTACGTTTCCCTTGCTTCACTGGCAGCGAAACAGCTTGGTTCAATTCATGAAAACATTTTTGTGCCAATGTTCCAGCGCGAAGTCACTCCCACGACTAGTCTTCTTTTTCGAAACCACGTACGCTCTTCACGTGACAAAGTTGCACTAGTTACGTGCCACTATGACTGCCATGTGATCCAAGCCACACGTCACTTCCTTTACTTTGCCTGGTACTTCGACCTGAAAAGCCAGAAATAAAAGAGGGTTTCATCTAAATCTCGATCAAGAAGTTTAACAGGCCAAAGAAACTCGAAAAAATTCGTCGAATGATGAGTCCGTCGGCCCGTCTGTCCGTTCGTAACACCGTTCGGTTTACTTTAAGACTCAACTTGCAAGGCCAGGTCACTAATGCTTACTAAGTGCTACTCACCCTTTTAGGCGTCCATTGATCGAGTGTGGAGCCAAGACCCAGTCTCCCAAATGACCCTCTACCCCAGGTGTACAAGTTTCCTGATTCTGAGAACAAAAAGAATTGTGACTCACGAAAAATTCATCAACTTAAGTCCCGGTTTTGTCTAATGTCGTTCATCTGACTGCTTCCTAGGGGCTCCTAGTGCGTCAATGTTTCGGAATTAAACAACTGTAACTGTGGAGTAGTGAATTGGGAAATATGGATATATTTGAAATTACAAAGGAAGGTGTGACATAAAACAAACTGTTTACACCAACTCTAGAAGCAAACGAAACTGGGTAGTCTCCGCAGCAAAGCCATGATTTCGAATAAATATCAAACAAATTCGACCTATGGTTATACTAAAATGAGGATGTCTATCTAGCAACCTAGAAAATGCATTTCCGTTTTCTAGAGGGAATGCGTCCATTTGCGTGGGCGTGAAAAGAAATTGCACAGTGATGATCTCGTGGTTAGCACGTTGGACCTTAGAGGAAGAGGTTCAGATGCCTAACGTCTTTTTTTTTTTTTAGGGGGGGGAAGGGGGTCAGGACATCAAACTCCAACGGCGCTCCTCTCCACCCAGGAGTACCAATACATGCTGGGTGAATGATTTGCAGGGGGAGGGAGTATCTATAATAAATCACACTGTGGCATTCCAGGTGAGGCAGCAGTGCACCAGAGACCGAGGTGCGTGATCACAAATGTTTTTCTAATACAAACCTGTTACCACAGCGCAACTGTCAGGGCCACAAATTAAGGTTGAAACAGCGTCATCTATGCTGGAGAACTCCTCGATTTTTCTTGGCCTCTTTGAAAAGGAAACTTCTTTACCATGTCCGAGAACCCCATATCCCCAACTGTAAAGTTCCCCAGTGACTAATTGGTGGAGGGAAAAGAGAAAGATGACAAAAATCGCAGTGAGGGCGAGGTTCCATAGATTGAATCATCGAGAAACTAATAAAAAGTTTCGAGAAAGACTGTCATGAAGCTGGTAGAAATGTTGATTGGTTGGTTACAAGAATATACAGTTGTATAACTGAGTACGGGTTCGGTAACTACTATGATTTGGCAATTTGAAGTATACCCTCCGAGTTTCCCTTTTCTTTCTCGTTTATCAGGGAGAACGAGGGTTCTTACTGACTCACAGTTAATATGCTGCTGTGTTTTGATAAATCTTAAATTCGGCAACCACTTTTTAGTAGAATATTATCCTTGTTGTGACGGTGGATTTTTTTCTGTTTGAAAACGTGCTGTAATGTGATTTACTTACCAGTGAGAGCTACACAAAATGAACCTCCAGCGGCAACTTGTTGAACCTGAGGAAGATTTCTCAGCAGAGTTGCTCTCATGGGGACTGCAAACTTAGCGACAACAAATAAAGAGACAACAACAGAAATTACAAGTGAATGAATGGAAATTATAGAGAAACAACATCATCAAAAATAAGAACGCAGATCAAACATACAGTTACAGCCACGGGAAGATAGAACTATACATTAATGTACAGCATCTGAGCTAACACAAGCACGAGAATCGTAGAGACGCGTTTCCTGTCAAAAATACTGAGAAATTGTTCGTTTTGACACAGGCGTGTGTTTAAGGGAACACTGAGGCGCACGCAAGGAGTCGAAATCCACTCCACAACTAACGATTTCGAGCTGAGATGCTCTACCATTGAGTTAAAGAGAACTCGCCGGTAAGCTGCGGCTATTATCAGGTTCATAAGAGACAAGTGCACTGGATTTCTTCAGCCTACACTTACTAAATAGTTAGGTAATTTGGTATTATCAACTGATTTGATAACGTAAATTGGCCACCGTAAAGAGTTTAAAAGCTGATGTTTCGAGCGCTAGCCCTTCGTCAGGGCGATTGGGGCCAACGCTCAAAACGTCAGGTTTTAAACTCTTTACGGTGGCCAATGAACGTTATCAACTCGGTTGATAATACGAAATTACCCTGTTCTACTCTCCCACCGACGCTGCATCACAGTTTCTTTAGAAACTTACCCCCTTTGTTCATTTGGTTAAATAATTGTTTGTTTTAATTGGTAAATGTTATAAACCTATCAGAATATGTGTTGCAGACATACTTGTTCATCTTCCCTATCAACAGCAAGCTGTCCATATTCATTGTTTCCCCAAGAAAACACTTCACCTTCATCTGTAAAATAAAAGAATTTCAGTGCATAGCCATAACTGCACTGTGTAACTGAGCGTATTGTTTTGATAAAGCGCTGAATTCTCCAGACTAGCTGACGACGAAATAAGTAGGTACCAGTTAGGAGAATAAAAAAATAATTCAATTGCTCAAAAACCCATTACCTGAGAGTGCCAAGCAGCAATCTCCTGAAGTTGCAATTTGTTTTATCCTCACATCTTTCAGTTCTCCCTCGATGATCTTACATGTTGCCTCATCTTCAAAATGATTCAAGCCTTTGGAAATTAAAAATCAAGGAAAGATGACCCAATTTGATTGTTTAATCTGATTGCTCAGGTGTGATGATGATCATCAGAGTCAAGGTAGGAGCTGATTGTTGTTGTAGAGTTTTAAGTCTGGCTTTTGATACTTAGTTGGTTGCTTTTGCTGTCATGCCAGTGACTGTAAGAATTAAGGTCATTTGATTTTGTCGACTGGTTTTATCAAGTTGCCCACACCATGGGTCAGTTAAGATTGTTGCATTCAATCTATCTGTGAACTTTGGTCATTTTGTTTGGTCCAAGCTATTATTAGCAGATGATATGGTGCAGTACTGGTTGAAATCTATTGTGAATAGTCTGTTTTAGTTGGTAAACCATAATTCTAAAGACAGTTTTGAAAGAATTGATGGTGTAGTGTTATAACCATGATACTTAATCGCATAGAGAGTCAATGAGTTGGGAGAAATGTGTTGGCTTAGATGCTAGCATGTTTTTACTGCAAGTTAACAAGCTGCATTCAAATAATTTCTGACATTAAAGCTTCACTCTTGATCAAGAACAACACACATTGATCTTCATCCATAGATCAGACCAGCACACAAAAAACAAGGCTTACTGAACATGTTTGAGCATTCATGAGTTATACTTGCACATGTTTTACATTGGAGCAATGAAATAAAGCATTGATAGTAGAATTGTAGACTGTACCAGTTTGCCCATCAGCGCCCCACCCACAGGACATCACTGTGCCGTCAGTTGATAACAGAAGGGTGTGGTCCAAGCCACATGCTATCTGAAGAAACAAAATTGAAAAAATATGACATATACAATTCATCATGCAAATCAACAGATAGAATTCCAATCCAAACTCACCTGTTTGATCTTACTTGTAATATTAGGTATCTTGGTAATCTTTTCAATAGATCTTGCTTCTTTGCTTCCAGTTGCACACTGTCCATGGAAATTTCCACCCCAGGTCCAGACTGCATAACAACATTAACAGACAATGATTGTTATAAACTTAAATCACAGTACACCCAAATCTTTCATTACCTAATTCCATGACCTCCAGACTTTCTGTTAGTTCTTTTGGAATGAAGCCACGAACTCTGACATTATCCATGAAAAGTCATCAATTTGATCTCAGAAAACTCACACATCAATAAACATGACAAGCTTCCCCCTGATACCAAAAATGACTCTTTTACATGTAGTCCATAACAGTCATTGTCATCCAGTCAATGTATGAGTTGTGCAATCTTTAATTTTTTTATTTAAAATGTTCCCACTAACAATCCTACGAATAAATTGTTGTAAGCAACTTGTATAGTTTATTTTATTGCTTTCCCAGTAACATAACAAAATTACCTTCTCCGTTGTCTAATAATATGGCTGAATGTGATCTTCCACAAGAAATCTGCTGGACTTGCATTGATAAAGGTCTATTTCTATGGAGACCAACAGACCTTGGAACAGACTCAACTGCACAAGAGATTGAACACAAAACATCATGTTCTAACACATTTCTCAAGTTAAATCAAGAATCTTGAGAAGCACAGTCAGTGTGATGAGGGCACTCGTCTTCTGCAACTGTTATCTCAGTATGATTCCTGGACATGTTGTCATCCATGAGTTGTGCTTGTTGTAAGTTAAGTCTATAATATTGAACTCCAATAGATAATGTTACACTAAATTCCAATTCTGCCTGGAAGCACATACAACTTGTACACATTTAAAAATAGTTCTTATTTAGTGCTCTTTACTATTATGTGATAAAAATAATCACTTTCTTTCCTATGTCTCTATTAAGCTGTGATTAACATGTTTGAGCCAATGTTAAGCCCCATAAAGCAGCTCAACCTGATCAAACAATGAAAGAAGTGTAATACACATCATACTTTCCAAATCACTGCATGTCTGTGGTCTTCCAAGCTGTGAAAATGTGTTTAAACCAGTGGTCCACAGCCTGGGAATTCCTACTTCAACTGCTACTGTGAATCCATAACCACAACCAATGTGAGAGACCTGCACAAACATGGTAATATGAGCTTTAAAAAATATATTTACAATTAAATATTAAGTAAAAAAATGAATCAGTTTTAATAAAAAGCTACCTCAGCTGAAAGAGGAAGCCTGATTGGCACTGGACTGTGCTTCTGGGTACCAGTCCCCAACTGACCTCCATCCCCAGCTCCCCAGACATAGGCAAATGAGGAAAACTGGGACACACAGCCTATAGTTAGCAAGAAAAGTTGTAAATTAAAGAAAAGAAAGAAAAAGCACACATAGTGATTATTTTCAGGATGATATCTCAGTCTATACTTGGATGTGAATACAGGCCTGAAAATGAGATACTTAACAAAATTATTTCATTTACTAATTATTTACTAGTACTTTCAGCTTGAAATGAAAAGGATTTCTTAAGAAAGGTTTATTTAGTTAGTTTAATCCCTGCTACACAATACATTTGATAGCTCAACTCATATGCATGCTTTGCGACCAATGAGACAAGAATTAATGGCTTATACACTATGGATAGAGGGTTTTTGAGTGTTCAAAGCATGGGAGGGGTCAATTCAGATTAAATGTACCCTTCAATTGATATGTTAACCCTATATACCCAAAGGGTGACTTGCCTCTAATTTCTCCATAATTCTCACTCTTGAATCAAATGTAAAGGTCATGAGAATATAGTAAATGATCATCAATTTTAGCAGCCCCTGATTGTTGCACAAATTCCCTTCATCAGTATTATAGTACCAATTCTGTAGAGAGCGTAAAGGGCTAAGTTGATTGGAGTTTTCATTCATCACAAATATGTTTTTTTTGGCATTAGCCATATATATATTGAGGGCTTTGATAAATACACCATGCATATATGTTTACAAACATCTTTAGACATGTATGTGTAGATATGGCCTCAACAGTATAGAGGAGTGGTTAGGAAAACTACTTGCTGACACCATGAGTTTCAGGTCAAGTGTTTCTGTAAACTTTAGCAGGTTATCTACCTCACCTTTATGTCTTTGTTCATTATGAACCCAAAAAAATTGTCTCAGCCACTTCTGTGATGTGCTGATCAATCTGTGACATGCTAAGCTCATTGGATGTTGTGATTCCTGCAGGAATATCTTGCTAAATGTTTACCTTCCAATTGACACTGCCTAATTAATACTCCATGTGACCCTTTCTTCAACTGAAAAAGACAAATTCCGATGGAAAAGACAGGTTAGGAGGGGTATCAAGAATTCTGTGTGTTACATAGAGTGTTAGTATTCCTTTGGAAATATCTCTGTCCAATAGTTACTAATCAGTGCAAGTTTTATGAAGACATGATGCATGAAGGGATGGGGAGGGGGGAGGAGAGGAAGGGTTTGTGCCTCTTCCAACATATTAAACATACCTTTCTCATGTGACTCCCAAATATATTTGGAGAAATTGATGCATTGCTCTATTAAAATGCTTTTACTCATACTTTTCCTACACCACTCACACTTTCTTCTAAACCCAGGCCTCAGTTCACTTTTCATTTGATCCCCCCCCCCCATTCTTTCCCTATTCTATCTATCTTTCTCAAATTTATGTTCTCCATCAATGAAATGTATCAGCTGATTGGTCACCAATTATTATTGGATCAAATACAACCTCCAAATAAGAGTTTTTTAAACGCGCGCCAAAGATGACAAAGAAGAAAAACAGTCGCAGGAGATAAAACTGCGCGAGCAGCTAAGTAATTAGACCTGTGGTTCATCTTTTCAACGCGATGATCTTACAATTTCCAAGCATCAAACATCTGTCAGATGGTTACACAAACTGGTGACAGTACTATCACCTCACGTGCTGTTTAAGAGCAGCTCGAATTCATTTGAGGTGCAAAAATTAAACTAGAGCCCATAAATCTTTTCATATCCTCCCTGTTACAAAAAGGAATACTACCTGCCCTACGGTTGAATTTCCAATCCTGATTTCAATTTCTCCAGATCTTCCAGTCGATGATATTGGACGAAGACACCTCTGAGTCACATTTCTACGAGGCGTTCCTTGTGGGTAGCCTGGAAATAAGTCAAGGTGCCGTGACGTCATTCATTCGAATCAACGAAGAGCGTAGAAAGGTACATGCTTAGTGAATTGTTTTTATTTGCCGTTCAGTTTTAGGATAAATCACCAACATATTTGAGGTAGGTACCAGTAAAAAATGAATTTTTAAATATTTTCTCTTTGCGGGGGTTGGCGGAAGATGTCGAGAAAATTTTGATTTCAAAGAATTCATTAAGTCAGGGCCAAAAATGGCCGTCGTTTCCGTGGTTCAGAATTAAGTGCCATTAGTAGTGTTTTCTCATATTTAACCGGTGATAGAATAAACTGTACTACCTTTAATGATGGTCATGATTTTTGTTTTAGCATGATCAGTTGGCTTAATCGAACAATTTGGACCTCAAACCAGATTAAGTATTGGTACAGGAATTATTTGATTTACTGTATTGACTCAGACTTCTACTCTCATTTTCACTGCCTTTTTACAAAGACACAGAGTGTGCGGCTAAACTTCAGAATACCCCGCAACTTTGGTCCGCCTCACTTACATGTGTCGGGAGGCTTTGAAGATCGAGGCATAACACAATAGACGATATTCTTATTCAATGACATGTAAATGAGTTGCGGGGTATTCTGAAGTTGCTCCTTTTTTAAAAAAGACTTTTTGGCCAAATTAAAATCACGCGTATGGAACGACAAAAAGAAAACATATGAAATTATATGATAAGCTGGAATAGGCCATTTCACAGTTGTGTACTTAGTTGCCCAGCCTTTGTTTTAGAGCGAGGCTGAAGGTGACTATGTTTTGTTAGAGACCAGCATCTAGTTAGCATGGTATCAAAGTACTTTACATTTGAAAAGCAGCAAGGTTTGTATCATGACAGGATCAACTATAGCCTCACTCCTATTCAAAGGCTTGGCAAACCACTGTAAAATGGGCTACTGTACGTGTGCATTCTGATTGGTTCTTACCTATGATCTATAGGAGGACAGACACATGGATGACATCGCTATTGACATTTGCTTCTGTATTATGTAAAATAAATAGATTCCATGTTGGGGTGGCTCTGTACAGTTACTGTAACATATTGTAGAATATTTCAAAATGTGGTAGAAGATTGGTGGTACACTAAGCATCATGTGCCACCTTTTTGTTCTTACCATGTCTCCTGTGATCCAAAACTGAGCAGACGTACAGCAATATGAAAACCATGTGATAATTAAATAATGAAAACTTCCCATTTGAGACACCAAGAGAGAAATAATTACATAACAAATGGATATGATAATAATTGCCTTTACCATACTGCGTTGTGAAGAAAATTCTGTAAATCAATGACTGCTAATATTATTTTATAATTTTTATCAGTTTGAAATGGCTCGTGGTCACCAAAAGTTTCAGTCCCAACAGAAAAATGCCCAGAAGCAGGAGAAGTTGAAGAAAGCCCAAGGACATGATCAAAAGTCAGCAGCACTGAAGGCATTAGTCTTCACATGCACTGTATGCAAGGTACAGAAAATGCTGACTTTTCACCCTTTCACTCCCAAGATCTCATTTTTAATTCTCCCCTCTGTCTGCTATACTACAATACTTATGGTGATGGTTCTAAGAATTTGGCATTGGATCAACTAATAACCACTTAATTAAATTTTTTTATTTATTCTCATTACTTGTCTGCTTGATATTGGAGTGATTATGTAGGGAGAAATTCTCTCTAGGTCACTCCTGGGAGTTAAGAAGTTATTAACCTAACATGAGGGGTCAAGGAAAGATTTGTCATGTTGAGAACCTACACGTATGTCAGTGGACAAAGATAAATAAGAAATTTTGAAGCCTGAATATGTGTAAAGTATGATTTCTGAGAAGATTATCTTTTGAATTCAGTCACAGATGCCTGACCCTAAAACTTACAAACAACACTTTGAGAGCAAGCACCCTAAAGCAGCACTGCCTCCAGAGCTGGCTAGTGCGTAATGTTCAACATGGTAAGAATAATGTATTTGCAGCTGATTCTTACGTTTGCATGCTTCTTAAAGTTGTTATGCATTCCCTTAAACCCAGACACCAAAAATCCTCTTCATGCTTTGTGAGCTGCTATTTATGGTATAGAAGGTTGCTTGGTTGTCTAGACTGAACTTCCAGACTACATCATACTTTGCTAATGCAATTACACTTAGTCTAGCCTTAGCATATGTGCATGCAAGAGCTTTTACATCAACTCTGATAAAGTGATTAAAATGACTTTATCAGAGTTGATGTAAAGTTGATTCTGATGAGCAATGAGCTCTTCTTTTTGTTGACATGTTTAGTTGGAGATTGTTTTATCTTCTAATTATGAGGATCAGTGACTGTTTTAGTTGCCACTCTTTATCCCTTCAAGCATAGTCAGCTAAGAGGTTTGAGGTACTAACTGGCACTTTATTCCAATTATAAGATTGTGTCGAAAGATCCTGGGTATGCTGAAGGGTATGAAAAAGGAAAAAAAACTGCTCAGGACACAATATTCCATATTTTCTTGATTGTCCCCTAATTTTACTCCACTCCATTCTGTTACCATTGTTTATGTAATTTATTGTTTTATTTTCTCTTTTTTTTTTCAGTTTGGTGATGCTCTGGTTAAAATCACATATATTTTACATTGAGGATGGATAAGCATACAGTGCTGCCAGGGTCTGCAACAACTAATTTTGAAACTTTTGCATTTAAGTTTGGGCATATTGTAGTCTTTTTCTAATTTAACAGGCTGTATTTTGGGGGCTGTGGGATCATTAGACAGAAGTTACCAACCTTTTTTTTTAACTTTACTAGTTTTGATTTCTGTATCAGTATTATTTTTTTTCTTAATAGCAATAAGTGCTAAAGTAGAAAACTCATATTCTTTGGTTATGAGGTGCAAACAAATTGTACCAAGGGAAGTTATTTAATATTTTAACAGAAAGAAATCAATTAGTGACACCAAGTTTCTTTTTTTAATGGCAGTGCTGACAGCCAGTGATTGAGGGAACTTGAGAAAATTGTCTTACCAGTGATTTACATGAGGCTTAATCAGTCCTTTCACTGTCAATTTCTGAAAGCTTTTTCTCCTCATTGGTGTCTATGTATTTAACCTGGTTGTTATGGAGAAATTTGGTGTTGTTTCACTACAGTCTCCCCAGTATCATCACTGGTTTGCTTGGAATTGTGTAATATGTAGATGGGGAATTAACATGCAGATCACACCCCATGGATTCAAAGAACAAACTGTCATCACTAAGCACAGCAATGTTTTCACATGAAAATACAACACACTTTTATTGGACATTGTTACAACGAAAAGATAAGGCAAATAACTTTCTGCCATATTTGCTGATCAAACCTTGAGTCTTGAGCAAGAACTCTTTTAGATTAGACCATTTTGTTTTCTTCAAGAACGAAAACTGAACAAAATGAAGGTCTTGTTGGCCAGCATGCATTATTAAGTTTTAACATCATAACTATTGCACCATAGGTAAGATAGGGAAAAGACAACAGTGCTGGAAACTGATTGAAAACAATATAACTTTCATGTTATGGTGCATGGGTTTTGCTTGAACCTTAATACATTTGGCAACAATTTAATAGTTCACTAAATGCCATGTATTTCCTTTTTACTTGAGTCTGCAAATTTATATTTCGAAGGATTACTTGGAATAAATGGACTTCCTGAATTAATTTCTGTTTCATTTTTCGTATTCAAGTGATAAACATGTCCTTACATAAACCTGTTCTCATTTAATAAATGAGGTATATTTTTTTTATCTGTTCATTATGATGCTATTCTGTTCTTTTTAACTTATAATCAAAACTATGACAAAATTCTGGAACATGATTGGTTATAACCTGCCCCATTTGAGCAGTAATAGGATGGTGTATGCTTCATGCTTGTAATTGGACATTGTTAATAGCACAGTTAAAGGGACAGTAAAACACCATGCCTATGTAAGTGGACAGAATGCATCATGTGCGCTTGCTGTTGTCTTACATGTTGCTGAGGTAACTGATGTTGTTTTTTTTTTTTCATGAACACGTATAACAGATGTTAGGTTCCATCTCAAATTTTGTCATAGTTTTGATTAATTGGTAACAAGAGTTTGTGTTGTCCAATTTTGTCAGTAATCATACTCATGATAAACAAATCAATCTCCTATTTTGCAGTAGGCCTAGTTTGTTAATCATTCATATGATTACAGATTGAATTGGACTTCACTCAGTCATATTACCATTATATTAATCTTAAAATTTTGAGATGGACAATATTTATTAAGTAATAACAAGTTAACTTTATTCAGAATTGAATGTTTGTCTGATGTGAGTTCTTTGGTGGTGGTAATGTTGTTGATGTTGGTCACCTGGCCAGTTTCAGGTCAGCAGAGACAAGTGTTAAAACTGGCATATGATGCTAGGCAAGAGGAAACAGCAAAGGCCTTTTTTTCCCCTGACCAAAACTCTAACACACACTAACTGGCACTGTTTTTTTTGGAGAAGTACATGTTTGAACAGAAATGATTTCATCTTCCAAGAAAATGGGGCGAGGAAGCTATACCGGTAATAAGCCTTTACATACAGAGATCAGTATACATATTCTCCATACTGTTCTCTATACATTTCTGAAGGTGCTGACAAGGAGAATTTGTTTCACAATCAACAGTTTCTTAAGTTAAAGATTATTTCCTTTATTCTAGTGACCTAAATGTGTAATTCAGGGGTGAAATTGTAAGGAGAAATTAGATGCAAGTGTCAGATAGTCAGTACCATTGTCTCTCCTAATCTCTGCCTCTCTTTATAGTATCTTTAACAGCATTGTGGCAATGTGGCAGTTGAGAAGCCTCTTAACCCTTTAACTCCCAAGATCAGATTCTTAATTCTCCCTTTTGGCTGCTACACATTTCCTTGTAACTTAGTAATGAGAATTTGGTGTTAAATCAAGATGGCAACTTCTACCTGATTCTCATTACCTATTTACTGCATAATGTAAGGATATTATAGGGAGAAGTTTCATGTTGATCACTTCTGGGAGTTAAAGGGTTAAGAGCTTGTCTGAAGCTCTTGGTTGCTAGTTCACTTGGCCATGATGATGTACATCATCTATTAATGGCAACTTTTTATGTCCATTTTTTACTGTTCACTGATTTTGACAAGTGAGTCAGCATACTGAAACTCACTGCTGTGCTCATGATCATACATGTCTAAAGCCACAACGCAACTTTCCTGAAAAAGGAAATGAAAGAGTAGATTTAACACCTACACTGCTGTTTGAATGTTAAAATTACACTTTTAGTGATAAACATTTCCAAAGAGGACACAAACCTTCACAACTCTTTCTTGATCTTTTGAGTACTTTTCCAAGGCTGTTAAACACTGATCCTGAGAAGAAACAATCACAAATTAGTAGTTACTGAAAGAAATGAACTATTCATATTGGAAGGCTGTCGATGAAGGGTTTTTAAATTATGGAAAGATTCCACTGTAACCCTATTGAAGTACTTAGGAATTAAAAAAATGGACTTTCCTTTAAGAAAGTCCTCCACCTTTCAAATCTTGAGCTACCCTTAGTGAACCTTCTTTCACTTGAGTGGTATTGAAATAGGAATCAACTATTATAAGACAGTTATCAAGAACTTAAAAATATAATAATTGCAATTTTTTAAGCCATGCACAAAATCTCACCTCTTTCATGCAACATTTTAAGGCTTAGTCTTATTTATTTTTCATAAAACTAAACCGTTTGGTAATTGCTAATTGCATGATAATTATGAACACTACGTGTATGTGGAATTCTCTCCATGAGAAAATGCGTAAAATCTCAACATCATTTAAATTACTAAATTAATTGCTTCCAACATACAATGTACAAACCTTAGCTATTGAACCAAGTGCCTCAGCACATTCATGTCTCACCATCGGGTTTTCATTTAAATCTTCAAGATTCTATTGATGAAAAAATTGTGATTAAGTCAGTTTTTTTATTAGCAGAGAAATGTCCCCATATGAAGAACTTGCTAAGAGTAATTTGAATTTGAAATCAAAGTGGTTATCACAGATGGCAAAGTGAGGAAGGGAAATTGTGGAATAGGAGAGCTTGAAAAGCAAGACTTTGATGAAACTATGCCACAAAATAAACATGTTCAAACAGACAAATTTTACAACGTTGTGGAGTTGATTGCAAATATATGACCCACCTCTATAAGCTGTGGAATGGCTGCCTCATGTTGCATCTGACCAAGGACATATGCTACAAAGATAGAATCAGGTGCAAATTGTGTGAGCTACTGAGTTTCATAACAGTTACTGCAACTGAAATACTGAATCCTGATTCTGTAAATTCCTCCAGTTACTTCATTGAAGTGAAGGAAGTGAATTAACAAAAATGGTTATGATTGTAACTCACCAATCTCATGTCTGAATAATGCACTGCTGCACTTAAGACCTTTAGCCAAGGCCTAAAAAGGAAGAATGAATTTAATTTAGAAAGTTTACAATTTTAAGAAAATAAAGATTAAGCCAAGAACCAAACATCAAGATATAACTGTCGCCCCCTTTGACTTCAAAGATCATTGTTATATCCTATCTTCCTCTTCATCATTTAGCTTTCTTTTTTAATGATGTATACCAGGTATACATGGTTGTTACTCGTTGAAGATTGATGCAGATATTGTGATTATGGTGAGGTGCAATACTCACATTTTGTGCAATTAATGTTACACTACAAGTACATCTTATATTAACTATCAAACAACAAAAAAAGCCACGACTTACCTGCACTGATTCAGTATCTCCCTTGTTACGCAATGAAAACATTGCCCTAAGAGGAAGAGATATGTAACAGAGTCAAAGGTAAAGAGAGATTGAAATTGCAAAACCCATTAAAAAGAACAACTTATAGAGATTATAAATGCATTGATTGCCTCTGTGCGATAATTCTTTGATGAGGTAGGCAATGAGCAGTGTCAGAATCTGAAATTATTTTACTGAGCAAATATCAAATGAAATATCGTATAATTTCCTTAATGAGTGATTCAAGGGGTGATACTTTTAGGAGAAATAAGATGCCAGTCACTCTTAACCCTTTTACTCCCAGAAGTGATTAACATGTAACTTCTCTTTAAAATATCCATACATTATCCAACAAACAGGCAATAAGAATATGAAAACTAATCAGGTAGAAGTTGTTGTCTTGACCTTACGCCAAATTCTCATAACTAATTTACAAGGAAATGTGTAGTAGCATGAGGGGAGAATTTATCAAATCTTAGGAGTTAAAGGGGTAAAGGTCAAAGGGTTAACCACAACTAAATTACTACTATTGATAATGATGATGATGATGATGATAGCAATGACAAAAACAATGGGAATAACAAAAATAACAACGAAAAAAAAAATTAAAAAATTAAACTTTAATTATGCATCTGCAAGACTAATATACAGTCATGTACCTATATCTGTCAAACAATTCACAAGATTCATCGAGTAATGTGTTTTGTAAAGTGTTTGTGTCCAGTGTTAGGGAGGGAGGTGCAGGATCAACAGATTTATAAGGATTTGAGCTGAAAGAGAAATATTCATAAATTATTTTACAAAATTTGTTAATTTGAAAATGAAAATGAAAAGCACCCTGCTTTAAGCTTACTCAAACAAATGGACATAACATCACATGCAGTACCTGTTCTTCACAGGTTATTCAAGACAACATGCACAACCTAGAATCTATGTACATATGTAACACCAACCTTAGCTGACCATTTTCTTTAGAACTTTTTGCTCTCAGCCATTCTATTCTCTGAACAGCAAGTTGACAAGTTTCTGCCACCTGAAAATGCAATTTATATAAAATACCTGGCTATAAAATACAGTCAGTGATGAAACATTGCTTAAAATTGTACAATTGGTATGAACCAAGTTAAAAAACATTAAAAAATGATGCTGCTAATGATATCTAATTTGGAAGATCTTCTTTGTATTAGAAAGCAATCTGGCTCATGTCTAAATATTTAGGCTGACTGAAACATTTTAAACTCTATTTAACATTAAATTTTATTTTCTTCCTTTGACCATCCTGGTTTATTTACTACTTCTTTCAACAATTTATTGGTTTTGGCAGTACCTCTATCTGTGGGTCATTGGCAAACTCCCTCAGGACATCTAGAACTTCAGCTGATCCAATGGCACCAAGTGCCTCACCAGCCTGGAAATTAGGAGAAACAAAAAGTTCACATTGCAACTAATGGAACAGTTAAACTTACTACTGAGAAATAATTCATGCAATTACATGTGGGTGTTTGGAATAAAATTATCATATATGCAAGTCTAATTTTAAATCACTTCTATATAACTTTTGTTAATTTGACTTAAGTTTCTGCATTTACATGTACAGTATAATAAAAGAGTGGAGATGTACCTCATGTCGAACCATTGGCTCTTGTGTTTTATCTTGAAGGACTCTAAACAATTAAAAAATTTATCTCAATGAGGTGTATGATGGCAAAATCTATGATTGTCAGAACACAACAAGTTCTTTTAAGTAATTATTTGTAACATGCATTTGGATTGACTGATAAACTTGGGGGAGAAATGAATGATATATGATGACTGCAACCCATGAATTTGATTTACCTAATCAATCCTGGAATGGCATATTCATCCTGCAAAAGAGAAAAAATAGAATTTGCTTCATATACAAATGTATGTTAACTTACCTATAAAAACTTCTTTTTATTATATAGATACTGATGAAATACCAGGATTTTTCCTTTTACTAAAATATCATATCTTCATCATGCACAGTGAAGATACTATTTTTATCTTTCATGTGTGAGAATATTAGTGTTGCCATGGTTTTCTTAACATGATTGGCCAATTACAAGAAAGCTTCCTGCTTTTGTTGTTATAGAATTTTTCTCTTCTTTATTAGAATTTTGACTTTTTTGGAACAGAAAATAAAAGTATTATTGTCTTTATTTCTCCTTTATAACTTTATATCCGAGTTTCATAACATTTTTGTGACAGGCATTTTGTGATAGGTGACCACTTTAATTGCACTATTTTGCTGTTTCGAAAATGAATAAAAAAAGTTGTATTTTATGTAGGAATTTCATCAGTATCTATAAACTAAACAGAACATTACCTCCGGTACATGGCCGCTTGGGGGATACAAATTTTATCTCCTCATGCTGAAAGTACCTCTCATGAGTGAGCGAAGCCAATGAGTGAGAGATACTTTCAGCACTCAAAGATAAAATTCGTATCCCTGCACGGCCATGCAATATCCTCTATTTATCTGCCTCTATGTAGACATGTACAGTATACAAAGTTTATAAATATTTTTCAGGGTGTGATCAATACTGTTTTTATTGCAGTCAGTTGTTTTTGTCATAAAACTTGTTTACCAAAGAGCTCTGAGCCATCTTGTTTAAATGTGGAGCTTGCATTTTGAATTGTTAATAGAGAAAAATCTGGGACAAAAGTTTTCAAAGTGACTGTGGCCCAATTGTACCAAGCAAAGAGCTCTTCACAATTTCCACATTTTGTATGCAAATATGCATGTACATGTAAACTCTACCTGCATTTGTCCCAAACAATAAGCCAATTCATGTTTAAGCAATGCTGACGGATCATCAAAACCTAGAGGAAAATACATGAGGTTAATTCACATGAAAGCATGATGTAGTGATTGGATCCAAGGGTAGATCCAAGGGAGGGGAGGGTTCAGCCCCAACAATGATACTGTGGTCTAAAAGGGATTAGTGCTTGGGATACTCTGATCAAAAAGTACAGGTTTGAGTCATAATGGGTTCCCTGTGCTTCCTTCAATGACTACGATCTATATATTACTTTGTCGCAAGCCACTACACACTAGAACTTCTGATCATACACTGGTAAGCCTTAATACATCAAACTGTACCATAATTAAAAATAACTTACAATTTGAAATGCAGTCAATGGCTTCGTGTCCACCAAGATTTCTTAGTGTAAAAAGGGCGCGGAATCTGTCTGTTAATGGTCTGGGAGAAATATAGAGGAAATTGTAAATAAAATACTAACGATCCGGGAAAGAAGCCAGAAATCTGTAAATATGTAGGTGACGTAACCATATACCTATTTCAATAAATTTCACACATGTTATCACGGACAAGCTCATGCCTTGCTTGTATTCAGGAGTTTTTGTTGATTCGATTATGATGTCTGAATAAGGTGTCGTCTAGGACTGGACTATAATGTTATGTAATAAATGAATTTTTCGCCTCCAAAGCTGCAAGAAAGTTCTAACTTTTTATAACTTAATTTTGGTCACGAACTTCAATCAAGACTTGTGTCGATCGATAACAGCTGATAACCTTTAATACTCACCGATTTTGATCCGCAAGTTGAAGTCCTATTTGCTGCACAGATGAGGAATTAACCATTTTCCCAATTTATTTTACAAATAACGACCACAAATACGAGAAATACACCGATATTTAGGGACACTTCGGTCACAACGTGGATTTTTCTTATTTCAAAATACTTTTAGTGGAAAAACTGCTGACCAGGTTGTCATTTGGTGACAGTTACACCCACAAACGAGATGTCACCACTGAGCAATATGATCGCAGTCTCGCAAATGAAATTGGCGCGAAAAAAAGCGTGCTGCCAGCGTTGTCCAACAACAAAAAGAAATCAATAAGGAGAAGAAACTTCTATGGGTTTTGTCAAGATTATTCAAAATACGATAATCGATTTTATCGTTTGATAATCAACTTTTCTGAAACGCTCCCGAGAGAGGGGAAGTTAACATGAGTAATCCAACGGGTTCTGGTTCCCCAAACTTCCGAATTGACGTTATTTTCAACTCTCTTCGTGAGCTGCAACAAGGTTTGCCTTCATGTAAAATAGTTAATTAGGAGTTTTACATGGTTTGCTTTATCTTCCATTCTTATAAAAGTGTCTCTTATATTTTGTCCACAACTTTTCCTTTCAGCTTTTTTCTTAAAGCAGTTGCTTGTCATAAAATGTATTTCAATGTCATTTTTTCTTATGAATGACAAAAGTAGCCACTGTTTGTGTTTCAGAAAAAGAGAGACTTCAGCAGCACTATAACGAAGAGAAAGCTCGTTGTCGAAGCTTGGAAATTAAACTTGAGGCTTGTATGTACCTCTCTGTATAAAACTGTCGATTTTTTTGCGTTATGCACTAACAACCTACTTTTTTAAGCTTCAGCTCACTTTACGTATTTTTGTCAGGTCAATCAAAACATCACCAGAGCATTGAGAAACACTGCAAAATGTTCGGTAAGTTACTGCTGTTTGATCAATTAAGCAATTACTAATTTTTTGTCTCTATCAAACGATGGAAAGCGTGACAGCAAAAATAGTTTCATTTGCAGCCGTGGTTCTTTCTGGCTTCTATGTTCTTACAGTGTCACAACTTGTTTCGTTCACCCATTCCCAGAATATCTCTATATATATGAAAATGAAGAAAAGAAATATGTATTTCATAACTTAATTAGAAACTCATCTGTTTTTTATTTATCTGAAAGACGAAACCCTTCAAAATAGGAAAACCACACCATGCAAAAAGAGTACCAAAAAACTGTCGTAATTTAGTTAAAGTGCTGTCGAAGAATTTTTCAGGGATTGAAACTTGTTACTCTCTTTCTTTCGGTTTTTTTTTTTTTTCTATTTTTTCTCTAGAAACAGTGAATGCAGCTAAACAGAAGGTTTTACAAACTCAGTTACAGGCAACTAGGTAGTGTTCAGTTATTTTGATATCTCAGGCATTCCAGTTTACCTAATGTTGCTTCTGATACATAAAGTATAAAAATGTAGAACAACATCATGACTTTTTCGATCCATTTGATTTGACTCGGAGTACTGTGTAATCTCCGAGAGGAAATATTTCAAAGGAGTAAAAATAAAGAACAACCATCATTTGAAAAAAATATAATTGATTTATACTTAAAATTCTTAGACATTATTGAAAACGTTCATCAATCACTGGTTTGGTTTGAACAGACTGAAAGAGCTGAACGATGGAAAGAGTGCAAGAATCGCAGAGCTGCGCAAAAACGTCTGTGAAGTAAAGAAGAAAGAGGATGCAGAACAGTAAGTCGCAAGTATTTTACATTGATATTCACGTTTTTGTTGATATGGCCTTGTTACTACGAAATTCTTGTAATCAAGAGAATATTACTGCGCCATTACATTGCATTGCCGCTTAACTGATAACTTAGGAGGTAATTTACCTGTAACAGCTATTGGAAGATATTCAGTTCTTCCATCAAACCCTCTCATGAAATAACTTCCACGCATCCTGACTTGTGGTGTACAGGGGAAGAAAAACTTACGCCTCAAGAGTAGTGCTCAGAGGGTACGCCTTCTCAGCTTGTGTTTTTATCGTCTTGACCAAAAAATGTCATCATGTTATCATTCAGTGAACACTACAAACCACAAATCGCAGGCCGCCAAACATCACACATCAAATTTCACCACAGAAACGCCAACCAATTAGCTGTTGTTCTTAAATTAGTCGCGCCGCAGGGAAGGGCAGTGAAAAGTTAGATTTTAAAAATTATCATTAGAAGAGGGGTATGTATGGGGGATAAGTTCTCTCAGTTCATATTCTCTTAATATGGCCCAATAGCAGAGCCTGTGAGGTACTGATCAGACGTCCTTCGATTCACCTCTTTTGGAGCACAAAAAGTTTCAGTTTTTCTTTTATTTCTGTATTATCGACTAAGAAAAACTCGCATTTTTTCCTGTAAGTATGAGCTGATTAAATTGCGTGGAGCGATAACCTAGACAAGGCACAATTTGCAATACTAAACAAATACCGCACTCTTTATTTCAGGCAAATCTTTGAAAACAAACTTGCAGAACTTACGAGTAACTTCAGAGATGCACGAAACTATTATGTAAGTGGTCAAAAAAAATTAAAGCAGTCCTCTTCTACTCTCATGCTCTGTTCTTTGTTTAATATCAAGTATCACAGGCTTCATCAGATATTCGAAAGCTACTCATGATAGGGGGAGCCAGATTTCGTTACTGATTCATGCGGTGCGTGCAGAAAAAAATGGCTCAGTCGCGGTTAAAGATCAGGTCGAGCTCTACCATACCCCGCAGTTTTGATTAGAGCTGGATTAGATTAATACAAGCATACTCAGTGAGCTGAGTGAGCCCTGTGCCGTCCTCTAAACTATATATAAATTAATTTTTTGGTGCTTGGGCTTGCTCAATAGACAGAGGAAAATGTAAGGAACGAATTGGAACACTGGAGCAAGAAAGCTGACGAGACTAGAGCAGAAGGTTAGCATGGTCGAGAAAAGATATTTGAATTCGTTTGTCCTTGCACTCTGAGAAACTTTCTTAGTCGAGAAGATAAGCTTCCCAGAAGTTCAAAGTCCTGTAGGCTGGCTTTTTAACGGAATCAAATTCCCAGTCCCGAGTTGGCAAGTTATACCCCTCAGAGCGCATAATTTGCCTCATCTTGCCTGCTAGCGGAGCATATCAGGCCCTGGTAATTCTTATGGGAGTTTTCGTTCGTTAAATTAGTTTTTAAAGAAGACAAGGTGTTGAAAGATCTAACTACCAAGTTCAACCAGCTGCAAATGGACAATAAGGAAGCAAAAGGTTAGTGATACACATCATATCACTTGCTGCAAATTCATCACATTTTTGATAGATCTCATTTTCACGAGTCCTGATTGGTTGACTAAACTTTGGCGTTTTTCTTTCAGATAAGCTCAATTATAAGCTGGAGTTTGATGTTACCCCCGGAGAATTGCAAACCGCTTTGTAAGTCTCTCGGCTACTCTCACGTCAAGAACCAGAAGCAGTATTTACTTATCTCACTATGCCGAAAGCTGTATTCCTACAACAAATGAAAAGTGTATCTTCTCCTATAGTACTCTTTGAGTCCAGTAACTCGCCTATTAACTTCCCCTAAAAGGCGAATAGTCGAGGTGAATAGATAACTAATGTAATTAATCATTCGTTAAAATAAATTTGGCGTATGATTTTATTTTAGGAAGGTTTTTGAAGAATTGAATCAGAAGTCAAAAGACGACCTTAAAGAATCCGAAAAACAGCTCGAAAGAGAACTAGAAAGGTAGGAAAAAAGAAGTAAAGGTGAACGAATGAGATGAATTAAGAGAAATAGAGAGCAAGCTGGTTGATTTTCTAGTGAAGACAAGATTCGAAGTGATTTCGAAACCTGCTATTTCGTGTTGGAACGACATGTCGAGTTCGTTTCCCGCATAGAAACGTTTATCTTCCTTTAGCGTTTTTTCTGTTTTGATGTATTATCATCTCTGCCTCTGTTTTTTAGAATCAAGCGAACAAATGATAAGTCTGGAAAAGAGAGAGTGGCAAATAAGGTAACCTCCGTATTTAAAACTAAAGGATATTAAACTGGTATTTTCATTCTGAAAAAGATATTTCAAAATATTTTCTGATCATTAATCAACAGCAAATCATAACAGCGAACAAGGCATGTGAAGGTCCGGACATGTTTGGTGGGTGCGGTTCACAGGCAGAGTCATACCAAACAGGATTTTACGAGCAACTTAGCACCGTAAATCGTCAGTACTTCAGACTTGACAGCCGTTCCATTGCATCAGGAATGAACGGTATTCTGAAATAATTTTAATCCAGGACTAATAAGATTTAATCCTGGGCTTCGTTCCATGTTTGTTTCTCGGTATGAATGTACTTCTGCAGATACAAAACTGATGACAGCTTTCTTGTTTTCCTGTACAAACAGACGGACTTGCATTACACTGGTTTTTCTTGAACTTGAAATGACTCTTAAATTGCTCTGGTTTCCGAAGTTTTCTTTTGTTTTCCTTTAAGGATGCGACAAGACTAAAAAGAGGAAATATCTGAGGCCAAAACCCCGGGCAGCAAAAATATAATGTTTATTTTTCTTTACAGGACCTACAAACCAGACACCCCTACAACGGGAAGCGAGGAAATCCTCTTTACAAGGACAGTCGTTCTTTCTTTCTCTACCTGTTTCCCCCAAAATCTAAATTGTTAAAGCACCGATCCTACTCATCTATTCACCTGATTTCTACCTTGGCGGTTTTACTGAAGACTAAAGGTTATTTAATTGGCCAGCTGATTTATATTGTTTTTTCAAGTTCCAAACCTCTATGGCTACCTTCACCAAGGGTTATTAGGGCTTAGTAGTAATCTGTGTTACTTTCACTGTTACCTGCGTAGTTTAAAATGAAACTTCTGTTGACAATTAAACCTCGGTTAAAACCCTTAGATTGGTGGTAAACATCATAAGACATAAGCGTCTTACCCAAGGGTAGGACCCCTCGATCCACCGTCCGATCTACTGCGCTAGCTATTTTAAAGCCATCGTGCCACATCTATTAAAGAACTCATTACTTTGTAGTGAAGTCTGGATATGGGCAGTTCGTGGGCTTCATTCAAGTGACCACGATTTGATCCTTAAAGCCCACGGACTAAAAAGCCTCATGAAATAAATTCCTTCAGTTTTTCCTAGCACACCATTCTCAAAATTATTCATCCTAGTTGTGGAGAAGAAACGTATCTTTACCACATTTAGACCATGAGAACTAAGTACAAATGGTATTATAGAAGCTCTCAATGTTTCACTTTGAAAAATCCCAAAACAGAAATGTTTCGTTCAGCATTTTAAACTGAGGAAGAGAAGAGCTGATATTTGACGCACATAAGAACTTGAAACTGATCTACCAAAAGAGGACTTCCAAAAAGTGACATTAGCCCCAGAACAAAAATTATATTTCAATGCGTTATTAACTGCAGTGTTATATTTTCTTCCTTTCATTCTTACTGCAGCAGTGTAGTTTAAACCTTCTTGCAAAAATATTCCTTTAGGAAAATACACCTCAAATGTTTTCTTAGTCGAAAAGCTTGCATCATAAGTGTGAGACCTCTTGGCTACAGTTGTATTTCCTTGATAGAGCTCGATGGTGAAAGTGCTACTAGGAAACAACCTGTTATCTTTCCACATATGAAAACCGCGTAAAATAGTATTACCACTTGTCTGGAAATCAAAGGCATCTACAGAAGAATCCTCCACAGAATGTAAAGAAACCACGTGAGAATAATGTCTTCTGTAGGACCTTCGAACTATTGGATAATTCTCTCTTGAACGCCAGCAGCTACAATCCACTGTGAAAAAAAATTAAGGTTTCCTTCTATTTTCTGAGTTAAGCATGTCATGCCAATAGGGGTAATCAACTTCACTGTCATTGGGGTAAGAAATTATTTCGATGACGGGGGTTTGAATAATAATCACTGTCTTTTTGTTATAATATCTTGATTTAATTAATGGGAGAGATCGAGATGATGGCTAATTCAGGTTAAAAGCGGATCACAATAGTCCTTTTCGTTGTTTTTTTAAGATGGGCATATTGCAACATTTTTGGTTAGCAGTTAATTAGAATTCCAAAAGACGAGTTCAGACTTGAATTAAAGCACCAAAAAGTTTTAAAAATTCTCTACCTGGAGGGATAAAGGTGTCGAGGCTTTCCAGAAGAACACCATCTGTAGAATCTCTATACGATGGCCAATACACGTTATCAACTCAAATGGTAAGATCTAATTATCATGTAAAACCTCTCACTGACGCAACACGACAGTTTCTTTAGACACCTAACCCTTCCCAGACGATATTGGAGCCAACAGAAACAGTATTAAGAAAATGAGTCTATTTTAGATGAACATGACTAACCTCCTTTTTGTACTACAAGATTCATCCTAGTCCTCTTCACGCCCATGGCGTTCGTCACGGTACACTCATACAGTCCACTGTCAGTGGTACTCAGATTTTTTATAGTGAGATTTCCTTCCCATGCTTCGGTCCTTGCTGGAGGTAATGGCTGAAGAAGTCGTGTCCAGTTTGAAACTGGAGGAGGAAATCCTTCAGCTTGGCACGTTTCAAAAAAATCTGTGCTTTCAAGTGGCATAGAAACTGCTGGAGGTTTCTTAGTAAAGATTGGCGCCGCTACAAGAAAAGAGTCGCAATAAAAAATCAGAAATTGTGACTGAGAAAGCGGCTCAGTGCTAAAATAGTTTGTTTTTTAAATTGTTTACCAATGCGGAGTTTTTCTTCTTAGTTAGCTACTAGTTCTTATCGTCGTTAGAATTCAAAAGATTTGTAACTTCTCAATTTTTTTAATAAAAAAAGTTAGAAAGAATAGTTGATGAAAGTCACCTTACCTCTCACCGTAAGGTTTGCAAATGCCTCATCAGACCCCAAAGCACTCGCCGCAACGCAAGAGTAAAAACCAGTATCATTGAACTTCAGCTCGTTGATGATCAGTAATCCTTTGTCTATGGCATACTTTGATCCTGTACATAGTATGTTCCCCTCAAATTTCCATGTGACCTTTGGTGCTGGATTTCCACCAACTGTGCAATTAAAAGTCATGCTTCCTCCTTCGTCGATTATAGCTGTGACTGGCAATAGAATAGCTACCGGCGCAGAAACCGTTCGACCGGGAATACCGGGAGGACCAGGAATTCCCATCTCACCAGAACCCCCTTTTTCTCCCTTTTCTCCTCTAGGTCCTGGACCTCCCATTGTTCCCCGTATTCCTCGATTCCCGGGAATCCCAACATCACCTTTCGGGCCTGGCTCCCCTCGGTCGCCTTTTATTCCCCTTGGTCCAAGGGGACCCATCATTCCTCGCTTACCGTGAATTCCAGGTAAGCCAATATTACCTTGAATTCCTTTTTTTCCTTTTGTCCCCTTCGGCCCCCTCCTTCCACGAGGTCCCTTCGGACCTTTTCGACCAGGACTTCCGGGGGGACCAGCGGGACATACCCTCTCATTTGATCGGCAGTATTGACTTGGAAGGAATATTCCCAATTGGAAGGCGATCTCGCGACGTAAATCTTCAATAGCTAAGCTAGCGGTATTATTGCCTGTGGCACTTCTACGAAATCTTTGAGCAGAACCTTTGGAAGACTCCCCATAGGACTCTAAACTCAATTAAGAAAAAATTGGTGGCTAGCAAATATTTCTATGCGAGAACCTAGGTATCCTGAACTTAATATCCGCGATAAGTCATATGTAACCACAGGCGGCCTAAGCGTACCATTTACATGAATATAACTTATAAATTAAGATTGAATTTTAAGCGTAGGTGTGTGGCGTAAAGAAAAGAGGGAAATAATAACAAAATCGAAAAAATAAAAAGGATAATAAAAGCGAGAATTATAACGTTTTAAGTCTCCCAACCTTTCTTCCCTAGCTGCCTCGTCACTTCTGGCCGTTTTAACGCTATTTTGTCGACTTACTTTGTGCCGCGTGATGTGCTGCTACAAGTGACTCCCGTTATTGTGGGCACCCTCTAGGGGCAAATTTAGTGTCCGTAATAGTGAGAGTCCGTAATAGCGGGTTCGAGAGGAAAAAAATTGTTTGTCTTTAAACATCTGAAATCATATGTATCTACGTAAACATAAAGTTTCTAACGTGGCCTCATGAACCGAAAAAAGATCCGGCCGCAAGACGGAAATCGTCATGTTCGCACCCAATTGAAGAATAGTTTCTTTATTTTCCTTTCTCGAAGTACTCCTTTAGACGAAGTACTTAAAAATCCGCTAAGGTGAGAGAAAAACAAATTGAACTGTTGCGCTGGGGAGGGGTGAGGGGCATAAAAGTGTCCATATTTTCATAGTAGCGAGAGTCCGTAATAATGTGAGTTTGTATCAGTCATTTCTTTATGCGTTTCGTCGGGGGGCTGGCTCCTGTCCGCAATGGCGGGTGTCCGTAATAGCGAGGTGTGCGCAGGGCCAAAGTCGATTGTATTTACTTAGTATTCCCGTTAATGACTTACTTTTAAACCTCAAATCACACAGTACGCTTCATGAGCCGCCTATGACGTAACTTTCAGAATAATTTTTTATGATCCATCAACTATCTTGTTTGCGTGCAATCGCTCTAAACGCATTAGGTCAACTACGATGTAATGATGTTGCATCAATATATAGTGTATTATGCATACCAATGCCTTAAAACGCTTTACAACACTTTGAAGGGGGGTCTGGCAAGACTACAGATTACAGACTAGTGAATACTCAAAAACTTAAACTAGGAACTTTTTGGTGATATTACCCAAGTGACGTTCCACGATTTTCAAAAAATCATTTCCATTTCTTTGTTCAAAAGTCAATTTAAGATGATGGGGAGTTTTTCTGATGTAGCATCGCCGATTGCTTTTTAACTCCACCATCAAACAAAGCTCGGAAAGCCTTTCGGGAGTTTGTGAGTACAAAACCCCTTCTTCTCTGCCAGACGCTTTTGGCAGATGTCATTTCGCTGTTTGAGATGATCCGGTTATGGGTCAGTGAAATTAACAATAGGTCAGAAATATTAGGAAACTAGGTAATGTAAAATGCGTAGATATCCGGTATAACTGACTTCTCCGACATTGTGAATATCTAAACAAGATATTTCCTTTCTTTGAGTCTGGAGTCAGAAAATGCAGTTTCATTTAAAATATCATAAATTTCCCGCAAAAACAGATTATTTGAATTTGAATCCCAAAATTCGCACTAAAATATTTGACACGATCATGTCCCTTAAAATATCGAAGGTCCTAAATCCTAATTAACTAGTTTTTAGTTCGAGTTGGACTAGTATTTCTGCTCACAAGAAATAGATAGAGGCCAAAAATATCGTAGGTAACATTTTTTTTTCAAGTGCAGTTTTGTATCCATTATCGCTAGATTATTCCTCGATTCAGTGTGGTGCCTTCAGAGCAACACATAACACCTTCAGCAATTAATCTTTAAACTAACCTGATGAAGAAAGTCGAGACTGCGGTGGCGTCATTCCACGTCGTTTGTTCTTCTTAACGCCGAGTGTTACGACCATCTGTCCGCTTCGTGCAGCTTTCATCTCGGGAGCGATGCATTCCTTTGTGAGACTGATGATCTTTTGTTCCAGCGCGAACAGACGATCATTTGTTGCGTCATTCCGAAGGAATAGAATTCCAGAAATGAACAGTAAGAAGATGGACAAATACGAAGGCCTTAAGTGAGGAAAGAAATCTCGAATGCGATGATCCTTTGAGGTTTCCATTCCTCTTTCAATCTGCGACCGTTGTGGACAAATCGTGAGCGATGATACAGGTCTAAATGCAGTCCGTAATATTCCAGCTGCTTCTGACATTGGATATGTGGTAAGTCATGTGAGGTTGTTTAAATCAATACACTCTTTTTTTAAGTCTGATCTACCTGGGGCCTGAATGTTTTGTCTATAAGCCAAAAAACGGATGGGATAGCGAGATCAAAACAAAACTGACGATGAAAATATGAAAAGTTTATTTGATGCTGCAAACTTGTGTAACCAACATTTAAAATCTTCCTTCTTTTTCTAATTGAGTGAACAGATCTTTTTTGTTTTGTACTAAAAGCCTACACGATGTTCGCTTTATAAAGGCTCTTTTAAGTAGCAAATAGTGTTTTGATCTGTGATCCCTCTCTGAAATTTCGAACTGACAATAAGTCAAAGATATATGTCAGTTTCATAACAATGACTGTCATGCGGTGGCTCCGTCATAATGGAGAGCTAAGGAAATACTACGACTGCAAATACGGTTATCAGCACCAATAACAATTTTTTAAAATTATTATTCACCAAAGTGGAGGTGAATGTTAGTCGATATTTACTTAGCCGCGAAGCGTTGAGGTATTCATCCACCACTTTCAACGACACTGAGATGAATAATTGTTTTAGTATATAACACACGGATAAAAACATTCCCAAAAATGACCGGAAATTTAACTCTTAACGCGCGATTTGTCTCGGAGGTAAATAGTACTTGCTATCCATTTCCAAATTAGCCAATCATCACGCGCGAAAAGCACTATTCACCTGTGTTGTGTATATTTATTGTTGATTAATATTTACACTGCCACTGTATAACATGACCTATAAATTAAAGTTCTCCTTAGTTAGAAATTTCTTTATGCCTTTTTTGTCATTTATCATCATTAACATTATCACTATTGTCTTTGTTTCTTTTACAAAATCAGTCTAAATAATAGCTAAATAACTTTACATCATAAAACTTACATTACAGCATGTTTTCTTAACAGTTTTACTACCGAATACTATACATTGTCCTCCACAACGAACATTACTGACTTACAGTAATAATACCACAGTTAGTTGCCCATATTTTTGCCTTAGCTAGTTGACCATATTAAAAGATTATAAAAAGTTTTACTCGTAATGTAATTAAGAAATACATAAGTTATTCCAAGATTGACTACTGTAACAGGTACTTATTGAAATTACTATTAAAGAAAGAAATATAGATGTCTTTTAATTTAAACTTTTCGGGTTCAGATATTAAGGCCAGTTGCATCTTGTAAAGAGAAAATCGATGAGAAACATAATATTTGTTTGCCTTGCGTAACTCTCTGAGCGGAGGAAGAGCTTCAGAAGGACGGTTGTCGGTAATGGCTGATATCCTCACTCAGACGATCTCATTGAACATTACAACTGACGTAAGGCACGACAATTGGAATTCTCTTGGAAAATGAAAAAAAGTTTTTTCCTTTTTTCGTTCTTGAGCCCATAGATTTCTCAAGTTATTATCCAATATGTTATAATCGCGTTTTACTAACCTAACAATCTTACGTACGACTTCATAAGGAGAACGACCAACAGGCTACAAAATTCAATTGTTGTAAACGGGTCACGTCTCAGATTAGGCTTCCTCTATTTACCTTATTTAGGCTTCTTCTCTTTATTTCATTTGATCAGACTTTTATCTTATTCCTAAATTTCGATTAGTAGTGATTCTATATTTGACATTGTAGTGAACCGAAAATTAGAGCGGGTATTTGGCCTCTAGATGTACTAGATCCGTTAGAGTTTTTTGAAGAATTTTTAAAGGTAACTGTAACCTTAGAACATGACGTACTTGACATACCATTCTCGAGATAATAAGTATGTTTACTTGTAACTATCTCAACTGTTGCAGTGTAACTAAGACCTGCTCGAATAGAAATTCCCTGTAAAAAATACACTTTGAATGTCCTGTCAGAGGCTCTGGTGGAGTAGGACCCAGTCCTCTCGCCCATCAAGATACCTTCCTGATACAATCGAATGGTGACCTGGAAAGTAGTTGAATCGCTGCTGACTCCCCAAAGTCGATATCCTTTCAGAAGAACATCACCACTCGTTTGGAAATCGATAGCGTCAACTCTTCCTGGAGAGGTGGAGGATCCGCTGGAAGAGTATGACCAACCTCCACTAGCATTTTGAGGGCTACGAGCTCGCCAACATTCACAATCTGTATGATAAAATAACATTTCAAGACGAGAAGTTAATAACAACTTTAGGTTACATAAATAATAGTAACAAGTAGAAAACAACAAAAGCAACAGAAATAATCAATAGCATCCGAGCTGGATCGACGATGAGCTCTGATCGATATGACTTGTATGATTTTGTTTAATGTGCTTGAGTGTGTTTTTATCACTAGAGGGGAGATTTCGGTTGCTGAGGACGAATTGTTTCCCTTTCATGAAAGTGCTAAGAAGGAAGAGGATGTGGAGGAGGAGTCTCTCAAATTCGAACCGACAATTCAAGATCCAAGGTTACGTCAACAATAACAGTCGAGTTAAAAGAAAAATGAATATGAGCGGTAAAATTGACAGGAAACGAAAATGATCTCTATTCATATTTAGGACTTTGAGGTGTGTGGTCTCGCCAGTACTCATAACTTAGTAAAACGCAACGTCAAAATGTGAATAAAAATAACAAAAAGAAACAGTAATAGAGCTACAGCGATGGATATAATAACAATGGTAACAATAACGATAACAATAATGATGACAATAACAATAATAATAAAATAATATTATTATAATATTTATATAACATTTATTTTTTATTATCTTCTTCTTCTTCTTTAAAGTTCAAGAAGTAAACGTCACAGTAAACGAAGCGTGTATCCGTTAGTTTTTTCTTAGATTTTTATTAAACATTTTAATGTAATCGATTTTTTTAAGGATTTTATAATAATTTTTTGTAAATTATTTTAGTGATTATAGTGAATAAAGAATATTAAAATAATAATAATAATAATAATAATGATGATGATAATAGGAATGATGATAAAATGATAAAATTAATAACGATGATAATGTTAATAACAATGGTAATAGTAATTCAGGGTACAATACAATACAATACAATACAATATTTATTTGCTATATACGACATTTACACATGGAAAAAAAAAAAATGAAGAAAATTGATGACAGAAAATAAATGGCGAGAAAACCTGAAAGAAACCACGAGGCTTAACAAGTCAGGCTTTCTCACTTAAAATAACTAATCTTATATTAGAATTACAATATGGACTTATGGTAATTAACTTTGACCGCGCACACGTACACACACACACACGCACACACATATTAACTAAGTTAGTTAAGAATTACTGCCTTGGGTATTGATAATAATGTTAATAATGTTAATAATAATGATTACAGTAATTCAGGGTATTGATAATAATGTTTATAATAACGTTACTGATAATAGTAACAATAATAATGACAAAAAATAATGATAATAGTAATAATAATAATGATGATAAAATCAAATAGACCATCAAAATGAACATGTGAGGAAGCGGAAGTCACATAAACAGCTAAAATGTTTTTAATGGATGAACCTTTATGCATATTTCTATCCAGGTTTGAAGCTATTTGCTTTTAGTTCTGCAGAAGTGCTTAAATGATGGTCGTTTCTAGCTCCTTGATTTATTGTATCATGCAGTTCAAGTACCAAGGAAGGAATGTTACTCCAAATTGTTGAACGCTTACAACTGACAGTGACGTCATTACGTGAAAATATCACACTGAAGACTACTGCATTGACCAAGCGATACAGATTACCTGAGGTTTTAGAATTGGTGGTAACGACCGGACGGTGCTTTACCATAAGGCTAACAATTTGTCGTTTTGAAGAAGGCGGAAAATTCGACCACGATCGAACTGTATATGGAAGTCAGTAAGCTATAACGTATTCCGAATGAAAGTATATTCAAATTCGGCGGGAGAATTAAGCACAGCCTAAACCATTTTGTTAGACGTCAGTGAGCCAGTCAGTCATGAATTTAGTCTGTCGAACAGTCTGTCACCAAGCAAATGCCGAGGCTATACAAACCTTTAAATGGATCTCGTTGCACTGCCACGTTCATCTTTGTTTTCGTTGTACCCATGCTGTTTGTCGCTCTACATTCGTACACTCCACTGTCGGCAGGACTCAAGTTATTTATAGTTAGGCTGCCTCCACTGATCGTAGTCTTCCCTGCAGGGAAAGGCATTCCTAGTCTGGTCCAGTTTATGGAGGGACGTGGAAACCCTTTAGCTTGACATGTCTCGTTCAACGTGGAATACTCTTTTGGCGTGATGACAGACGGTGGTGGAGAGATCAAAATGGGAAGACCTACATGAAAAAAGAAAATAGAAGAAAATATACTGCATGTATGATTAGAAAAAACTGTAATTGATGAACCTCTACAGAGGATAATCTATTCAGGCTCACCGGAAACCTCTTAACAATTAAGGGAAGGGTACGAAGGGTCGTATAAGTTTCTTTCCAATTCCTTTTCGGAATTGTCCCCATACATAATCTTAATGTGAAATGGCCAGGCAGTGTAATCTTCGGTTTGGGGTATTTTCAACGCTTGAGGACCGAAGTCCTTAAAACTTACATATTTTACTGTTAAATCAATCCTTTTCTCGCCGTCAGCAATATAGGAACGTTTCAGACAAGATATCAAATTTGGATATAAAATTCTTACCTCGAACAGTTAAATTTCCTGACCCTTCATGCGATCCAAGGATATTAGTCGCAGCACAAGAATACCGTCCAGCATCACTGTAGTTCAAACGTTTAATGGTCAATGCTCCATCGTTGACCACATGTTTAGAGCCTGAAATAAGCTTCCTGCCCCTAAACTTCCATTCAGATCTGGGAGGTGGATTCCCACTAATCGAGCAATAAAACTTCACATCCTTTCCTTCATCTTGAGTCTGTTCAGCAGGTGATATCGTGACTTGTGGGGCAGATATTGACTCTCCAGGACTACCTGGTGGTCCTGGCATGCCTCTCGAGCCTGGCACTCCCTGGTCTCCTTTTTCCCCTCTCGGTCCAACAGGTCCAGCCATTCCTGGCTTTCCATGCCTACCTGGTGGACCCATAATACCCTGTCGTCCCTGTTTTCCTCGTGGTCCCCTCCTACCACGAGATCCTTTTACTCCTTTAACGCCAGGGCTTCCGGGGGGACCCGAAGGGCAGACTCTTTCGGTCGACTTGCAATACTTCGTAGGAATGAGCTGTTCTAAGCGCTTGGTGATCTCTCTGCGTACGTCATCAATTGTGATGACATTAGGTAAACTTGCTGGAGCTTTCCTGCGATTTCTGCTTACCATGAGAGGTATGTCCGGTCGGTTTTGTTGACTTTTACCTGAAGAAATTAATGATATTTATCATCCTTATTGAAAACAATTCATATTTTCTTTCAGATAGATTTAGGACGAGTTTACTAAGTTGCTGAAAGGCAACTCAAGACATTAAGAAACCAAAGTGGAAGAAACAAGCACAACGACATACGAGAGCGGTCAGACAAAAACTAGTTGGTCAACATTGCATGGTCAATAAGCAAAAAAAAATCAAAGCAACAACAAGAACAGCAATTTTCAATTGACAGGAAAAGAAAACTGCTGAATGTAAGTTTTCCAAGATGTTGCGAGGCCGGTCGGCATAGGCCGAAGTGCATTTGTGCGTAGCTCGTCTATACAATTTCTTATCTTGGAAAAAAATATCTTTTCATCAGCGGTAATAATGATATCTTGAAATCAATTTAGACCTGAGATTTATTAAAATGGGTAAAAATGTTTAATAAAAATTTAAAAAATTGGGTTTCGGATATACGGCGCTTACCACACAGGACATATGCTAGTACCTTGCCGTCATTTTGCGTATTTAAGTCAGTGCAGAATATAAATTACCTCCTATATATTGAACTGATATTTGATTTAGGGTACAGATGAAGTTTTTATCATTCCAAAATCAAATGAGTCCACCAAGTTACTACGCCGTAAATGTAAATAACATTTGTGGATGGGACTTAATGAGGAATACCGGACAAAATCAACAGAATAATGTGTGAACGAGAAGACCAAAACAGATACAAATGATTTCATTTTTGAAAATATTACGCAGTATATTTACTGACAACTAACTACAGACAGCATGAATTCGATCCTCATAAGCTCAGCCACTGTTCGACTTGATTTATCGGTAAAAACTTAGTCATGACTACGGCCGTCTTTTCAGTTTGCTTCAATTAACGAAACACTTCAGCTTATCAAAACAAACATTGATGACCTCGGCCTCATGCAGACGAAAGCACCCTTGTGATATCTGTTTCTACATCCTGTAGATGCAGAGCTGCCAACACTTTCGTGCTGACAGGAAAATGAAGTGAAGCCAATGCTTACACTGAGCTATTTAAAGTATTTTGCAAAAGAAAACCAACCATAGTTGACTGTATGTTGCGCTCAAGTTACGCGGCAAGTTATAGGATAACACAGTCCAAGGCTCGTTTGCCCAACTACACTACTCGCGTTCTTTCATTAGGGTTGCATGTGAGTTTGCATCAGCTATCAGTGGAAAATATAAAGTTTCTAAAATAAACTTTAAGTTTTGAGCGTCAAAAGGAACTAGGAAGATTACTTAACATTTTTTCTCGCTTGTTATCTAGGAAATCTCGACGTTGGGTACTCACCTTTTCTTTAAGTTGGCACGATCAAGTCAAAAGACTTGGAAGGATACAGTGTCATCAAAGAACATATTTAATTTAGATAGTTACTTCTACTCCTTCTACTGATAGTCAAAATAAAAGTTTAACAAATTTTTTTGCAAATTTCTCTACCTGAGGGATAATCAAGCTTCTTCGCAACAGGAGTCTTGATCCTCCTGGCAAACATCTGATCAGAATCCAGTTGCGGCTTGACGGACATTTCGTTGCGATTTGCATCGGAGCCAGTCTCAGCACAGCTTTGTGTTGTTGACAAAACCTTCATCTGTTTTTCCAACGCTAGCAAACGATCGTTTGTAGATTCGTTCCTCAACAGAAGGATTATACACACAAAGACTAAACTGAGAGACAGATAAGAAGGTTTCAAAGCAGGAAAAAGATCGTGAGCGCGATACGCTTTGGAAGACTTTGAGTTCGACTCCATTTTCTCGCCTCTTCTGTCTGTTGCGTTTCAGTGAAACAGGAACACGAAGGTTAATGAAAATCTGCCAAAAAATTTGATCCTCTTTGAACACGTCCGGGCAGATAACCAAAGTATTGATTAAGATCATTTTACGGGTTTATTTGTTAATCAAATGGTTAACAAGTTACCGTTAATTTGAGAAACTCCAGCCCAAAGAATTCTCTCTATGTCACACAGGATGTTTACGGAATTTCCCTGTAAGAGCAGGGTTAGATCATACATACTTTCGATTAACCGAAGGAAGGCATGCGTTTGCCTTATCAGACATAATCATCACAAAAAAAAAAAAAAGGATTTTGCATGTTACAGACGATGAAGATTGAGTTAAGTGAGCCACTTAAGAATAGTCTGATCGCCTTTTCTACTGCACTAAACTACTGTAAAAAATATTAGCCTCTTGACAGGTAGAGATCAAACGAGCTTACGAGTCAAAAAGCCCATCTTGCTAGGATTTATCCTGGATTCAGGGAATGATATCCCGCCCTTATGTAAAAATCACGCTTGCTCCATTGAGGACCTCGGCACTACCCCCTCCCCCCCCTCATTTTTCTTCAGGTTTCTCTGACAGTTTGCTAATAACCAGCCAGAGCTTAAAGCTAATTCCAGCGCACCGAGCGATCATAATTTGAGTGCATTCAGCCCTTGGCCTTCGCGACTTCCCCCCGATCTTCTGAAGGAAATTTTAAATATCTCATTTGAAAAGACAGAGGACTTGGATTTTGGTTACTGTAGTGTCCGATTTTGGATTTTGGACACTAGCGCCCGATTATATATTTTTGACACTAATGTCCGATTTGGATTTTAGACACTAGTGTCCACGTTTGGATTTTTGACTTTGTGAATATATGGGATGCGATAGGTTTTCTGTTTTGCATGTGATTACGTCACTAAGCTAAAATAACGCAACATTTTCATGCAATGATGACTTCCCAGCCCTCCCCAAGAATCTCATGAAACTTTAACAGTAGCTATATGTAAACAAAAGGTATCCTGGCTCTGCCTTGTGCAGTATTAGAATTGTTCATTCCTCTTACAATTAGCGCATGAGTTTAATAACTGTTGAGGTTATGGAAAACAAAAGAAACACTTATTAGAGTACGTGAGAAAATGCTACTTGCGACAATCGACGCAAAAGTATTTTAAACTGATCATCCGCACGTTAGTCTTGAATTCTGATCAAACCTTATTTTGAACTTTACCGTATCGTTGATTTGATTGGCTTAGTTTCACACAGTCCTTCTTCTCGCTGTTAACCTTCTCCCTCTCAATATCTCACCAATAATTTTTTTTACAGTCTGCTAAACTATTCTTAATATGTTAGTTGAGACAATTTGGCATTGGGTCCCCTAACTGATATCTCTCTATTTTCTCATCACTTGTCTGCTTGAAATTGTATTGATCAGTTGATATTATAAGGAGAGGCTCTATCTTGGTCACTAATGGGAATCCTGAGGAGGTTAAAAGATGACTACGACGGTAGCAGTAAAAGCTGAATCTCTTATTACTTGATTCCTTATTTTTATAACTGTCACCAACTGTCTTCTTCATCATCAGGGTTAATTTATGCTAAATAATTAACTTGCTGGCGCTGGTATTTAATTTTTTTTAACCAGTGTTAACTAAAAAAATATCCTAAAATCAATTAAATGGGTAAAAATGTTTCTTCAAATTATACAAAATAGGTTTTTTGAGTGAAACTATGAAATACCCTATTAGCAGTTACTGGAAAAAAGGATCACAACTGGTATTTGGCCTTGAGATATATTTGATGAGCTCGTGTCTTTAAAAGTAACATTAACCTCAGAACATGAATTACTCGATAAACCATTGGTAAGATAATAAGTTTGACGACCATGTGTAATCATGTGTAGTGTATAAAACACCCGCATGAAGAGAAGTCCCTTGAGAAGTACGAACTTCAAACCAGCTGCAGTGCGACGTCTTACAAGGGCGAGTTAACGTTAAGAAACTCGCGATCGTTTATTCAACCAGCCATATTGATTTGGAGATATAGGCGGTGGGGTGAGGGGGGCGGGAAAGGCGAAAATCTTCGACGGCTCCCTTGGTACAATTTTCTTTCTCTTCCCAGCCTTCCTCTGCCATTAAAATAAAAGATGGCGGCTATAATTTTCGCTAAGAAAATACTGAACACTCGCTACTGAGCACTCGCTCGCCTGCTCCGCAAGCTAACTTTAACCGTGTTCATTATGAATGTGGTGCAATGGTATCCAGTCTTGAGTGCGATCAAGGAACTTCCACGAAACAAATGGACGTATGGTAACCTGCTCCAGCGTTGTCTATACAGGTTTGAAATCTACCGGCAATGTGTGAAACATTTCAGACTGAATAAAAATAAACAAAGTCAATAATGTGAGTGGAAACTTTGGAAGTTTCTTTTAGCAGTGACTGGTCGGGGAACGGAAGATAAGCGCTGGTATTTGGCCACCGGATACACTTGATCCGTTGTTATCTTTGGATGATTTCGCAAACGTTACAGTGATACCTGCACATGAAATACTCGGCATACCATCTGTATGAGCATGCGTTTGATGACCATTTGTGGTTAATTGTGATGTTGCTGTGTATAATACACCTGCACGAAGAGAAATGCCCCGAGAAAAACGAACTTCAAACGTTTTTACTGAGGATGTGGTGTAGTAGGATCCAGTCTTTTCTTCGATCAAGGAGCTTCCACGATATAATCGAACGGTAGCCTGGAAAGTGGTTGAACCTCGGTGGACTCCCCACAGACGGTATCCCAGCAGTGTGACGTCACTACTTGTTTGGAAATCGACTGCGTCGATGCTGCCAGGACTGTGGTTCCAGCTTCTATCTGGACTTTCGGATCTGCTGCGCCAGCAGTCGTAATCTATTGAAAAATAAATTGATATAGCTTTAGATGAAAATGATAGGATTGATTGTACAGATGGTTGAATGATTGTAGGATTTTTACTTCTGTACTACCTAAAGGCTCAGGTATTCATGTAGAGATAGTTGGTTCATAACTATTTTGACGAAAAAAATGAAAAAAAATATTGGTCGAGTATATTACATCCACCGGTCGTACATGGTAACTGAACCAAGTGGAGTGCAATTTGAATAGGTAACAACATGATTTCGAGTGAAGGTTGGTGTCAATAAGCGCGAGGAAATTTTTCAAAGACAACAAAATTACACGAACCCGTAGGGCAGGTGAAATTTGTAGTCTTTGAAAAATTTATAAGTGCTAATAATGTACATGAAAAAATCACGCGCTTCTGATTGGCTGAAAACGAGTGCATTCTCGTGTAATACGAGTGCAACAAATAGCGCGCTCACGCTTTCAAAATTTCGAATTCGTCTATCTTAACTTTCTGTGATGTTTTTTCATCTACATTAGAAACAAGATTTCTCTTGCAATTTGGTGTGAAAATAAGTATGCGTAAATTTTTGAAAGACTACAAACTGCACTTGCCCTACGGGCTCGTGCAATTTTGTTGTATTTGAAAAATGTACTCATGCTTATTTACACCAAATCGCACTCGAAATCATGTTATTACCAATACTCATTACACCAAACTGCAAGAGAAAACATGTTACTACTTGTTGATAAAGTACATAAAAATTAGCAATAGTGTTACAACTTTGCACTCGTGTTACATTAAAAATGCACTCGTCTTTAGGCAATCAGATGCGCCTAATTTTTTCATGTATATTAGGTCTGAAGTAACACGCCAAAGGGTTTTCAAGGGTAACGTTCCCATTATTCAAAGAAAGCTTAAACACCGAGAGTAAGGCTTAAAGTAAGCATATAAAAAAACCTCTAAGACCTTTGGGCTGTTGCTGCTGCACTACCACGTTCATGGAGGTTTTCTTTGAACCCAGACTGTTTGTTGCCTCACATTCATACAATCCGCTGTCAACAGGGCAAATATTATTTATCACCAGGCTTCCATTACTTATGACAGTCTTTCCAGTTGGTAAAGACAGTCCAGTTCTGCGCCAACTTGTGGTAGGAGGTGGAAACCCTTCAGCTTGACAAGCTTGTCGGAAGGTAGAACGCTCCTTTGGTGTTGCAAGAGATGGAGGTACCACGGTGAAAATAGGAAGACCTGTATCAAGCCAGCAGAGCATGATTGAAATATGAGTGAAAGAGAAAAATTAACTAACGTTCTTTCCTGTTGTAATACGACCCTACTGATCCAGGAAGTATACTGTGCCGTATTGCCGGTTAATGTTGTAATGGCAGGGTATTTTATCTTGACAAAATTCTCAGTTGTTGGTTTAGCTATCTATGGGGTGGTTCAAATCAGCTTTGGCTAGGAAATGACAATATAAGAGCCATTCCATTGTAAAATGAAAATAATGCCTTCTAATCAGTTTCAGCGAATTTTGTCCTCACCTCGAACACTTAAATTTCCATAACTTTCGTGTGATCCAAGGACATTTGTGGCGACACAATAGTATTGTCCAGCATCACTGTACTTTAAACGTTTAATTGTCAATTCCCTATCTTTAATCAAGTGTTCTGATCCAGAGACAAGCTTTGCACTCTTGAATCTCCATTCGACTTGAGGACGTGGGTTCCCAGAAACCGTGCAGTAAAACGTTCCATTTCTTCCTTCATCTCGAGTCTGTTCAGCAGGTGATGTCGTGACTTTTGGGGCAGATATTGACTCTCCGGGTCTACCGGGCGGTCCTGGCATGCCTTTCGGGCCTTGCTCTCCCCGTTCCCCTTTCACTCCTTTTGGTCCGACAGGTCCAGTCATCCCCGGTTTTCCATGCCTACCTGGTGGACCCATATTACCTTGTAGTCCTCTTTTCCCTTGTGTTCCCCTCCTGCCACGTTTCCCTTTCGCACCTTGGACGCCAGGGCTTCCGGGGGGGCCTGCTGGACAGATTTTTTCGGTTGATTTGCAATACTTTGTGGGAATGAGCTGTTCAAAGTGCTTGGCGATTTCATTGCGTACGTCGTCAATTGTGATAACATTTGAAACATGCCTGCGAGTCCTTGTGGCCTTGGTAATTTTGTCCCGCCCGCTTTCACCTTAAAGAAATGAATGTACCTCCTATTTATATTGAACTGATATTTGATTTAGCGTGCAAATGACAATATTATCATTCCAAAATCAGATGAGTCCACCAGGCTACTACATTGTCAAATGTTACGCACAGTTAGTAACTGTGCGTAACATTTCTGAATAGGACTTACTGAGGGATACTGCAAAAAAATCAATAGAATTATGTGTGAACTAAAAGACAAAAACAGAAATGAAAGAAGTCCATGGAATCAAATACAGATAGATATAAACAGTGGATTAACTGAATGAAAATAAATGAATTATCATGATTTAATTTTGGAAATATTACGCAGTCTATTTGCTGCCAACTAACTACAGACAGCATGAATTCGATCCTCATAAACTCAGCCACTGTTCGACTTGATTTATCGGTTAAAACTTAGTCATGACTACAGCTGTCAAGAACATTTCAACTTATAAATCAAAGCAAACATTGATGACCTCGGCCTCAAGCCGACGAAAGCACCTTTGTAATATCTGTTTATACGTCCTGTGGATGCAGAGCTGCTGACACTTTCGAGCTGACAGGAAAATGAAGTGAAGCCAATGCTCACGCTGAACTATTTAAAGCATTTTGCAAACGAAAACCAACAACAGTTGACTGTATGTTGCGCTCAAGTTACGCGACAAGTTATATGATAACACAGTTCATGGCTCGATTGCCCAACTACGCTACTGCGTTCTCTCATTAAGGTTGCATGCAAGTTTGCATCAACCATATGGAAAATATAAAGTTTCGAAAATACACTTCAAGTTTTGAGCGTCGTTGGATACTGACCTTCTCCTCTAGTTGGCACAATCAAGAGATTAAAATGGATATAGCGTTATCAAAGAACACATTCAATTTAGATTCTTACTTCTACTTCTCCTGCTGATAATCAAAATAAAAGTTATACCAAATGTTTTGCAAATTTCTCTACCTGAGGGATAATCAAGCTTCTTTGCAACAGGAGTCTTGATCCTCCTGGCAAAAATCTGATCAGAATCCAGTTCCGGCTTGACGAACATTTCGTTGCGATTTGCATAAGAGCCACTCTCAGCACAGCTCTGCTTAGTTGACAAAACCTTTATCTGTTTTTCCAACGCTAACAAACGATAGTTTGTAGATTCGTTCCTTAACAGAAGGATTATGCACACAAAGACTAAATTGAGAGACAGATAAGAGGGTTTCACAGAAGGAAAAAGATCGCGAGCGCGATACGCTTTGGAGGACTTTGAGTTCGACTCCATTTTCTTGCCTCTTCTGTCTGTTGCGATTCAGTGAAACAGGAACACGAAGGTCAATGAAAATCTGCCAAAATATTTGATCCTCTTTGAACGCGTCTGGGCAAAGCATTGATTAAGATCATTTTACGGGTTTCTCTGTATGACAATTGGTTAACAAATTACCGTTAATTTGAGAAACTCAAGCTCCACAGAATTCTCTCTATGTCCGCACACAGGAAGTTTACGAAATTTCCCTGTAGGAGCAGGGTAAGATCAGACATACCTTCGATTAACTGAAGGAAGGCAGGCGTTTGCCTTATCAGACTTTATCATCAAAAAAAAAAAAATTTTGTATGTTACAGACGATGAAGATTGAGTTAAGTGAGCCACTTCAGAATAGTTTGATTGCCTTTTCTACTGCACTAAACTACTGTAAAAAAATATTAGCCTCTTGACAGCTAGAGATCAAATGAGCTTACGAGTCAAAGAGCCCATCTTGCTGGCGTTTATCCCAGGTTCAGGGCATGATATCCCGCCCTTATCCGGTGCAACTTATTTATGGTTTTTGGAGTATCTTAGTTGTTCGGCATTCCGGCACTCGACAAACAATTGAGTTCTCATCCTTTGTGATTTCAGGGTTATAGCTTCTGACAAATTTTGTCATCATCCTTGTTCTTGTTGTGGCTACTGTCTCTGATATGATAGGAGGCGAAACCAGTAGCGTACGATTTTTTATTTTGTACACTAACGTACGAGTTTGGATTATACATGCTAGTGTCCCATGCTGGATTTTGGACACTCTGATTTTGGATTTTATACACGTGTCCTATTTTGGATTTCCGACGCTACAGTCCGATCTTGGAATTTAGATAAAAGTGTCCCATTTTAGATTTTGGACACTAATGTCCGATTGTGGAGACTAGTGTTCACGTTTGGATTTTTAATTGTGTGAATACATGGGATGCGATAGGTTTTCTGTTTTGTATGTGATTATAAATCTTTTACAACACTATCCTCTTGCGTTTTTATAAAACCTCCAGTTCTTTTCAGTGGTATAAAAATTGTGCTATTTCAGTAGTCATGTGCGGTCTTAGACTTCCTGTTTTTTTTCTTGCTCGCCCGACCAAGTCTTCATCGCAGTTGTTGTAACACAATACACTCTCTTATGCGTTGCGTGACAAAAACGAACGATCGGTTGCGGAGGGGGTTGGGCCCGACAGAACACTTCAACGCCGGGATCAGACGAAAAGACGACTGAACAAATAGAAATACTTAAGAAAAAAATTTTTATATTTTATTCCACTTAGTTTGCAAGAACATACAAAATACTAAGTATTTATCCAACATTAATTTTGATTTTATAAACTGCTCATGACAAAAGATTTATTTTAGAAAAAAACATATGCAACAAGTCGCTAAAATTTCTGTCTATAAAAATAAATATACCAAACGTAAGAAACAGAGCGATGCTTTAAACGTGTTAAAAAATTTACTCTTTGAAATACTCACCAGTACCTTATAGAAAGTTATATTTTTATAAATGAGTAAAAGATGGAACAAACTTAAATATCATAAACAATTTTTGGTTAAAAAACTGAGTCTATGCATTACTACCCGTAGCTTGATTTCTGAATACTCCGAAAGTGTTGTTACATCAAAGTTACAGGCAAATTTCTTGAATAAAGGGGGTAAGTTTCGAGCGTTAACCGACTGGATGTTCCAGGGGCGGACTTGAGTTGGTGTGAAGTAGTATGACCAACTGAACTACTATTAGCGTCAACTATGATACAACCTAACCATCGGACTCAACACCTTTGAGATTTTTTCCCTAGTTGCACCAGGTTGAGATATTTCACTCCCCTTGACAAGTTCTTTTTATAACAAGAAAAATCGCTTAAAATATCCTAAAAAAGAAACATCACTGCGCTTTTAATTAGTTTTCTATTTTGATCCGGAACTTAGACCAAGAACAAAAACAAAACCTCTTGCAGTTGGGTAATACGCCAATACCCCATCCTCGTCTTCACTGAAACAAAAGAAACATCTTTGGAGAGTTGCTCCGTATTTCAGGCTTAAGCTTCTCAGTTTATCCCAACAAATGACCTACTTAATATCGAAAACCACTGCTTCTTGGAGGCGGTGCAGAAACAGGTCTCTGTGGTTGAGGAAATTTAGCATTTAGCCAATCTTCGAACTCCAGTTCTGACATCTCTACGACCTTCTCACGGACAAACTGTCAAAATCAAAATGAAACAAAAATGGGTACTGGTTGATAAAGATGAATTTTTAGGATCAGATTCTGGGATAGAGATAAAAATAGTACTTTGTGAAAGAAACTAAACTAAAGCTTTACTTTGATTGGCCCAACACCAATTTAAACAACATGAGAGTAAAGTTAAGACATTTTATTTTCGATAGTCACAAAATTTGTTTCAACCAAAGATTAAACAACTTAAAACTGAGTAATATTCAAGATGAAAATAGATCACACTCTCTTTCGTGTCAGAAGATCCCCCCTCACTCAGAAATATCCACACTGTTAAGATTTAGTTACCTCTATAGCTGCATTTATATCAGGAGCACAAATTTCCCACACTCGAAGCGTCGATAGCACCTTCAGGAATTGACTACCACTTATCTTTCGACCTTCAAGCTTAAAAAAAAGTATATGCCGTTATTAACAATACATTGCTTGTTTCCCCGAAAATATATATTAAGCGAAATTGACGGGGTAGTCGACCATAAATTGAGTCTAGTCCGGGTCCGAATCCAACGGGGAACATATTATTTCGTTGCCTCGCGCTTATGACTAATGCTAAAAATCTTCGTTTATCATAACATCTTAGTCAAGACAACACGCTCAACGAGAACCCAATATCTACGCGGTCAGAACGCAGTGATATTGGGTAAAGAGAAATCGATGCAAAGAAAAATTGCTTTATTATTATTTTACTAAAACAAGGTTACTCCTTAATCCAGAAAATGACAAAAGAAAGGGAAGGTTAACATATCCGACAATTTTCTCCCCTCTGGCCATTAAGTAAACGTCAGCCATTTTTGACGTGTTTTCGCCAATCATACGTGGAATTATACACAAGAAGAATACGAAATGCCATTGCGGCAGCATTATGGTGTTACCTGACACCATCTTAAAACACTTACCGAGCCATAACCAGCAATCTTGTTTAACACCAGTGTACAGCAGCGATCAGCCCTCACCTCTTGAGGTAAATTGCTTAGTAAGTCCTTGTACCTAATATCAATAACAACGATTTTAGTGTTAATGCAAACTCGCCATACCTCTCAACACAAGCACAAAACAATTAAAAGAAAAAAAAAAAAAGCTATCAGATGTGCACCAAAACCGGTCAAGGCTAAGCCACCAACGTTTTCCCGCGCTTCAGGGTAGCGACATGCGTTTGCTTGGACTCTCATTGGCTCCCCTTCGTATTTTCCTCTATTCTGATTGGCTACCGTCATTATTTCAGTGCTGAGTTTAAGAAACTCATTTAAAAGGTGCACTCTACCGTACGTAGCCTTAAGGGATAACTCAGATTACAATTAATGAAACAAAACTAAAAGTCTGGGATGACTGGGCAGGCGATTGCACCACAAAGTAAAAAGGCCAAATTAGTGAGAACAATTCGTGAGTGAGAGGTATAGTAAAAGGATGAGACCATAGTTATAATGCTATGTGTGACGAGTTCTTCCTTTCAACAAAAATTCTTGACGGTTTCTGTAATATAACTAGCTATTCAATTACTTATAAAGATGGTGAGCTCCAAGAGAGTATATTTCAGGTGCAACTCTGTAAATTCAAAACTAAACTAAGTTCCTGTAAGTATTCAGATGATTTGATCAAAGGACAAAAAAATTAATGTTGGTGAAAACAGCTGATGTACAAACCATTTACATTCCTCAGTGACTCGCTGTCGCATCTCTTCATTCGTTTCTGTGTCGGGTAATACACTGCCACTTCTCATCTGATCCAGAGCTTTGTAGATGTTGTTAAATGTCTCCAGACACATCAGTTTACGTTCCAATACTTGCAGTCGAGTCCTACATAAAAAAAAGTTTGGGTTAAATTAAATTTAAACGCTACAACTTTTTCTCTTATCTTTCATCCACCTCTTGATACTGAACCTTACATCTTACACCATTGATGAGCACCCAAGACATCTCACTGCCCCGCGAGAAAACCGGATCTCGGTGACAAGAACAATGGGGTAAGGTGTGGACATTTCCTCCTCATTCACGAGCTTCTCACCCCACCCCGTCGAGGTTATCAGAGGGTGGAGAACCTGCACATGGTCTACTTACACGAAGGCAAAATAAACAACAATAACAACAACAACATCATAGTTTAAAAAAAAACAACAACAATAACAACTAACCTGTCCCTAACTTCCAAGTTATCGTGTAATACCAGGGCTTTCTCGTCTGCTACTTCGTTGAATTTCGTCTTCAAGTCAATCGGGACTTTTTCCACGCGATGGTCTAAGCTTATGGCTCCAAATGCTGCGATCGCTGCCGCTGCAAATCTTGAAGAGAAATAAATTATGTTCAATTAAGGGATACAGGGTCACTGCCGCAAGTCTTCTTTCAATTAATTAAAAACCGAACTTGCATGGAAACTACAATTCATGATTGATTCTGATACGAACAAACGGTTTATGGATATGTGCGAATGTAAGGTTTGCTTTTAAAAAAGCAAACACACAAACAAGGAAAAAAAACTAACAGATTCACAGAGTCTGACAAGCAAATGAGCTGATAAGACGGTTGTAAAAAGAAAATATAATTTCGTACCTCTTGTTATTCACTGCACCTGGAAAGAGAAAAATTCAACGGTTCCAAAAGTTAGATAAAAAGTCGTAGGGATCACTTTAAAACTTGTGATATGCACACAATTTAATTGGTCACATTGACATTACTAACAACACACTACAGCGCGTGCAGATTTAAGTCACAGACAATTAGACATTTTAAGAAATATAAACAAGCTTCCGAATAAAACAAGAAGCTAGGAGCAGTTAATTACCAATGATTCACATGAACTCAAATGCTTATGAAAATCAGATGACATGACACAATTCATCGAAGTCAGTCCGATAATATATGATAATCTTTTTATCATTCCACTCACCTGTAGCTTGTACCCAGGCCCTGACACGCGAATCGGTAGAAGTTTGTTGTTCCTCCGGTTTCGACGTTAATTTTTCCAGTTCCTTTTGCTGAAACAAAGGTTTATCTTTCTGTTATTGAGCTCCGATACCTGATAACAACCACAGTTGTACCCGCTTCGACCACTGAATTCAACTATACCTGTCCAGGTGATTCATGTACGTTAATGACGACATAGTTGAAAATGACGATGACGATTTTGGTAATAACGACGATAATAGTGATTTGAAAAGGAACCGAGGCAAGTAGGAGGAGAAGAAGGAAGAGGGGCGACAGGCCAGAACGGGGAAGAGAGGGAAAGGAGATAAGAAAGATGATAAAAAATTAAAATGCAAGGTATTTGTCTTTTTCTTCCTCAGTCTATCACTTGCAAATTGGTTTCTACAGTTTGCCCACTGCCAATTTACACGGCATTAACGAATTGGAGAGTATTCGAAATGTGGAATGGCGGCGAAAAAAGATATCAGTCTTGTCAATGGTTATTTTGAGATGTATCGCTCTTTTAATGGCGCTGTCTCGAGATCGAAATTCTACAAACAAGCCAATAACGAAAACGCAATTGATGATATTATTCAATATGCAGAATACGAGAAGATGTTTATGTAAGTTTGTTCCTCTCCAGTGTTTTCTACGCGCAAGGTGAACCCTCGCGAGGCGTTGCTTTAACGGTCTTCTAAGTTAGAATGATACTTTGGTATTCAGAAGTAAATGTACGAACGCCAGTTGTATAACTCACCGACAATGTACTCTTGAATGCCTTTGCAGCCCTTGTCTTGGCCCGTAACTTCTGCATGGCTTTACTGGGGTTTGACGGTGGAGTGTACACTGTAGTTACAGTGAACGATTTCTGTTTTTGAAGCTTCGATGGTGGCGCCTTTTTGTCGGTACCTGACTGTGTTCCGTTCTGAGGGGTGCTAGATATAGTTACTGGTAATGCTTCTGCTGCGACTGCTGGATCCCCCACTGGTCCAGGAGGGGCTGATACAGCTCTTATCTTTGGATCTATAAATTTCACAGTGGGCCCTACGTCCGTGGAGAGAGGAGAAAGAGGTGGTCAGGTGGGGAAAAATTGCTGGGTACAGATAACCATATAATAACTACAAAACAAAACACTAAACAAACGGAATAAAACATTTTTAAGCACAAACATCTTGAAACTAAAATATCGCATGAGGTTGTCTTCTTTACTCAGGCTTCGTGCCACAGAATCTTAATTCTTACACCCGCGGCCGCTTGATAGACATATCCACTGAATACAGCCAGGTTTATTTCATAGCAGATATCGGAAGAAGAATTTGTTACCTGGGCTAATATCCGGGCAATAGTCTACTTGATTTTGTCATGTTATCAGTTTTTACTTCATGGCGGTTGTATACCTCAATAATAAGGTCTAAGATTCGCTCGCACCACTATTCAATGCTCTGGGTCAACAAATGCTCAACAGAAATTAAGGGCCCTCTGCTTCACTCTACGAGCAGTTCCTGAATAATTACACAAAGGAATGCCATATTTCTAAGTAACCGAAACTTTACCAATATTCGGCGCATTGCTTTGAGTTTCGCTACCACTGTCTTCTTTGTGGGGAACCCTCTGATCAACAGACGCATGCTCTGTTTGTATTTCCGTCCGCGATGACGCCATAGTCTCTCCCGTGTTACTCGTTCCACTCCTGGGTCGAGCATCTGCTGGAACACGAAGGGAAGTGGGTCCAGGCGTGGAGGACTGGCCACCATTGTTTGTCGTTGAAAACCGTTGAATGAAATTTGGGTGGATTGAGATGCGTCTCGTGCCTCTACGAGTTCCACGCTGTAACAAAGAACATAACCAAATAGTAAGAAAGGTTTCGACATTGCTGATCTAGCAGTTTACAAGAACACTCAAAAAATATCACCCCGTCAGAAGGCTTAACTCACCAAAGAGTTATCTGTAGCTCACATTAGTTTACCTGAGTGAATCGCGCTGGGTTTTGCTTGAACGTTACCCAATCTTTATCGGTAGCCTTGTCTTTTTCCACTCTTCTTCGAATGGCTCTTGGGTCTTCGTTTAAATCCCTAAAAAGAGAGCAACTCTAATTAAATTTTTTGAAGGGAAATGGATACGAGAAGGGGTCGGGAGGGTGGGGGAACAGGCAATGCAGATGTCAGTTGATTACCGACTTACTTTAGTTTCCAACAACTTGTTATTGGGGGCATTACGGGAGGCTGTTGATCCTGAGACATTCCTTCCAGGATCCAATTCAACGCACAGAGCTGACGGAAGACGTTCTTTCTGTAGAATAACACAATAACGCAGTCAGCAGAAACGTTAAAAACGTTGGTTCAAGGTAAACGCATTACATACTGTAATTGGGGAGGCACAAGTAGAACTATCCATACACTACATTTACAAAGGCAGCTCAAATTCAGCATTCCATTGAACTTTTACAGCCGTTAGAAAACAATCTAGTGCTTTGAAAAATGCTCTGAATACTGCACCTAAAAAATTTGCGATCTAGCAAAACGTCCAGGCACAGCTCAGATCATGAAAAACTCCGAGGCAAAGCTTAAACCAAAAATCATCGCTGGATCTTCATGCGCTTCACTTTTCCTATTCTTAATGATCATTTCAAGATTTACTTCAACTTTGGCCCTACAACACTCAATCTAGCTCGTCCCAAGAGTTCAGTTATTAGACGGAACGAAAAAGCCAACGGTGCGATACAAGCGGCGGAGTGAAAAGGCGGGAGGTTTGCACCTCTTTGTAAAAATTGCATCTTTTAATATCGAGCTTCGTTTTACTAACAGAACGCGTGGAGCAGGCTACACTCAATCAAAAAGCTCCACGTATCAAAGAAAAAACTATTCTTGTACAGATTTTACCTGTCTGTGACATCAGTGTAGTTAATGTTTGAATAAACTGGTGAGTAAGGCCGGGGGCTTTTCAGCTTTTTGGATCTGCGACTACTTTTTGATATTGTACTGTGGGCAGCTGACTTAGGTGGTTGGAGATAAAACCTGTGGGGGAGGGTGGGGCTGGACGGTGGACTGTCCATCACGTGATCTGTGCCTGGCTGCTCGGCAGTTGATGATCTACGAGAGGAAAGACATTCAAATCACGTTTTGGCAGAAACGGATTTGACGAAAATATGACAGTACACGTGCTCAGGTAATTATATGTGATGTGCGCGTAATGTTGCACAATATCATAATTCCTTTTAAATTCTGTAGTATTTGGACTTGTTGAAGAGCTGATGAATACAGGCTTCCCTTGAATTTACGCCCTATTCGAGTTCCGTTATGGTTCCCTACGAGTTAATCACAATGTCCCCCACCCCCCATAAAATCTCCCTCATCTCTAATTATGACCAACTTATAATAATAATATTAATACAGTATTTATATAGCGCTATTTCTATTGCTATTCAATAGCGCTTTACAATTCATTTATAAAAGACATTGATAAAATTTATAAAAACATAAACATCACTAAAATATGAGTAAAAAACTAGCTAATAAAAAATCTGTAATGATGAGAGTAAAAACTGTAAAACTTATAATAGAACTAATTCACTAACTAATTAACTAACTAACTAACTAACTAACTAGCTGACTAACTAATTAACTAACACTAACTAGCGACCTAGCTAACTATAAAATAGCTAATTAACTCGCTAAGCTAATTATAAAATTTGTTAAGAAGGTTAATTATAAAATTTGTTAAAAAGGTATGTCTTTATACAGGTCTTAAAGTCTGATAGCGAGCTGCTCTCTTTTATGATGTTCAGAAGAGAGTTCCATAGAGTCGGTGCTACAGAAGACTTATGAAATTATCGAAATTCCTTAGGCAATTTTCAGGATTCGTTCGGAGATCTTCGGCTATTTTTTAAAGTCGTTGGTGACATGGATTATCAAACGTTTTACTTTCCAAATTTTTTTGCCTAGCTTACCTGTCAAAACTTTGTTTGACTGAAATTCATGGCTGTTGTTACTCAAAAGACATTCCCTTGCTACAAGATTTCATACGATCTGATTCCCTGCAACACTTTTGTCATTGTCAGTTAATTACCTGTCAATTTGAAGCTGATCTGCAGTTGTTGACTGGGAGGGGCTTGGTGATGAGACCTGTAACTGAGGCTGAGGTGACTGTGGGCTCCACAACGCAGCACTGACTGTTGTACCTTAACATAACAAAAATCAGGCGAAAATTAGCTAATTCATTCCTTTTTTGTATAATCTATTTAATTTGTTGGATAATTTTACTGAAAAATTCTTTTTTTTTGCATCTGCATGTTCTTTGGGATGTCGTGTCATGCTTCTCTCAAGAAAGGGGTACGGGTGTGTGAATTTCCAAAAGAATTACTGGTAAGGATACTGCATGTTGAACAGGATATGCAAGACATGGCTACAACATGCACTTGTAAATCACTTAAAGGAGATAAATCCTACTTACTCAGTCGTTTCCAACGTTTACTGCTGGCCGATGAGTGTGAACTGTTGGGTCTCTGTTGGGCTTGCTGTGGATCTAGGAGCTCTCCCAATCTGTGCATTAAACATGGAACAGAATCATTCCCATTTTAATTTGAAAATATAATCTCTACACAATTCATCATATGTCATAAATTTGCCAGGAAACAAATGAATCATGGAACATAAATGTAGACCAAAGGCAAACCAAACCTTATAACAAGTTCTGATTTATGCTGAGGCATATAAGGCAAAACCTGATTAAAACCTAATTGTACAATCAAAATGAAGGCTTTCAACTTAAGACACCTACCCTTGCTCAGAATCTCGGGTTGGACTGTTTGGTAGTGGGATCATATAGCTGGTAAATAAACAAAACATGATCATTATCATTTTGATTTGGACCCCACCCTGATGTATATACCAGGAAAAACATTTCATATATAGACTTAAGAATGCAGCGTGAATTTAAAAGTTATGTTATACAGTTCTCTAGTTTTATGATGTAGTCTGACAGACACACCTTTTCAGTTCAATGTCTAAATCATCATCAGATTCTTCACTGTCGGTTGATGCTGGTTTCATCTGATTTCTGGCAGCCTCTTCTTTCTGTTTCCTCTCTTTATCAGCCTCAGCTTGCTAAAAATCAAGGAAATGTCACCAAAGGGTTCATTCTCACAAGCCTTTAATGGCTAAGTTCTGTAGTTGAAGTTTTTCCTGGTAGTTTTATAGCATGAAACAACTTGGAGTATTTAATATTGAATTAATATTCATCCTGGATTGAATATGCTGGTCCACTGCAGATTAACCCCTTACCACTCCTCCCCTCCTCCCCCAACATTTTGTCAAATTTTCATGATAGTTTGTCAGTACCCATTTATACTCCTAAACAAAAAGAGGCACTGTGTGCATGAGGTCAACAATGAATATGAAAGCAATTTTCACAATAATAAACACTATCAAGCAGTAGTAGAAGTAAGCTAGGCCTATAAAAAATTCAGCTCAGCTGAATTTTAGCTCAGTTGTTCTACCAACTCAGCTAACATTTAGCCAACTGGGACCAGGACCGAGTCATTCAAAGCTGGGTCAAGATAACCCAGGGTTAGTGAGAAGTTTGTTTTCAGATCTGAAAGCTTTAAAAGGAAATTCAGAAGAATTCTTTTTGTAAGTAATTTGATGATTGAATTCCCCACAAAGAATAGGTAAAATTATCCCACATTGCTTTTGAACAAAGGAAAAAAGAGACCTGGATTTAATTTTATCCATTGGTTAGTGCTAATCACCCTTCAAACAACTGGGCTCTGGTCATTACATTGGTTTGTAATAAACCTGTGACTTGATGAATCACACAATGTATCACAGTTTTTTCCCAAGAACACAACATGTTGACCCAGCCAGGTGCCAAACCCAGACCTCTTGACTCAGAGTCTAACACAGTAACTGTTAGGCAACTGCAAATTCTCCCTTTGATACATGACCCCTGCCAGGGTTCATTAGAGCCCAGACCTCTTGATCTAGATTCAAGCAAGCCCTTAATTAAACTGGCCTGTGCATGACGTGAGCCAATCACACTAGCTACTACTTGCAACAAAGAATCATAACAAATCTGACAATACTACGTACCTTTCTGTTTTGTTCATCATGAACAAGCTTGTATAATCCAAAGCCAAGGCGAACAGCATGTATCATTTTCCTGACAGTGTTGAATGGAAAAATAGTTATGCATCATTTAATTAGTCCATCAGATTGTAACATGATAACTGGATTATTAGACTATTTCTAGTGCAATAAATTATAATTAATAAATTGAATTTACAGGATTGCAAAAGGTAATTCAACAAGAATTTCCATTGATCATGAATACTAGAAAAAAAAGCCCTTTTTCATGGCAAATGAAAATAACAAGTAAATTTCTTGTAAATAATTCATAATCTAGCCACCTTCCTTTATGGATCTGTGCTCTGATGTCATTTATAACTTTGGGTTTATAGTTTGTTGGTTGAGGTACAACAGGTTGTTGATCCTTTAAAATAAAACAGAACAAATTAAAAAAAAATTAGTCAAAAACACACAAAGTGGTAATCAACCGCAAATTGTCACTGGCAAACTTTTGATCTTCTCTACTTAAGGCCAGCTTGGCAAGGCTAGGGCTCATAAATTTGATATATAAATTAGGGATCTGGAAATGGATGAAACACCATTGATAAAATCAAAAGATATTAGACCAACACAGTGTACTAGTAAGGGATGGGGAGGGGAGACATTAACTTAAGATGACAAAATATTTGGAAGTATGCAGGCCTCCAGAACATTTTTGCCTTGCATATTTATAGTTGCAACTTTAGCAAGATCAGATCTAGTTTCTAAGCTGATCTTTGGATTGCCTGATTAATTTTCCACATGCAGTTTGAATTTGAGAATTACAGCTAATCCCCAGTGAGATCTCCATGTGAGGATGGTCCTTTAAAGAACTGTTGTATGTGAGAGAAACTAAGGTTTGGACAACTTGACTGAAAGTCAGAACTAAAGTTGTGTTTCCTGCATAAATTACAACAATGTTTACAAAATAAAATTAGAAAATTATCAGGTTCATTGTTGAGCAGTTACATCATAAAGGAAAAATATTTTCTGTACCTTAGATTGTCTCATGGATTCTTCATTTTCAGATTCTGACTCTCCTGATGATGATGATGATTCATCTTGAACCTACAGGATGGAATCTAATGATTAATACCTTGCAGTTTGAATAAAAAATAATCATCAGCATAGCAAAGAAAAAGAATAGATGTTTTAAAATTCAGAATTCTACCATTCTCACTTGAAAAATTCAAAGGTTTTATTCAGCAGACACTTTCCCGTGAGAAAAAAAAAATCATTGATCATAAATGCACAACACAACATTTTTTAATTTATGCAGTTGTAAATTTTGTAACTTCGTATTTTATTGAGTTGTGATATAGTTCTGACTCACACTCTATCGACACTGATTAGCGTTGAAAGGTCGAAAAATGTGATGCAAGAAACGTCGAGGGAATGCGCTAAGGCAGGTTCAAGTTAAAACTTAATTTGTCTTTTGTACTCAAGTAAAGTCATAGACGATCGAGCTATTTTAAGAACGCGTGTTAGAGCAGCGCGTGTAAGGATGTAACAAATTAAAGTTTCGCCTTCGTCGTTGAAGCCATCGATGAAGGCGAAATGAATTTGCAATCGAGAAATCTCGAGAGCTCAGGCATTTTTTAAAGTTTTACAGTTCAGAGAGTAATAATTAACTTGCAATCGAAAACACGACCAAAAGTTAATTATGCAGAAAGCAACATCAGTGGGTTGTGTGTTAGTCTTTAAAACCGGGCTCTTTTAATGCAGAGCCCTGAGATCTTTTTCAAATTTTTAAACTTTCCCTTTGAAAAAGTGGTGAATACGTCCTTGCGTTATTGTAACATTTACTTTTAAAAGCAAATAAGCTCATTTGACGCAATATTTGTTAGACTAAATATTTGAATCAAATTAAATCTTCATAACATCATGTTTTTAATACCCAATTGTGCACTCTTTAGAAGTCAAAAACTCTTTTATTCAAGAGCATATCTGGATTATCAAACAAATACGTAGCGATATGTTTTCAAATCGTGGAAAATCTTCGATGAATGGCATTTACGCAAAGAAATATGGACAATTTTTTTCACGCCATTTCAGTTCATCTAATTTAGTATATGACGGCTATTAACGTGGGTAAATTAATCAAGAGACTTCGCTAAATATTCTTAAAACGCTGAGTAGTTGAAAGCGAAAGTCTTTAGGACATATATATATATATATTTTAAAAAAGCAAATGATTCTTTATATGGTTTAAAAATATCGCTATCTCACCAAATTATCTTGTTCCGATTGTTCTTGGCCCAATGCGCTCAAAATAAGCTTCTTGTCATCCAAGTATACTTCCCCAACTGGTTGATACGGCTTATAAATTACCGAGCGATAACCACATTTGCTCATCTGGTGCCGACGTCGTTCATAATTCTCTTTCGCAACCTCCTTCCGAGTTGGAACTTCGCAAGTGTAAATCTTTGCATGTCGAGCTGTAATCTTCAAACCCTGATGTGATGGAATTGGCAAAGGCACAGGCCGTATGTACGAGCGAGGGTTTTCAGAATCCGGCATTGTCTTATCCGTATGTCACTGGCGTTACTCCGATTCATAGATCGCGTTTAAATGTGGTGCAATTTTGTCTAAAAGTACTGCAGATGTAACCAAAGGCATGATCAACTTCTTCCGTCTGATTCAACGAGTGTTTGTGCGATAAAGATGTCGTTTGCATAAAATCAAAGGAACAAAGGGTATTGCCATAGCAACCATAAACAGGGTTATATGCCGTACACCAGAGCGCGTTTGAGAGACGTTTAACCGAGAGAAGTACCACAAAAACAGACTACTTATAAACAGGCTCACGCTGCTTTCCTCTTCAGGATAAAAATATACTTTTGAGGAAAGAAACGAAGACAAAGGAACTGTCCTTATGCGAAATGACAATTTTATTCCTTATGGGGAATTAAACTTCTTGCTTCTTTTTCTGTATTTTGAATTTATTCGTCTTGTTTTTGTTTTCCTTGTGTATTTTATTGCTCTTTTGAATTTTTTTATCAGTTCTAAAAGCTTTGTAGCAAAATGCCAATTAGTCATTTATATTCATAAACCTATCACTAAGTAAACTGTATGCACACAAATGAAGCAATATTCTTGAGCAGTCGAGAGGCTGGTCACGTAGAAGATAGGGGCTAAGATAAACAGGCAAAGAAAATGGGAGTATGCTTTTAATCCTTTTTACTCCTAGAATTTAGTAACTTGTAACTTCTCCCCATGATATCCATACATGATCCAGGATACAAGTAATAAGAATATTCAAACTTGTCCAGTAGTTGACTTGATCTAACACCAAATTCTTGTTACTAGTTTAGAAGGAAGTGTGTTGAAACAAGAGGGGAGAATTAACTATCAGATCTTGGGAGTTAATGGGGTGTGGTTAGGTAGTTGAAAATAGGCAGTTGCAGTTATGAATAAAGAGGAAAGAGAAGAGGTTAGAGTTTCACAGATGAATTGAAGTAAGAGAGGTTACCATAATGTTAGAAATTGTCAAATAATTGGTAGAGAAGGGGGTAGAAAATAAAGACTGGGTTTAATCTCCTACCCAGATCTGACTGTGTAACTGTTACCAAAATGTGCAACTGCCTAGCCAAGAAAGGTCTGGGTAAAAAACTAGGGTAGGGTAAGGCTTTGAGGCATTAAGTGAAGGGTAAAGAGGTGTGAAAGGGAGGGGGGGGTAGACCTCAAGCAGTGCAGTGAAGGGTATTAAAGTGAGGTGTAGAGTTAGTGAATAAGAGGTGAGGCATGGAACATAAGAGTAAAAGTTTAGATGATGATAATAGTCCCACATTAAAGTAATTTGTAGCAATAAACAACTGCTATGCTTTTTTTAAATTAAACTCAAATCACTCCTATGAAACTCTCAGTGCTATTTAGCAGGATTAGTATTTCAGCCTGCACAAAATACAATAATTGTACACGATTATGTCTGGGTACAATCAAAATACTTTTAAAAATTATTTTCCAGGGTATCAATGTTTGCCAGAGACAATCCATACATGCAAAAAAAAGAGTCTTTACTCACTAAAGAAGCCCTAAACTTAATGGGAAAATTCCTGAAATATAAACAAGATATAAGGGTCTTAATTTGTTCTCTGTTCTCTTTTTTGCTTTCCAGTTTTTGGTCTAGATTTCTTTCCTTACTACATATGTTTCAAGAGACTGATGTCAGTAATTAAGCAGTCTTCAAAATTAGACTTTTCTGCCTTTTCTTTTCTGATAGCTTTTTGCACCACTCGAAGTCTAACTGTTGCAGAGATCTAATCACCTTGATGGATGTTTTCTGTTACCAAGTAATTTATTGAGTTATTTCTGTTCTCTACTCTTTTCAGCTGCCTTTGCTTTGCTCTTTCTAGCAATCTTCAATGCAAAGTATCAGAGGTAATTTCTGGCCTTCCTCACCCAACCAAGGGTTCTGTGGGGGCTCACTTTTCCAGTTTTTCCCATGTGGAAACATGACGTGTACATCGCCTGCATCAGATCTTACGAAGACAACGCCTTTCACATTCTTAGATCTCATCCATTCTGCAGTGGCTAATGCACCAGAATGGCGAGTGCCAAACCCAATCCCATTGGCTTTGCAAAGTTGATAGTGTTGTGAACCGAACTCTAGCTTTGCTGCAGCAGCCAGAACTGTGCCACTGTGTGAAAGCACAAATGCACCATCCATTGGCTGTCCTTTCAAAGCTTTAAGCTCTGATGACATTCCGAATTGTGTGGCAAGCTTATCAAGGAGTGACTGTTCCCATTTATCTGACTCACCAGGAGTGCAGAAGGCACACAGGAGGTGTTGAAATAATTTGTTTGTTACTTTTACAGTATTCCTTCTACAAAATCTGTAAAGGCAGTTATTGTCTGATATCAATATCTCAAGATCATTTTTGTGCTCCTTGTCAACAATCACAAAAATAGCACCTCCATGCACTTCAGGACCTGTCAGAAGGTCAAGGACAGTAGTCAGGGTGGTATGATACCCATTACTGCCTGATGCAACTGTCGAGAATGCATCACGAAGGCCTCCTAGTTTCACTGGTTCTGCTTGTATAACTTCCCGGTCTTTATTTTGCTTACTACCAGAAGTGACTTTATTGGTTGAAGATGACCGAGAGTATGACCCTTTGAATGACTCAAAATCCCTGAATTCGCCCTCCAGCAGCTCATCCAGGTAACACTCACCTGGCTTCAGCTCTAATGCGAATGGCTCTTCTGGTGCATCTACTGGAAAGCCATGAATAAAATGGGGGTCCAGATCTTTATACATGTCAAAAATATGTGCATGCAGACGCTTCAAAGACTCAAGGCTGATGGCATATTCAATTCCTCGAAAATCATGGCTTTTGATTTTGTGACCAGATTTTAAAACTATCCAGTTCATGAGTCCAATCACATCATCTGACACCTGCCAGGTAGCATTGCGTGGGTCATGATGCTGACGATTAACAACAAACTTAGCTTCTCCAATCTTTCCACCAATGTCTGCATCAATGATGCATGCAATTTGCTCATCTTCCATGGGAAACCAGTGGTCTATAAAGTCAAACATGACATGAGTTTGTATTGCTTGTGGGAATCCTTTCACTTTCTCTGCAGACCAAACATCCTTCATCCCCCTGCACATTTTTCTAGTAAGATCTTTAATAAAGTACATCATATTGCCAGAATTAAGATCCCCATGGACTTCTGCATGTTTGGTATGGAGAAACTTTAGCATGCCTACAATAAACTTCAGGTTAGTGAGAGCCAGAGGCTTAGCTCTATAGCTTATCATAATGGTGTATTCTTGGCAAGCCTTATAGAAGAGTACGGGACGTCTTGGCTTAAATTCACCCTTAACTACTTTAAGGACGACATGACGGTCCTCAGTTCGTAGCTCGTCAGTTTGCTTCTCAACTAGGAAGCAGCAGCCAAAGGCTCCCCGTCCAATACGCTCTGTAATTATGTAGCCTGGAGGTAGTTCGTGTTGAAAATGGAGCCTTGCCATATCAACATTCAAATTTTTAAAGCCGTTGTAGTTCTCTCCAGCTAAAATTGCTAAACCTTCACAATTAACGTCTTGTTGTGGTGCTACATAACCTTCGTCACTCCATTGTGTTTGTTTTGCCTCATAACATTTCTCTTCCTTTCCACTTTCATCTGACGAACTACCAGGCACATTTTCGAGAGGTAGCTCATTTGCCATCTTAGTTAGTTGCTCTACTGCAGATTCTCAGCGTTCCGTAGACGGTACCAAACTCTTCTGGTGAGCGATAAGATATTTCCCATTCGAGACAAAATACAAGGAAAGAATACCCTAATTAAAACGGGGAAGTAAGCTAGCCAGGATTCCGAATCGCTGTAGGTAGCTGCAGTCGCGGATATCCCTTGAAAACTCGCGCTTGTAGGAAGTTAACGTAGTAGTAGTCGGGAAGAAGTTGAGCGCCGAACTTGTTAGTCGAATTTTCTTGTCGATTAATTTACTGCGCTCGACGATGGAGAACTCGCCGTAACGACGCCATCTGTAGTGTGACCTTCAAGAATGTTCTAGAAGTAGCTGTGTCATGCTGATTCATCCCTGAATCAATATATAAATAGAATCTATTGTAATGTTATGGAACGTTCTAGATCCTCAACCGTACCTATATAAGCCGAGCCACAGGCGGTCCAAGCTCCAGCTGTGAGATGATCATCTTGCGCAATAACAGTCATGGCGGAATTATAAGAGTTTGTATGGGAATATTTACGACCGCTCTAAGGAATAAAAAAATACGTCAAATTCTCAATAAAAATACCTCACCTTACTTCCACAGTGTATCACTTGTTATCTGACCGCTTACTTTGATGAAAAGAGCCCATTTTAGCGAGTTGTTCATTTCGAGGTTTTCAACGTATATAAGTAAGGTGAGGTATTTTTATTGAGAATTTGACGTATTTTTTGAGGGAGGGAGGAGGGAGCTTTGAATTTATCAGACTACGTGAGGCTATAAATAATTTATATTCTCTTGCAGACCCTTATAGCTTGTGTGAGCATCAAGTACATGATGCAATTTTCTGTTTATAGTGATGTGGAATCTGTGAACAACACAAAATGTACAAAAGGATGGCAGTGTGGCCTAAATTTTTCATGCTCTAAACTTGCAATGCACGGTTTGTCTTAAATATGTTCATTTTATGTCTATGAATGCAAATGAAATAATATGGTTGTTTTGAAAGTAAATTTAAATATTTATAAACGATGTTTCTTTTTATTGCAGGCCAAATCAACTACTTTTTTTTAATTGGAAAAGAGTTATTGTAACCACACATTTACCTAGCTCTGGAAAATCGAAAAAATTTTGTTTACTACTGTATAGAAAAGTAGAAGGTGATAATTGTACTTTTAAACAAATTGTTCTTCAAATGTATTCTTAAGTGAGAGAAAAACGATTTGCACTCTTGGATCAACTTTTGTAATAAATTTACTGATCAAAGTATTACTCAGGTGGCTAAAAAAGAACTAAAATGACGATTTATTTTATTAATTTTCTCCCTTTAATTTTCTTTTACAAGCTCTAAACGTCTTGTATGACGACCACCTTGATATACTTAATACCAACTCTGTCCTTTCGGTCCTCTGAGTAGACTTCGAATGTAAGACCCCTACTGAGCATGAGTCGGTTACTGTAACCAATGTTCTTCACGGATCCTCCGTCATGCGCAGTGTAACAGGAGCCCCAGCGTTCATCCAACTTTATGGTGAAGACAAAGCGACCTGGGTACTTGGAGTGACCAGGCTTGTTAGTCGCTTGTGAAATGTATTGGTGAGAGGATAAAGTTTGACCAGGTACACCTTCCAATCCATAGCATGGATACATGTTGATGTAATTTGTTCTGTCTCGCGTTTGGAATCCAATAAATCTTGCACCATCTGACACACCATATCGGGTGTCACTGTCAACAACCTGTCCAATGCTCGCGTCATTTGCTACGGTAATTTCAATGGTCAGCGGGGTGGAAGATCTTAAAGCGCCAGGGGGTATTAAGGGAACTTTCAGGAGAGCTCTCTGAGCTACTGGGCCTGCGTTGAATGTTACTTGATCAGTGGTTGACGTACGAGAGTTGTCAATGTAGGACGCGTGCGTTTCTAGCCAAGATGGAGTCATGGTCTGGTGGTAAAGTATTTCTCCCTGTAAAGGAAATTGAATTAGAAATTAACTGTTTTTACAAGTCAAGAGAAAAACTACTCTTGTATCTCGTGGTTTGTTTTTAACTGTATTACGATCTGATTTCGCGGGCATGTGTTATATTGACAAAGATATGGTTTGCACGCCAAGCCGCTGGTATACAAGGCTCACATATTATAAGCGTTCTGTATACTCCGAGAATCAACTATTTCGCAGGCATCATGCAAGCGAAAGAGAGATTGTTTATTTCTGACGACTCAAACGACTTAGCTGCTTAAACATACACAACTCCAGTCCTTAATGACTCCAAACCTCGGTCATATCATGATTTATGAGTCAGTTCTAAAGCCTCATAGGCAAGTTATCTTTCAATGATTTCCTAACTAGAAAGCATCGCTATTTCCAATCCATGAGTCAAATTAAAAGCGACTTATCAAATAAAGCTAAGAATTTGGGCAGGTTTGTCGCTAATATTACTATATATGCAGGATGTATGTAAGCCAATGTCGTATTTTGCGACATACAAATGCCTGGCCTAACTAATTGACCCTATGTAGTAACATGTGCACTTACTTCGCTCAAAACAGGAAATAAACCAGCAACATAGATAATCCATATTATTTCCATTGGATTGCCTTTCTCGATTTCACGCAAAATCGCCTCTCAAAATGTACAGAAGCTGATCAGGTTTTGAGGAATGCAGTTGCACATCCAGTCATTAATACTCCGGATGCAATCTCAAGTCGTGGATCAAACATACCTCGATGCTAACCTGACTTATATTTGACAACAACCACATCATCAACTATATTTTGTTGCAAAATGACAACACGGGTTCAGAGATGTGTCGAAAAATCTAACTTGTATGTCCAAAAGCCATAAACAAGGAAACGTCTCTTTAACATACCCTCTTCTATTTTCCACCGTAAAAATTTATGAAAGTTGTCGGCATGTAAAAAGGTAACTTTCAATCCGAAATAGGAGGAATTCACTCAATATTGTTATCATCGAGCTGGTAATTTTGCCATTCAGATATGAGTCCAAAAAATTCCACCACATGAGAACACCGATACTAAGTAAATGATATAGGGCTGTAGTGGCGCTCTTGAAATCAATATTGATAACATTTTTTACACTTACTGGCCGGGAAGACGTGTTATTTTAAGTGGCGTCAAGATGCAATGTAGAATACTTGATACAACAGATCTCGCGTTTAGTACGCTGTACTTACGAATCTTAAGTCAGAGGCGCCCTCTCCACAGCTCCTTTAATCGTTTTCAATGTTTAGACCTCATATCCAAAGTGATTGAGATCGAAAACGGGGCTCATCAAAAATGCTGACGTCAACAAAGTGTATCGAAGCTAATCATCTGTTGGTGGAAAACTCGGGAACCTCAATGGAAAGCCTTAAAAGTCTATTATATGGCTTAAAATTCCGATGAAAAGTTCTATCTTAAACACGCATTGCATAAACATAAATCTATATTCGAACTTTCTGCCCAAACCGATATTGCTCGTCTTCCTGGTTTGTCTAGAATAAATAGAGATTATCCCGTGGAAAATGCACACGAACGATCTTTATTCACCAGTTGCAATGCATCATAAAAACGAAAGAGTGAGCGCAGCAAACAAGTGAGTTTTTTTGATGCATCGCAACGAGTGAACAAAAATTGTTAAAGGTATAATGTTTTTATTTCATACATACTGAGATTTACTCCGTGAAGTACTATAAGAAACGAACGACAGTGAAAATACACCGTTTGTCCAATCAGAGGCACGAATGATAGTATACTTCACAATGTAAATCTCAGTATTTATGAAATACTTTTTTTCTCAAAAAGCCCCGTTTAAAACCAGCGACTGCACATTTTTATTACAATGATGCCCTTCTCGTTATGGAAGACTATAAAATATTTATCTGAAAGCAAACCTTTTTCAAGTAACTATGGAAAGCCATCATATGTTAGAATTGACATTGAGCTAAATGCTCATTTTGTGACGTATGCGGTTCCTCTAATACATGGACAATATCTTATTAAGTGACAAGAAACTGTTGACACAATGCTTTAGCTTCTTGCCGTGATATTCTTCTGAGTTTTTTTTTGTCTCGCTTTTTTCGAAACAGTTTCTAATATCAAACAGCCTCCGGTACTTAAAACACGAAAACACTTTCAGCGCATGGTAGACTCATTAGTATATTTTTACAATACAATTATTGCTTTGCAACCCAAGTCCAACACTGATTCAACGCGTCAAAAATAAAACGTTCAGTGGTATTTCCTAAGCCAGACAACAAGCAGTCTCTACTTTTCAGCCGAAGTCCATCGTGCGACTGAAAAAAAAAGGGGTAAAAAATTGAAGATAGCGCTTCGCGCTGAACTCTGGAAGTGAGGCGCACGAAGGTAGTGAGTCTTACTATCACAGTTCTGCGCCGCCAGCTGACGTTGATTCTTTCACTTATATTTTTGACTCACGCGACAAAATTCGGTGAAAAGGAGGAACTGCTCGCTTTTTATTAAGCTAGATCTAAGCTAGGCATCTTGCACAATGGTGACTTTAATGTACTTGATGCCAACTCTTTCATATGCTTCGTCTTTATAAACTTCAAGATTAAGTCCATTACTGATCACCAATCGTTTGTTAAATTTCGCCACGTTTGTATAACCTGCATCATGTGCGGTATAACACGACCCCCAGCGCTCATCTAACTTAATGGTGAACTCGACTTGACCCGGGTAGAAGGAGTCCTGCGGTTTGGGTGATACACGATTGATGTAACTTAACCCGTGTAAACTCGAACCAGCAGTTCCTTCTACTCCATAGCAGGGTGGGCGCGGAACACTGTTGGAATAACTGGCTTTATCAGGAACATGAAACCCGATGAAGTTTGTGCCATCTGATACGCCGTATCTGTTATCGCTTTCCGAGGTGGTCCCGATTGTGACGTCATGGGCCACTGTTATCTCAGCGGTTAGCCGGCTGTTACTCATGACGACACCGGGGAGAATCATGGGAACTTTAAGAAGTAAGGCGTGTTTTACCGAGCCAGCGTTAAAAGTGATCTGCTCATTGGTTGTTGTGCGTTGACTGTCGATGTAAGACGCGTGCGACTCTAACCAGAATGGAGTCATTGTTTGATGGTACACAACATCTCCCTGCAAATAAGACAAAGACAGTGAATGGGATGTTAAATACATTTGATGAATGGAGGAAACCAGTATCTCTCATAGGCAGGTAATTTAGTGTTAACAACTGAGTTAAAAACGTAAATTGACCGCCGTACAGATTTTCAGAGCTAACGTTTTGAGCGTTAGCCCTTCGTCAGAGTGATTGACGAAGGGCTAACGCTCGAAACGTCCGCCTTTAAACTCTTTATGGTGATCAATTTACGTTTTCAACTCAGTTGTTAACACTAAATTACCTGTTATACTCTCCCACCGACGCAGTAACCAGTTTCTTTAGAAACTTACCCCCTTTATTCATTTGTCTCTCATAGGCAATCTTGGCTAAGCCCTTAAAGAACCCATTTAAATCGTTATTCCAAACTTTTGAATCACTCAAGACGACAGAGACAAAATAAAAAATTTATTCAAAGGACAAAACTTTGTCACAGTAAGTTATGACGTAAGGCAAACTTCAGTTGATCCAAAGACTAGAATTTCTCAGTCTCCGTTGTTGTGGAGTTTTTCGTTCTCCTTGAATTGCGATTTCTTCGTGAGTAATTCCAGAAAAGTATCTGAACGTATGTACAGCGTTAGTTAGCTTTTAGTCCTCCGATAATTATACCTTTCATCATTTCGTGCATGCCTGCGAACGCATACAACTTTATCCACAGGGATCATTTAAATTTGACCTGGTCGATACTTTAGCGATTTCCCTACGCCGTGAAATCGAAAAACACATAACACATTAACTTACATTGCAGAAGACAGCTACTTGTCCTAGAAAGGCAAAAACTATCCATTCAAACGCCATACTAAAGTTTGCTGTACATGCAGGCCCCTTTCAGCAGAAAAAGACTAAATTGCCACCAAGGAATGCTCTTGAGCTGCTTTCGAGCTAAGTGGATTTATATTGTCTTCGTTCCCGAGGCAGAAATATCCAGAAGTTGATAGATAAGCTAAGTACAACTCTAAATAAAAAAAACTCTCACTCGAACTTGTCAGAAACAAGCCGATAAAACAATACTGATAAAATCCTAGACGCCTCCTTCACTTAGCTTTCTAAGCTAACGGTAGCCCAAGATGTGAAGATCATTAAAAATGCAAGCGCAGACGCTGGTGAAACTACTCGTAGTGTAAATTTTCTCAACGGATGTAATTCAAGACACATTGACTGAAAGCGTTCTTACCTTATATTGGTCAGTTTGTTTCCAATACGTAAACTTTGTTTCCTATATGTAAAACTGGAAGTTGTGTTTTGAGATAAATGCCATTGCATATTGCATGAGTAAAGGTATATATTTTGATCTCAAAGGTACTCCTCATGTAATTACCGTTCCTTTTTAAACCTCGGGTTCTCTCCTTGGGACAGAAACAACCACGTTTTGTTAATAATTACCAACTTAGAAAACAGATATTAGAAATAACTCAGTACAGTAATCTCGATTGTTCAGTTTGCTTTTAGATGGGGAAAAGCCGCAGAATATATACTACCAAGTCTTGACTGTTCATTGTTCACTTGTTTAACTTTTGAGGGTGAGCCTAGATTCAGAAGTCTTATCATGAGCTTTTCTGAGCAAAACCCAAACTTGACGCCATTTTGGATGACATCAGAGCATTCCTCGCTCAGGTTTAACCTCGCTTCCATGATTTCTGCTTTTCCTGTTCCCTGGGGAGAGTACTGGTGGGAAGAAAAGAGACCCTGGTAAAACAGGTTAAATCAGTAACATTATAACCATAAATATTAGCATCATCTAATGGTTTATAAAAAAAATTATATAAAGAAAAAATGAAGAAATCTTTATTTGATATTCTCGAAAATTAAGATTTCTATCTTGCGGTTGAAATATTCCTTCAAAACTCGAAGACTGTAAAATTTAATCGAATTGACAAAATTGCATGTTCCCTATCACTCTTATATAAATACTCCACTTTATAGTATTTATTTATTTACCAGCTGTTTTTCAATTTTTATACTTTCTAGTATTTAGTTTCTTTAGCTTGAGTTTTTACTCCGTGCTACAGTTAAGTAGATTTTGGGCAGTTTATTGGCCCGCCTCCATAAGCAAAATTGCTAACTGGGGGTTAACTTATAAATAAAAAGATAAAAATGAATAAAAATTAGAGAAAGCATGAAGTGTGTTTTAAACTGAAAACGAGCAATTAGATTACATTTCACTGCATTTTCAAACCAATAGAATATGTGAAAATAGTTAAATGATTCAATATTGATCTCAGAGGAATTGATTCTGGAACGATTTTCAATCGGATCGTGCAAAACTAATATTACTTGTAAAGGTCTAATCATACTAAATCATATTTTCCGTTTCAAATTGACTGAATTGAAGCAAAATTATACCGGTTACATTTCCACTCGCTATATATATTTCTGCGAATTAAGAGTAGTTTTCTGGCTGGCTGCTTTTACTATAATTATATCTTAAAATATTAAATACTTTTAAAGATCAGGTATCTCTTTTAATTAAAAAGGTGATCATAACACTATGTAATTTTTTTAACATTTTACGCCCAGTGTTATTCTAAATACCGTTTTCAAATTATCAAACCTGATCGAAAAACTCTAAATCGATGAAAATTGGTATGTGGAAGGGAAAAATTCAGTATCAAATGATCGATGGAATTCTTTACAACAACTCAGTCATAATGGCTCTGTGATTGATCAAACTAGACACGCTTTAAACTGTAAACAGCCCCGTAATAAACAAGAACACCTACTGAGCGGAAATCTTGGCTACCTGTTGTTTCTTGAACTAAAATGGAACACTAAAACTGTTTTTTGCTTGCAGTTTTCCTAGGAGAGAGGTTGAAATATCTCTCAAGGGACTGTTGATTAAGTTTAATTAAAAAAAAGTGTAGTGCAAATATATAGTTCCCCTTCTTTGATCCTTCGAATTTTATTAACAAAACAGAGGCCAGTCATTGAAAAAATCCTACACGCCCTCTACCTTTGAGTTTCCATTTCAGGAAATTTCACAGTTTAATTTGATTGGTTAAAATAGATAAATATTTATGTTATTAGTTCAATTTTGTCAAAATCGTACACTATATTTCAACAAAAGAGACTTCAGTGAAGTCAGACTCACTAATTAGTTGGTCGATATTAATCCCGCAACAAATGTCAATTGCATCTTAAAGAAACAGCCATGAAGTCTTTTGTGGCTAAAGTGACTCTGCTAGCAGTTATTTCTTTTCTTTACTCAAAAGTAAGTACATTTTAATTGACCTAAATATGACTAGAATCGCCTTTTGATAACTGATTCTAATTAATTTCTTAAAAGGCGAAAACCTTTAATTAAAAAATTCCTTTTGCTGACAAGCAGGGGAGAAAGTTTCTGAAAGTGATTATTCCATTCGAGCTAGTTGACTATCCTTTAATATTCAACTTTTATCCATGTAAAATTTAGGAAATTACAGGGAATTAAATTTTAACCAATCGCGTTTCTGATAACCACCATTTCATTCAAGCCCAAGGCATGCAAATTAGTCAACATCGAGGACCAGTTTTCTCTATAAAGCTAACGAACCAGCTTTTGTTCTACCATCTTCGCGGGAATTCGATCGGTAACGTTTGTTTTGAATGTTATGTCTGTGTTTCAGCTCGTGCTGTTTGTTGTTCTTGTCCTCCCTGCAAAATTAACAAATAGGTGGAAAGCACCATGTGGGCTCAGTAGGGTCTCTAAGAGTATAGGACATAAATTTAATTGTTAGGGCCCGGGTTGTTCAAAGCTGGGTTAAGATAACCCAGGGTTAGTGTAAAATTTGATTTGCAGTTTTGAAGGCTTAGAAGAAAATTCAGTTCAAATATTTTTGCCTGCAACTTGATCATAGAATGGTCTGGAAAGGAATGGGGCAACTCTACCCTAAAAAAATTTTGAACAAAGAATTAAAGAAACCTGAATTAAAATTTAACCCTGGGTTTGCGCGGATCGGCCTTCGAACACTGGGCGTTGGTCTCCTTCCAACCCTCTCCTGTCGCAATAAAATGATTGCACAATCAAGCTACTTCTCTCACCTACAGGTATTCTTTTTTTTCCCTTTCAACTTTTTCCAACACGTAGGTAAGATGCGATGAAGGTTTCCAGTGCCCTCATTCTGCGTGTGGTCCACCAAAATCCTGTAAACTTCAGGTTAGTCGCGTACGTTTTCCTTGCTTTCCTGACGAACTGAATGTAATCGTTATGCATACTTTTTAGAAATAACATCACTATACATTGAAATCCCTTTTTTCCCTAAACACAAGCACGCAAAAAAGCATATAAATTTCTGCCGTTCTGTTTTAGGATAAATTGATTTATCATCAGACCATGACACCTGCTTGGCTCGAAGGCCATGCCTCATACATCAACATTGCTCATACCATAACAGCCGATATGATCTCATTTCAATTAACTTCCACCGTGAGTGGACCCCAAACTAAAGACGCTGCCCTCCTAAAAGTACCTCTGATCACTGCTGACGTCCTGAAAGACTGCACACTGCTGACCGTGGAGATCACTGTTGCCAATGACGTCAGCATTGGAGGAAAAGCTTACGACAGCGACATCAGATACGGCCTCTCAGATGGGGAGACTTTCATTGGTTTTGAGGCTCCCGATAGGAAAAGTTATGGAACGTCTTCTCCTTGTTATGGAATTGAAGGAACATCTGGCAAATTCCTGAAGAAAATAAATTACAAAAACACCAAGTTCCCTAAGGTCAACAAGTACTCATACTACCCCGGTCGATTCTTGTTCACTTTCAAGTTAGATCAGCGATGGGGTTCTTGTTACACCGCGCAGGACCATGGCTTTGTGAAGACCGCTGGCTACATAAACCGACTAAAAGTCAGTAAGGGGCTCACTCTGGAGGTTTACAAGACTGATAAAAATGAGAGGGTTGGGATCAAGTTTATCAAGGTGGCCATTACGCAGGACTCGTCATGTAATCAGTAATGAAAAGAATCTTATTATAATAAATGTTTGTCTTGAGTCATCTGACTTCGAAGCTCACCCATTACTTTGGGTCAGGGCAGTTAGAATTGTATATTATAATGTAACATTGCACTTTTCACTCAACCATACCTCAACGAGTTGAATCTGGATGAAAACTAATTTTGCAAGTAAATAAAATGGGGGAGAGAAAAAAAGGCATTTGTCGCACTTTGATCGTTAAAAACCCAATAGACTTAGATAACTTTGTGCTTAGATATCAATTTTTGCTGCTCATCAAAGAGCTGGTTGAGCTGTTTGTTTCTGGGGACGAGAAGTTGCTGATTAAGGCAGCAAAAAACCCCTTAATCTATAGCTGTAGCAGAGAACTTCAATCTAAATTATAATACATTTAAGACAATCCTCGTTTGAGTTTGCCTTTTCAAATCTTTCCTAACATCTAATCTGGGCAGGTTTTGTTGCCCTGAACTCGACTTACCCCTCAGATCAAACAAAAAGCGCATATTGGCCCTGCCCATTAGAATAACGAACCAATTAGAGCTTCATGATAACTGTGGCGCTATGGTGAATGTGGCTGTAAGTGTGACGCCTAAGATGAGCATAATCTTTCATCGTTTGTTAACGCTTAACCGAGACTACTTGAATGGAGCCGAAAATGAAATGCCTTGACAATTTATCGGGGATATGCGGTTGACAAAAAGAGCCCTGACTGGCATGTAGTGCTGTGTTCCAGGATAACTGAGACATTTTACTATCACAGTGCTTGTCCCCACTAAAGAGTACCAAAACCCATACTGCGGTGGTGAACATTTGACAATCTAACCGCTTCACGTCATGGGAAATGACAGAAAAAAAGACGGCTACGGGCCAAAGGGTTTGTACACTCCAGCGTTATATAAATTATCAAAACTGGATCAAAAAAGCAAGGGTAACCACAGCATATATTTCATTTTCGTTAGACCCAAAATTCTTGAATTTGATGAAAACAGTAGCTAATTAGGGCCATAATGTATGTGTTCCAGGTAGCGTGAAAATAATACAAGTTTATGTGGTTTTGGATAGCTTTTCATAAAAGGTGCGATTATCGATCAAAGAAATCATGACAAAATAGTTCACCATCAATTAATAGCAAAAACAAATCGACTTATTTTCGTTAGTTAAACATGTCAACGAGCAAATAAATGAAGAAAACAGAAAAGTGGTTAATATGGTGTTAAAATATCAATTAATCATTAAAAAAAAATTTCCCCCCCAAAATATCCAACCGTGTTTTCGTGTTGAACTCTGCCTGTGAACCCTATAAATGTTTATAACCTCAGGATAAATAAAGTTCGGTTCCTGTTCTATTCAATTCGGTCAGAAAGCGTGATTGGTTAAAAACGAAAACAATTTTGTGTGATATGATGACAACAGGTTATGATTTTTTTAAAACATATCTTTTTTTCTTGTCCATACAAAGAAAAATTATGTCAGACTTCATATAAAAATCTATTCTCTCCGTTTTAAGCAGTCGCGCCGAGTTGTTTATTTGATCGATTTCAGAAGAGATCAATTTTTCCAATGAAGTCCTCGATCGCTAAAGTAGCGGCAGTCTTGGCAGTCATTACCCTTCTTGTTCCTACTGTAAGTAATTCCTTTCTTTTCACAATTCATTTATAGTGTGCGGGTTTTTTTTCTCAAATCCTACTTTAGGATTGTAACTAAGATGGAGCTTAAAGAACCATACTTTTGAGAACATGAGTTCATAGAAGAAACGGATAATCGACGAAATAAGAACTTTTACGAACAAACACTTTGTTGCCGAGATAGTCTGAACGCCGTTCTATTTAGGACCATTCTATGATCAGGAAACAGTCCCAGTGAAACGTTTTTGTTGGCTTCACTCGACGTAGAAAGGATGGACAAGTTTTATACGTTAGTCATGTAGGTAACAATATTTCTGACCACAATGACTGTTCTGGAAGGGAAGCCAGTGTCTACGTGGGATTGTTTTGACGATATTTTGGTGATTAATGCTATATTCTCGACTCGATAATGAAGTGAAATCAATCTTTGGACGAAACACGTAGATCCATATATATCAAGTAAAGATATCGAGTGGCATCAAGGAGCAGTCGGTTCCGACTTCTAAATATAATTTTGCTGACGAAACAAATTTCCTCAACTTATAATGGAAATAACAACAAATAACAGAAAAACGTAATTGCAACAACAATTAAAAAGTAGAACGGTAGCGAAACAGTAACAAAAACAGCAAGAAGTTCCCTTTTTCTCTCAATAGCGAGTTATATGGTACACAATGACGCACAAATTACACAACTTCGCCCCATTTGTTTTCTTTTTTCGCCATAGATAACTTGATGCAGATCGAGAACTCTCTTCATTTTGCGACATTTTGTCCGCTCTCGAACAATAGTAAATTTTTTTTCAACTCTTTCCTCTACATACAGGTGTACTGTGACGAGGCAAGACAATGCCCTCACTCTGCATGCGGTCCGTCGAAAGCCTGTGAATTGCAGGTAAGTCTGAAAACTTTCCCAATTCAATAAAATTTGATCAATTTCACATTTTCAGGCGCCATTTTAAGAGAATAGCTAGATATCATGTGAATCTCATTCGAGTGACCGACTTATATCCGGTTTGCTCATGCTTTTCAATTCCTCTATCGCAGGATAAACTGATATATCACCAGACTATGACGCCCGCTTGGCTTGAAGGCTTCGCTTCTTACATTGACAGCTCACATTCTACAACCGCAGATCTTATCACTTTCAACGCGGGCAAAGTATCCAATGCTGCACTGCTTAAGATTCCATTAATCGCTTCCGACGTCTTGACAGACTGTGTACCGCTGACTGTTGAGATCACCGTCGCCAATGACGTCAGAATTGGTGGACGAGGTTACGACAGTGATATAAGGTATGGCTTGTCGGATGGCACCAATTTTATTGGATTCGAAGCGCCAGACAGAAGGACGTACGCGAGGCAGTCTCCTTGTTATGGAATTGAAGGAACATCTGGCAAATTCCTGAAGAAAATCAATTACAAAAACACCAAGTTCCCTAAAGTCAACAAGTATTCATACTACCCCGGTCGATTCTTGTTCACATTCAAGTTGGATCAGCGATGGGGTTCTTGTTACACCGCGCAGGACCATGGCTTTGAGAAGACCGCTGGCTACATAAACCGACTAAAAGTCAGTAAGGGGCTCACTCTGGAGGTTTACAAGACTGATAAAAATGAGAGGGTTGGGATCAAGTTTATCAAGGTGGCCATCACGCAGGACTCGTCATGTAATATGTAATGAATAGTCGCCTAACGTGGCACCGGTAGTTCACCAATATTCTCCTTCACTGATTGGACTGATTGGAAAAATATTAGAATTAAAGACTCGCCTCATGGTGTCACATTAGTAATTAAGCATTGATAAGAATTCATTTTACCATGTATAGATGACCGCATGAGACTGGCGTTTAATGAATATACTTTGTTCGTGGTTTCCCAAAGATGCCATGATATCAAATATCAAATCTGTCACTTGTACGGAACGTTTCTCTTAAAAATATTCTTTAACGTGTTATTCATTATTCAACAAGTTATAAGATTAACTTGTTCGGCATCAATGAGTCCGCCAAGATGGCCGTCATTTTATACTCTTGCGTAAACTAGCATTAAAATGTGACGAAAAGGGACCACACGGTGTCGGTGTGAAGCCTTTAAAAGCTTTTCCTGTCTTTTTATCCCCAAGACCTCCAAGACCTGAGAATTTGAAAAAACAAATGGCCCGGCCATAAGATTATTATTACGTTACATCTTATTACCACGGCAACCTTCTTCAGTCTGTGAGGTATACATAAGTGAGCGCAATTTGGGGAAATTCGGTTAAGATCAAGCCTACTTCTTTTGCTTCCTGCCACGAGAAGTAAAACTAACGTATAATGATATGAATGTTATAAAGAGATATGGGAAACAAATACATATTTCAAGCTACGTGGATCACAATATTCCACTGCAGCTATAACTTTTTTTTGTTTTGTTTGAAAGAGGGACGTCCTCAAGTGAAGCTGAAATACTACTGATCGCTGACTCCCCTTCTGCTCCCCCCCTCCCTCCACTCCTTCTTTTTGAGTGACCCACACCCTCCCAACAACTTCTTAATCACTGGTCTATTATCTTTTGCTACGGTTCATTTGCATGTTGTCACGGTGTCTTTTATGTTTCACCCTCCTTTCCGTAATTTGCCTCAGTAATGACCTGCAAACGAACCGAAATAGACCGAGGATCAAAACACTACCAGTATAGTGGCCTCGTCTTCTCTGAGGCGGAGCCTCAGTCACATCTGTTCACTAACTCCTTTACGGAAAGGAATGAGAGATAATTAAGGTGCGGATTTGAACTTATACATATCTCTGCTTCCTTCTAAGTCTATCTCCCGTATATGTTTCCTATGACTTGACATGATTTCTCAATTCACCGTTACCAATCAGTTTGTTTTGCTCCCTTTCTTTTGCTTTCCTTTTGTTAGAAAAAAAAAAAAGAAAAAGGAAAAGAAAAAACAGTCGTGATAGTAAAATGTCAGTTCTTCTTTTATTTATTTATCAAAGCTTCCTTACAGTTTTCCCCACTTAAGTTACCCTTCTAGCCGCAGTTTACCTTAAAAGGGTTAAAAAAAAAAAAAAAAAGAAAAGAAAAAACGAAAATAAATGAAACGCTAGCAGGCCTTAATGTTTTAGAACTCCAATCTAATTTGCATTTCTAATAAGATGCTCGACCTTCTCTGAATCTGTTGGTTTTGATTTCACACTCTGTGAGAGCTTTTTCTTCTATGCACCATCTTCTATGATGGAGACTTTGATAAACCTGATTCCAACCCTTTCCCCCTTGTTAGTTTTGTACACCTCCAGAGTGAGTCCCTTATTGGGCATCAGTCGGTTGCTGTAGCCAGCGGTCCTCACGAAGCCTCCGTCATGCGCAATGTAGCATGACCCCCAACGTTCATCCAACTTGAGGGTGATGATAAACTGGCCAGGGTAGAAAGAGTCGGTAGGTTTCGGCTTCAACGGTCGTAACGAGCAGACTTTAAGGTGCGACCAGAATCACCTTCTATTCTGTAGCATGGGGAATTTGTACCATAATTCCCTTTGTCACATGTTTCAAACCCGATCATTCTGATACCATCTGACACGCCATATCGAATATCGCTGTCTGTCGTCTGGCCAATGTTAACGTCATTTGCGACCGTGATCTCAACAGTCAGCGGTGTTGAATCTTTAAGCACACCAGCAGGAATCATGGGAACTATAAGTAGAGCAGGGTTCTTCTCAGAGCCTGCGTTGAAAGTGAGCTGTGCAGCAGTTAGCGAACGAGAGCTGTCAATATAGGACGCATGCACCTCCAGCCAAGATGGAGTCATGGTTTGATGATAGATAACTCTTTGCTGCAAAAAAGGAATATTGACAAGTTTACTTAGAAGTTATTTAGCACCTTATGTTAATTCAAAAATTATCAATGAAATATGAATTAAGATGGTCCATTGATTTACCATATAACTTCACTAAGTGTTTGAGTAAGTTCGAAAAAATGGGCCAGTTACATGAAATAGAAGCTTCCTAATAAAATCTTCGGGAATAAAATGTCGTCAGGGGTAATGGGCTCCTGATGTCATAAAAAAAGGCAAACAAGATTTTGTCGTCATTTATCATTCATGTCGCCATTCTTTTCCGTGTTTACATTTAACAAGAACCATTTCAAATTGTGCAATGGTACTCGAAAAAATATCAGTTGAAAATGACGAAGGTTGTCTTTCTAAAGGTAGTCTCGAGTTCATGAACTCGTTCCAGTTTTCCTGGCTGGTTTTCAAACATCCGGGACGTGGGGCACTTTTGGTAATAAAAAGCCACGTAACTTACCTGTGCCTTGCAGGGGTATGTTGAGCACGCTGACTGGAAAAAAAAGGAAGGAGTGACCATAGAAAAACGGAAAATATACAATTAGAAACTGAATATTCAGCATCTTCATTCCCGATAGATCCCCGCCGGCATAATGCATTTTTTGTGATCGCAAGTTTTTTTTCCTAGAGTGGAATTAAAGATATGCGGCAGTGAATTCCACAAGTTTGATCTGCTAGAAAAGCACAGGATTATTCTCGTGTAATTACTGATAAGTAAATTCAGCCGCCTGTGTCTACATTAGATGATTGAATTAAGTCAATTAGCCCATGGCTCGTGCTCCATAGCAGATCGTAAACAATCAAAGATCGCAGTGCCACATTTCACAGAGAGTTTGCTTAATCTTTCCCAAAATTCCATACTCAAATAATTACTACGGATCATTCATTCCATAAATAGAATTTTCACTATTAAACTGCTGAAAAGACGTTACAAAGAAAAACTTCTCAACTTTCGTTTCCATTACAAGCCGCCGATCGCTTCACGAAAAGACACGAAAAGTCAGTAATTTACTTACTTACTTACTTACCAGTTTTTGTAAACGAGATGACGACAGTATGGTTATTGGCTTACAAGTAACCATGAAAAACAAATTTTATTTGAGAGTGGTTATTCAAATTGAGTGGCAAAATTTTGCGTTTAGTCCGAGCGTTGAAAACATAAATATTTTTTTATAGTTTCGCCCTATTCGTCTGCGTAGTCAGTTGTGACTAATTTTGCCGATATTCACATCGTCAAAGTATTTTAAAAAATCCTTAAAATGAAATTAAGTCACTCACTGGGCAAAGAAATATCACCAAATATACGACTGCCAAGCCTGTGTTTGAAAAAGTGGGAAAGAACGCCATGTCTCACTCAGCTGTAGATTTGTGAAACTTCAACAGCAGCGTTACGTTAAGATATCAGGATTAAAATGACGCATCAGCTCATTGTCTTGTTAATGCAATTTGGAGCACGAACTTTTACGAGCAAGAACATTGTTTACATTTATCTCCAATTACCATAAAGTAAGTAGTGCAATTATTTTTCTCCCCTAAATATAATTTTAATCGGAAGAAATCATGATTTCTGAATAAAGATGGTGTGTTTTTTTTCCTGATGCACAACTCTTGATATAAATTACGTTCTTTCAAATTTCGCACTGACCTCTTTTTAATTTTCTAAGTAAGTTTTGATTAATGGATGAAGTCAACGAAGCAAAGCATCTTCAGGGGTCTGGAAACCAAAACCAAGATAAAATGGCGGTCGAATTTGTACAGAAAGCTCTTGAAAAGTGTCGCGTTCTTAGAGATAAAATTTGGCATAGTGCCACTTCATCTGAAGAGAAATATATACGAATATATTTATCAGATGCATTATTTTCTAGCGCAGTTGCTGGAATAACGTTTCCAGTATTTCTAGGATGTTTACAAACTGGAATTTTTCGTCCTTTACGTATTTCCTCAAACCTTTTGTTCGCTCCTGTCTGTGGTTGTATTTCGGTATTCATATCAGGGGGTTGTGCCTCACTGTTGCTTCTATCGAGCTTTTCATTTATCGGAAAAAATGATTGGCACAAAACTTTACTAGATAAACGCCAAGGGTATGTTCATGTTCCAAACGAATATTCATTAGCGATTTCAGTGCGTCCCGCGGATGTTCCACTGTGTGGATTTGGGAGTTTGATCGCGTTTAAGATCTTGGGAGGACGATTTCGATCAGTGTTACCAAGCAGCTTGATTCATCCAGGAGCATTTGCTAGAAAGTACATTCCAGCCAAAGGACAGAATTATGCATCTGCAACTGTTAGAAGAAGGCTTCGTTTGTTGGGTGAGTTTTGCTGAGTACAGCCCGCGAACAAGTGCACTGTACAAGTCCTGTTCATTTGCTAGCACTGAGCAATTATCTCTAGTTTGATCAACACCATATCTACAGCACTGATCGACTGAATCTGATGGTGGGTGCCAGGCTTAGTTTGTCATTATATTTTGTGCAGGAAGGGAATATGGCTGTCACTCCTGTGGAAGACGATGGTGGACATCTTTTGTTGGGGATCACATACCTCCAAATAAGTTGGTTAGAGAAGGACAGCAACAAAGATTTTATCCACAGTGCACCCACTGCTCATATTTACAAGGTGAAAGTTCATAAACTAGGACTACTGTTTAAGAGGCATAAAAGTACTAGTACATGCATGTTTGCTATTGAAAAATCATTGTTACTGCATGCAAAATTTATGATTAGATGAAACAACCACAAGGAACTTATACAAGTTGACAGCGTATGTGAAATTGGTTACACTGCAAATATTTTTTCTGATAAGGCAAGAGTCAATTGTCACTTCCTTGCTCTTCACCTGTTTAACCATAAGTGATTACTAAATTTTTTAAGAGTTAAGAATTTTTTTTTAACTAGAGAATCTCTATTTAATTGATGACTGATGTTAAATTTTGGCCTTTGACTTTTTTAACTCCCACTTTTGATTGACATGCAACTTCACATGGCAATATTACTAAATAACTCAGCAAACAGGTAATGAGTGTTGACATTGTTCCTAGCTATGGGAAATTATCTGGATTTCACATCCGAAATGAGTTACAGTAGTAGAACCAGTTCACCAATGACAGCAGCTTCTCTCTTCCCACCAGGAGCAGCTTTGTCTTCCATGTCAAGACTGCAACATATCAAAACACATGGCACATCTTTAAGACCCTATCATTTATGGTTACCACTACCACTTCCACTGGCAGTTCTTAGGAATTACATCAATGAAAACTCTGGTGCAAAAGAGCTTGATGAAAACTCTGTTTCAAAAGAGGCTGATGAGGACTCTATTTCAAAAGAGGCTAATGAAGACCCTGGTACAAAAGAGGTCAATAAAGGGTCTGACATTGCAGATGAAATCCAAGATGGATATTTGCATACAATCCTGAATGGAGTGCTAATCCTTTTGAAAATTAAGAAAAAAGATGATAGTGAAGACTATGATTGAATCAGAATATAAGAAAGATGTGCATGAGAAATTGTTTTATAATGTTTTTATTTTCTTTGAAGATTGACTAGTTTACTACTCAAATTTAATGCTGTACACATTCAAGTTACTGCAAATGCTCTTATGTGCCTTATTTCCAGGGTTAGTTCAAACAGGGCTAGTAGGAGAAGATGCAGTTAGAGAAAGTTTACCGTATTCTTGAAAAATGACACTATTCTTCACATAACCATTGCATGTGATTAGTTAGCACCTAAACTGCAATATCACATTCAACTTCAAAGTGAAATCAACTGTAAAAGATATTTACACAAAATAAAATGTTCTTTCTCATAGTTTGAGTGCGTTGACACACCAGCTCCATCTTTAATTTCAATCTGCTTTTTAGCTTCCAGATGGTTTTAAATAGAACTTCTGCTTATCATGTTAGTTCTCCTTATCAGGAGCAGAATGTGATCTGAACTTAACACCAAATTCTCTCCTCTTGTTCACAGGGATGTAGACCAATTAGAGAGGAGATTTTATGGGTAAAACCAGAAGTGTAACTTCTCCAGCTCTTTTCATTGTAACAGTTTTTTTCACATTGTGATCATTCAATTCTGTTTTATATTGTTGATTCTTTTTTCGTCAGATTTGCTGACTTTCCAGACTGAGCAAAGTCCTTTTGATAATCTTCTCTTTTCTTCAGGTACTCTTGTCGACATTCTTCAAAAAGTTCTTTGTCCTGGTAGCTGAAAGAAAATAAAGATAACTTTATTACTATGATTATGTTTGACATTTAAAAAACAACAACAATGCAAAAAGGACTTCTGAAAATAAAAGTAAAATATGGATGCAGTGTTAAATGTAGGAGCAGGCCCTCTTGATTTCTAACCAAACCCCAGGTTTGTAGGATGTGAGTATCCTTAATCCTTTACACCCTAAATATCAGTATTCTATTCACTCACTCCAAATTGTTCTCTATACATTTCCTAAGGTGCTGACAAGGAAAATTTGTTTAACAATCAAGGGCTATGTTAGACTACAAGCAGTCCCTCCTTTTGTGTTTTGTTTCACAAAAATCTCAGACAATGTAAAGCATGTGTTTTTGCAAGCACATACTGCAAAAGTCATTCCACAATGGTTCTCATGATATTTATTCACAAGAGTCATCCTTACTGAAACATTTGACAAATTTCCAGTTTATTGTGCTCCTTGAAATTTAAAACGGTTTAATTTTTTGAGATCACCTTGTGTTGCAATGAAATTGAGATTAAAATTTGACGCCCAAAGATCACTCAGCCATAGAAGGTCAAACTCTTGGGCTTAGTCTGTAGTTCCTGTTGTTTGAGCGCATCACTCATGGAGCTACTGCGGTGCATAAACAGCACTCCAACAGCTCCCTATGGTGCACTCACATCAATTTTCATCACTAATTTTTTTTTTTACTTATGCAACTGACTTCACTGAGAAGGAGGGACTGCTAGAAGTCTAGAGCTTCACTAGTTAGTGATCATTTCTTTGATTCATGTGACCTTTAAGTGTGATTCAGGGGAGATGCTGTGAGGATAAATTAGTTGCTAGTCACCCCTTAGGAATTTAAAGTTTGAGATTATTGCTCCCCTCACCCTGCGTTATGTGTAGTAACAGCCAATATCTCGAATAAAGATGAGCCTGGAAGGGGTTGTGTCCTCGTGTACCGGTACACAAAGGAAGGAAACATTAACGAACTGCGTCATAACTCCATGTATGGTTATGAAAACAAAAGAAATTCCCTCGTGTACCGGTACACCAGGACAGCCCCCTGGAAGGAGATGGGCGGACCACTTTTGATAGTTTTTTCAGCGCGTGTTTAAACTCTTTTAAAATTCTACCCCTGAAAAAGCGTTTGGTCTATACTGGAAACCACAGGTAAAGTCGATAACAAAGATTAATAGAGTAAACTAAATGTTTTTGGTACTTCTTATTACGTACTTCCGAACGTTTAACGAAATTTTTAATACTTACTAGCTAGTCAAACAGTCTTTCATCGCTTGATTCTCTTTGCGGCAAGTCCATAAAATTGATACAGTTCTCCCTTTTGCACACTGCGTAAAAGCTGTCAAAAAGGCCAGCATCGTTACCCAGATCACGTAATTATGCAATGAAGAATTCAGAAGAACTTGTATTAGAAAGCGAGGACAGCTTACCTTGCACGAGATCATCACATTTAGTCTTTGCCTTCTCTCTTAAGATTTTCGGGATAATGACTTCTGTTTCTACATGCCTCAAATGTTCTCCGCTTGCCCAAGGTGCGATTTTATCGGAGACCTCACCTTGTCCACTTTCTTCCTTGATAGTAGCCATATTGAAAATGACCCATCAGTCTTTGCGAGCGTACACTTTGTTCTCTATCTAGTGTCAGCGGTCAATCTTGTAACCAGTGCTTTTCAATGAGCACGTTTGTCTTCTGGGGATGGAGAGAAGTGTAACTTAAAAAGATGAGCAAAAAACACAAACAAAAAGGAGGAGAATATGTGTGAAAAAGGCACTGGGTAGTTGCTCAGCGCTTGTTTAAAATTTTTGACTGAGACCAGTTCCCAATAGCTAAATAGTCGGAGGGGGAAGGGGGAGGGGGGGAGGGGGGACCTTTGCCAATTGGCCTCCTACAGCAGACCAGTATTTATTGCCCAGCAGGGCTGACCATGACTCTATGAAACCTGGCGATTGTACTGCATATACTTGTTGCCAAGGAAAACTTTCAATAGAGCACTTTCTTTTTATTTTTGTGTATAATTATATAGAGAAGAAATAATGCCAGGCTTACGTACAAATGCGTTGTGCCAAGCATTGTAATGTCAAAGAAATAAAAGCCATTGAAAAAAGCAAATCAGAATGGGAACTAATTACCAGTTCAAGTTATTACTAATAACTGGCTGACCAGAAAACTGAATGGGTGAACTGTGAGAATGTAATTTTAGTTCATTTCTTTTTAATTTTATGTTTTTCAGTGGATTAAATGACATAAAACATAAATTAATTTTTTTCATTTATTAATGTATATTTTTAAAAAGTTATTTGGTTTTGAAATATTAAAGTTGGTATTCTGGGCAAAAATATGCAACAACTTTACCAAACATTATCTTTTCTGTCAAAAAGAGCCAACTTTTCCTTGATGATAGTCCATCACACAAGTGATGCACAAAAATTAAATAAAGAATTTTATTAGGGCAATTTCTCATGATTGTTTAATTGACCAGTCACGTTTGATTAAGAGTTTAAGTGGATGGTGGGGGGAGGGGATAGGGAGAGGTAATTTCTATTGGCCCACCCCCTTCCTTTTGGGCATTGCTCAACCACTTGGTACAAATTTCTTTCTCTCCAGCCTTCTGCAGCTGTAAAAATCAAAGATGGCAGCTATAATTTTCACTAAAAAAAATTCTGAGCACTTGCTCACCAAAACTATGCCTGCTCTGTAAGCTAAGTTTGCTTCCACTCTTTTTTTTTTTTTAAACAAAGGTTATATCTGTCTTGAAAAATCAAAAGCACAACTAAAAAAAAGTGATGAAAAGAATAATGTTCTAATTTGTCTCTTGACATCATTTTGTTCACAGTTCTTTCTCCTCCAGGCAGTTATTGCGAACAGAATGTGATCCACATCAGTTTGAAGGATCATCAGTGATCTAGAATTCTCAAAAACTTGTTCTTCATTTACTTGCTCTTGACTGTTCTTAAATATTCTTCCTTGTATTTTTTAAAGTTGGCTTTTCTATAGCTGAAATGAAAAGCAAGAAATATCAACATGAAAACTCAAACTATTCGCCCTTAGCTTAGGACAAGGTTGGCACAAACAAGGGAACAAGTTTTTTAACTACTTGAACAGTTCAATGGAAGGAACAGTCATAGTTATTAGGGGAAAGTCTCTCCAGCTTGTGCTACAGGAACACAGATGAAGGTTGTGCTTTTTTTCACCTTAACATAACAGTTCTACAACCATTAATCAAGATTGTGTTGAGATTAATAATGAGATTCCAAGTTGCCATCCCATTTTCAGTAATGTATCATATATAATGCCAAAATGTGTTAAAAACAAACAAGTGACATGCAAAGCCCAGTCAAGTGTGTCACACTGATCATTGCATGTCACTGAGCGCTGAGCGCTTATGTCATTGTTGAAGGGGGGGGGGACAGGGGATCACAGCCTCCCACTTCCCATACCATGTTCTCCCACCTCCCATACTTTTATGCCCCTCTGCCTCCTGACTCCCACTCTCCATTGAATAACTCCTATATACAGGTTAATAAAAAGGATCACAAACCTGATCAATTTAGTCTCTGACAACATTCAACCCGACTCTCATTGATTGCTGGAGAATTTGGACTATTGCAGCTTGCAAGACACTTACAAATTCATTCATGACCAATCACATAACCAAATTCAATAGGTATCCAATTTCACCAGTATTATGCTGTTTTTTTCAGCCTAAGAAAAAAACTACATTTCCTTGCTTATAAAATTTTATTTTATGCCTCAGTGGACATCAAATGGGAGTGAAAAAACTTAAGTGGGTGCTGGTTTTTTACTAGATGATAAGCAGTGGGAAACTACAGAAAAGCTCTTTTATGATTTGTGTTCCCACTCCCTGCCGTCATATAGCTCCAACCCTCTTCTGCCCCCCGATCTTCCAGGTTCCCACCCTCCTGTCCCCTTCCACACTGTTACTGGTCTTGAGAACTGGACTAAGGTTTTACTTACAATCCTTCCATACACTGTTTCATGGCTTTGTGTTCTGGGCGACAGGTCCAAGCTAAAGAGATGGTACGGTCCTGTGCACATTCTAGAAAGGCTTGTGAACAAAGAAATTCAAAACTGAGTGAAGGCAATACTTAAACTCAATAGCTCTACAAAAAATAAACTGACATTACCTGTGCTTAACAAGGTGGTATAGTTATAAAGGGGTAAGTTTCTAAAGAAACTGTGGTGCTGCGTCGGTGGGAGAGTATAGCAGGTAATTTAGTGTTAACAACTGGGTTGAAAACGTAAATTAGTCACCGTAAAGGGTAAAAAAGCTGACGTTTCGAGCGTTAGCCCTTCGCTCTGACGAAGGGCTAACGCTCGAAATGTCAGCTTTTTTACCCTTTACGGTGGCTAATTTACGTTTTCAACCCAGTTGTTAACACTAAATTACCTAGTATAGTTATACATCTTAAACTTTGTTACATTCCCATTTAAGACCAAAAAGTAATTTTTCCAAATGGCATCAATGTAATTTATTTTCAAGCAGAGAAAGAAAAATATAAGCTTTAGGATATTGCTTGTCTGATCTACTGGAGATAAAATTGTATGGAAATATATAACATTCAGTATAGAGAATTCACATCGATATATGCTTGGGAGTGAAAGGTTAAATATCAGTTTACCTTTGTTTCAGAAACAGTTTAATGCGGTGATAAGGGTATTATCCTTTCTCATAATAAATCTGGCTACCACATCACCCATTTTTCATTTTCAGCCACATTCACCGCATGCAATAACAGAGATTCCAACCCTCCTGATTTGATCGGGAGTCTCCCGATTTGATGTCTTGCCTCCCGCTCTCCCGATTTTTACCAAATTCTCCCGATTTATCATAAAATTCTGAAAACTAGGGGAAAATTGCCAATCTTTAGAATTTTTGGCGATCTGTCACTGTGAAACACTCATATTATACTTACTTTCTTCGCGAAGAGCATTATGGTATGTTATAACTCAGGCCGGAATGATGTCAAAATTCAGGAAATGGCACTTGAGAGAACCTAAATTTGCAAAATTTCCCCGGGGCATGCCCCCTGACCCCCCTAGAAGCTCGCGCCTTTCGCACTAATAATTACTCCCTATTTTCCATCACATGGGGTTGGAATCTCTGCAATAATACGTTAAAAAAATCCAAAATTCGCACGCTCGTGCTGAAGGGTATAACCTCTTACTTCTCCAGCTTCCATGAGCGAAGCTTTGGTTCTGGCGTGCAAATGAACGCCAATTTACCATACTCTGCATACAACGCGAGATTTATTGGCCACAGTACAGATTTTTCAGGGAAATATGTACGACGTTGGCAAAATATCATAAGAGTCTTTGCGAGATAATAATGAATTTTAAATTCTTTCCAAACGCAAATTCCCAAATAAGAGAAAAGCCATGTAATACCTAGTGTCAATCAACCTTAGACTTAATACCTTTTACCAAGGGACTGCACTGCAATTTAGCTTTTTCGTACATCCAAGCTTTCAGGTCATCAACATCAAGTTCGTCCGCCATCTTTGATTTTACCCATCATTCAATGGCACCACGTTGGTCGAGTGAGCCTTGGGCTGAGGGCTTTTTTTAGTCTGATTATCATAATACTTTATTCTTAGTGTGGTCCAGAATGCCGGCTGTTATGGAATGTATCAGTAACCCTTAATAATGGCGAAAAACGGATCTATAAATCATCTTAGAGATAACCACACCAAAGAGAAGAAAATATCTAAAGCGCCGATTCTATTTAAACTAGAATCTTGTCCTTCATGGCTGCAATTTAACAAATATATTCGGGGAAGTTATCGATGTAACTTATCAACGCGCCAATGCGTAGACAGCTTGTTTTACGTCCACAACGAAACGTTCAATATTTATTCGCACGGTAAGTAAGAAAATAGTTTTAGATGTTTCTACTGCTTTTTTATTTAACGCAAACTTCGGGAATTTTGGAGAGAGAAATAGGAACTCGTGAAAAGTTACAGACATCAGCACATCCGATTATTAATTTATTAACTTAAAACTCTTTTAATATTAACTTGATGTAATATTTTTTTTTCGATCAGGAAATCAAACTCAAGTGTAAGTTAACATGCACACATTGAAGTTAAACTGAATTAAGACCTACATGCTTCTTTCAATGTTTTTTTTTCAGCTGTACTAGGTTTTGGTTTCACTTCTTTTGATTGGGTCAGAATGTTTCAATATACTTTCTAAACATTAATTTTTATTATAACATGGCTAGTAAATTTGTGTCATCAAATTCAATTGTGCGAGCGTGCTTCATATTCCTATTGTGTATGTTCATGACGTCAGCAAACAAATTCCTTGAGAAAAAAAATTCCATCAGGTTGAAAATGTTATAAAACAATTGGTTCATGCGTCAGCTGTGGGTTCATCAGGATATGAAGCACTTAGGAAGTTTGGAGAGCACTCAAGAAGCTAGAGTTGTTCTCGGCTACGCCTCAAGCAACTCTTATGCATCTTTTGTGCTCTCCAAACTTCCCACATGCTTCATATCTCGATGATTGCATGCTGACGTATGAACCAATTGTTAAATTGATGGCTTCTCTGTTTGTTATTATCCAAAAGTGAGGTCAAGAACATTAAATCCTTTAACTCCCAAGATCTGATTGTTAATCAGCTATAGATGTTAAACATTTTCTTGTAAATTTGTTAGTACAAGAATTTGGTGTTTGATCAAGATAACAACTTCTACCTGATAAATTTGAGTTTTCTCATTACCTATTCCCTGAATAATTTATGGAAATTATAGGTAGAACTTAAATGTTAATTACTTTTGGGATTTAACCCTTTAACTCTCAGATCAAATTTGTGATTTTCTTATTGTCAACCATAAAATTCGTATAATGTAAGTTCAGAGAATTCAGTATGGGATCAACTAATTATCCCCAAATACATTTTTTTTTTTTTTTCATCACTTATACAGTTGATATTGTATTGATCTCGTAAGGAGAAATTCTGTCTTGTTCACTTATGGGAGTTAAAGGTTAAAGGATTTAATGAAACAATTTCACCTATTTATTTCAGGTATTCCCTGTGCATTTTTTGTGGTGCTAATCCCCATGACAGCAAGTGCAGCAAGTCTGGCCGACCCACTATGGTTTTTTCTTCACTATTTCTCCTGCTTTGCTCCATTCTTGGCTAGCCCTATTTATCATTTATTTATGTGTCATCAAAATGGACAGGATTCATACAAGCATCTACTCACTTTGGATGTCTGTGGTATCTGGGCAATCAATGCCTTTGGTGCTTTGTGTGGTATCCGTGCAACATTTTACTGCCTTCCATTTTGGCAGTTTTTGTCTCTTACAGTTTATTTGGTGATTTCCTTGAGGTGTCTATACTTTATTGTGATAGCTGACAATGCTAAAGAACGGTTCAAACCTTTTGCAGTATTTGGTGTGATGAGGTATTTCTTTGTTGCAGTTCGTCTATCATTTTATTATTTTAATGTTACCAAAAGCAGCGTCAGTGCTATGCTGTATTATTTATCAATGGATTTATTAGCTTTTATTGGTGGAGCACTCAATGTTGCCAGAATACCCGAGAGATGGTTTCCAGGAAAATGTGATATTATTGGAAACAGTCATCAAATTATGCATGTGGTTACGGTACTAAGTGTTATTTGTTTACACGTTGGATCAGTAAGAGACTTTCACTGGATGAGTGAAACTCTTTGCATGTGAAGCAAGTTCTGGTTTGCGTGATGTTCTACTGGAACAAGAGTAACTTGAATGTGAGAGAGCAGAGAGACAACTCCTTCTGTTGCATGGACTTACTACTTTTGCACAGCAGTCTAATTTTCTTGCACCTGTCTTGCAGAAAATTACCTAAATTATATAGTTTTTGGCTTAAATTCCAGCCATCTTGAACTACAAATATTTTTTTTCTTGTGTAACACACAAATCTGCTAATCTATCGAGTAAAAACTGGTAACAATTAATAGCAATATTAACAGTGTTGAAAAGAATTAAAGGATTTTGTCTGCCTTCAGATTGAAAAAAATAACAATATTGAAACATTAAGATTTTTAAATTGAGCAAGCAATTTAACTATTTTTTAAATGTGTCAAAATATTTTACAAATAAATTTAAAATTTAATAATTGTTTAATTATATGTTATTTTAACTTGAATTTTTGTAAATAGAGAAGGTGAAACATAGTCTATAACTAGTCCAGACTTTCAAACTGATTAACCTTTATCTGTTTTATCTTTATTGAGATCTTTACCCCTACTAAGGAGTTTTGGACAGCTGTTAGATTTTGAAGATAAAGGACTTTTACCAAAAGATGAAACACATTGCTGCTTGCTAATAGTAAAGGTCATTTCAACTTTCATTCTATTGGGCTTTTGGGCTTAATGTGATTTTCTTATACAGGGAAAGGAATGTTGTTTCTTTTTTAAGGAATTAGATGACATGCTAATGAACAGCTGCAAATGAGACTGGGTTGCAGAGGGCAGATTGAATTTTAAGAATTTGTATTATACTGTTTAGTGTGAGGGAACAATTTCTGAGCTGGATATGGCTAACCATTTAATTCTCAGGATATGATAAGTGATTTTCCTTTGTTGCTGTCATAAATTTTCTTATAAACTAGTGAAATAAATTTGTTTTATCGGGGAGATGCCTTAAGCTAATAAGTTCTCACCACGTGCACATTACTCCAGCAGTGAATTACCTGTTAAATGTCAATCACTTGGGAGTTACAGAGTTGAGACAGAGAGGAAAGGACTTCAATTAAAACGTAATCAATTTTGTGTCACATTTCTCTCGTCGCTTTGCTGCTTATTTTGTGGGTTTTGCCTCTCAAAGTCCGAGAGGCTTACGTATGACTAGTAATTGGCCACATTGACCGACTTAATAAAACCACACTTTTGATAGCATTCTACATTATATCAGCTTCAACTTAAATATGAATGTTTTCTTTTTAGAGGCATCACAGAGCTCCTAGCTTTTAATCGTTCTAGAGCTGGCTACAGCTGACGTGCAAACCAGTCACATGTTTATTAACCGCAAAGTTTAGGTGCACGCGCTTGCTCCACTAACCACCCTCTTTTCTGTAAGAACTGTGCTGATATATTAGAAATTTATTATCAGTATTTTAAAATTACAGTTTTTCAGTCAGATTTTCTGCTTTTCACAGGCTTGATTCGACTAGAACATACTACACCTGAAGAAAGTTTTGACCACCGATTCAATGCGTCGATGAAAGACGACATTCTCTCCAATATGTTAAAAATGGCTCTCAGATTATCGTCGTAATTTTTGTAAGTCGAGCTTGTTCTTTGAAATCCTTATTTTTCTTCCTTTTCTAGAACTTAACTGCGGTTTAAGACAATTGGGCAATGTAAAAGTAATTTCTCACGCATTCAAACAAACTCCTCCCAATATACTCAAGTTTGGGAGTAAATTGTTTTTTCTTGTCGTGATCTGATTGGCTGTTGGTGTCGTCATCAGATTGTACGTGACATATTCGAAGTGTTATTTCACAATTCTTGGTCACCCGTACTCAAAATAAAATCGTGTCTGAGACATGCGCTCACGTGTCGGGGAGTGTATTACTCCTTTTACGCAATTTGATTGGCTGTTACATGTATAATTAGTTTCATTAACAATTGAAAAGCATCAGGCCACCTTTCGCAAGATGTATTGAGTGCTTGGTCGTGTCCCGAAGATAGTGGACTACTTTTCTTTTCCTGGTTTTTAAGAAACCGTGTAGACGCATTGGCTAAAAGTTGCTATTATTCCTGCTCTGGTTTTTACAGTTTGAGTCACAAAGCTCCGAGATCGCACTTGTACCGCAGTTATAAAATCGAAGAGCACAGCAACACAATCCAAACCCTTCGATTGCTTTGATCATACCTTTCTCTACCTGATAAAAAAGATGTCGTCTGTCCCTGTCAGTGTAAACTTTGTGAGGAAACTGGTGGATAAACCAGGGACGATGACACAACTGGATGCTGTAAGCTTTAAAAGTAGTGAAGCGGACATCGCTGGTACCAACCGCGTACAGCATGACATGCAACCCGCACTGCATATAAAGCGAGTACAACAACATGGGTTGATCTACTGTTATGACACACATATAATGATGCTTGCCTATTCAGCTCAGGAATTAATTCGCAATTTGCTAGAGTAGAGATTTAAAGAAATGAAACAGGAACTAAGGCGGTCCCCACGTCGCTTGAGACGCTGTGAACACTGTATCTGAACTGACCTGGTAGGCTGAGATCTCCAAAGTTTTTGGAAAGCGTACTTTTTGCAGTACTCACTCGGAAAAACTAAGGATTCCTCTCGCTTCGGTGAACTCTCGATGAGAGGAGCTCATAACAAAATCTTCGACCGAATTTGGAATCATACATTATTCCACTGTCAATCGTCTTGATGTTTCACAGTATATGCATGTACGACTAGTACAAGTGAGTTTGTTGAATATGCAAATGAGATGGGCAAGTGTTCGAATACATTTCTGACTTGCGTTGCGATTTCTTTAAAAAATAAATGAAATGACGTGGTTTATTGTACATTGTTTCGAAAGAAGGGGATCTTGGAATGAAGTGTATATGTTCTGAATATGTTTAAGCGCGCGCAAGAGTTCCCTGACAACTCGCCTGTTCCCGGGTGCACGTAGGGTAAAGTTCCCGGGTCTTCAACCCGGCCTCTCGGCCCAAAGGGCAATGGGTCTCCCTCAAACGAATTGTTCAACATACCTTTTTTTTAGCTAACTAATGCAAATGTCTACAGCTGAATAATTTCACGCATTTACTCTCCGTTTCCTCCTACTGTTCCCCAATCAGGCTCCTGATTGTCATGATCGAAAAAGAGGGCGCGCGTGCGCGAGATAACACGGTAGCAGTCAACAGGAAAAGAGAGTGGTCGATCTGTGGCTTCTTTCGTGACAGTCACAGTCACCGTCTATTTTTGGTGCCTTCCTACAATCGGCTCCTTTGACTGAAAGCCTGGAACAGGCTATTAAACTTGACACAAATAAGTGGTCCGTAGTTTTCCACGTGCCATTAAATTAGAGGAAACTCATCACTTTTACATGTAGTAACAGAAAATTTTAGCAGTCTCCAACCCTGTCTTTTCTTGAAACAAATATTTTTTTTTTGACACAGTTCCAATACAGAGAGGAAAAACCAGGAGAATCAGCCTCCTTTCCCCTCCCAGAAAAAAAGTGATTCGGTAACCGAAGCCTTAAAATGTCCCTCGGCCACGAGTCCTCATTAATCTGCCACACCTCGTTGCCACTCGGGAAAAACCTTAATTTCATTAAGCGTTTCTCGGGGTACACTGTGCCGGACGAGTCTTCGACCGGTGCCAAAAATTCGTGCGTTTAGGCGTTTCTTTCACATGGAGCCACGCCAAACGTACGAAAATTTGGACGCTTAAGCGTTCAAGAATTTGAACACCAAAATCAAGGACGAATTTTTTGCCGGTGCAGTCTTAATTTGACCACCACGGTCTGTTAAAATTTTTGTATGGTGAAGGCGTGGCTGCATGGATGCGTGGTAACTAAGCTAAGTAACATATTTTACGTTATACGAAAATGGAACGTGTTGATTTATTGATTGCGGTCTGTTTAATGTCAGAAATCAAGTTAAAATCGCTGCACATCTATCTGTAATTCGAAGACGTCGAAGAAGGGAAAACACTGAATTAGGAAGTGTTCTGCGCATGAGGAGACGGTAAAACCACTGACGAATGTCACAAACTTTATCCGGTCAGCAGCTCCATCTGAACAGAACGAAACTTTCGCACGGTTCCACGCGAATTGAACGTCCGGTCGATATTTTCGTAGCCTCAGGAATATTAGTAAACGGGCTTCTGTGTGTGGTCTACCAATATAATTAGTTGTTGTTATTCCTTGTATGCAGTGAAATTAAGTTTCGAATTCTGATTGGCTGACGAGACCGACCTTTGTACTTTTCGTACTCTGTTTTGTTTCAGCAGGATTTGGGGTTGGTTAGTTATTCCGCAACCACGATTGTACCTGAAACCAAAAATGATCGAGTTTCAAGAAGAAGTTTCCACCGATTGGCTTCATTTTGCTGTCATTTCAAATTCACTGTGTGTGCTGTGAATATTTTCAGTCTGGTGGTCACATAGGTCGCGGAAAAAACTCAGGTGAGTGTTCAACGAAACAGATCCATGAATAGATTCCTTCGATTGTTCGAGCCTTAAAAACTTGTATTTTTCTCGTTGTTAGAAATGGCCTCAGTTCCGATAAGCAGGAGCTACGTTAAGAAACTCTCCAACACAGAGAAAAGCAGCCCCAAAAATGCTTTTTTCCTTAGACAACAATGTCCACAAGGGGAAGAAGATCGCAATCAATCTGTTTCCAATACTGGAAAAAATGGACTCTCGTTAACTGATTACAGGGTTTCTGTCGTTAAAGAAGTAAGTGCCCTACGCGTGGATGTCGGGAGAAAAGACAAAAATGTCGATAACGTCGGTGAGTAAAACACAGCTTAAAGCCACGTCGTGATTTCGCTACAGTATCCAAAAATCTTCAAGTAACCTAACATTAGTTTTCCGAATGAAGAACGAACCTCGCGTTTATATCAATATAATTTTTTCATGGCAGAAGAGAGATCAAGTAAATTTCATATTCATTTTAAGGAATTGAGGGTTTCTGTGCAAGGATGATATTCTTGCACGTGCGGAGTTATTTTCTTCATCTTGGCGAATCGTTCATGGAGGGTAAGACTGGGGCACGAAGGGGGTGGGGACGCGATCCTAAAATTTTAAAACACCTCGAGATTTCCTAGGTTGCAACTACCGAATCTTTCATTTTTAAGAGTAGAATGTAACTTTCTGAGAATTTTGGGTTTGATTTTTTCTGACTGATCTTTCAGAATTCTTGTCAAGTTTTGCCATTTTTTTTGGTTTTATATACTCCATGGTTTTATAACATTACTGGAGCATAAAATGTCCTTTTTCTTTTCCCTTTTTTATAGGGTGAAGTTTGGGCCATGCATGGATGAGAATTAGTTTTTCTCTACAAAGCATAATCTCAGGAATGTATGGAAAGTTATTTTTACATGGACATTTAGTCAAGTAATAGAAAGTCTTATCAAGAAACTTTTACTTACATTGGAAAGAAAAATTGTACAGAGGAGTCTAATATTTGTTTGAAAGGGTTTTTTACTTGCTTTTCTGTACAAGAATCATTGATATGTACGGAAGTGACTGACTTCCTCCAGATGGGGTTGTTAAAAACATGATTTTAACCATGTAATCTTTAAAGAATTATTTAGAGTAAGTTGTTTATCAAAACCATGTGCTACCACACATGAACTCTATATTAGATCTAATTATGCATCTTACTCAGCCAGGATTTAGACAAATTTTATTAGAAAAAAATAAATATGATTTACAAAACCAAGCAATATAATTATTTGGTGTTAACCAATGGAATAAGTTCCCTTTCATTGTGTTAGCCCATTTTTTAACCTAAATTTTATACCACAGTATAGTCACTTTATCGTTATATGTTATGACTTCAGATTCCCTTGTATTTCTGTTCCATGAACCCAAAAGAGCTAACTCATTGTTTGTATGTCTTAGAATATTGAGCTTAGATTGGACTTGTATTAGAAGTATGCCGTTATTCAACCTGTCCAACCTACATGTATTTTTGTACAGAAACAACCAATATTGGGCTGGACAGACATCCATGACATATCACATCTCAATGAATTTACTCCTTGTTATGAAACAGTATATTTATGATGCTTTAACCCTTAAACTCCCATGAGTGACCAAGACAGAATTTCTCCTTACAATATCCATACAATATCAACCAGATAAGTAATGAGAATAAAGAAAAATATCCTTTTGAGGATAATTAGTCGATCAATACTAAATTCTCTGAACTAACACTATAGGAATTGTATGGTTGACAGTAAGGAGAATTACAAATTTGATTTGGGAGTTAAAGGGTTAATTGTATAAGCAACCTCAAACTCATTGCAGGATAAGTGACACAGCTGTATTTAGAACCTGAGCTTTGCTCGGAATTCAAATCTTCTTTACATGCATTAAAAACTGGACAAAATGTTTGACCATCGAAGGAGTCAGGCAATCCTACATTTGACCTCACAATATCTATTGGCCCTCCCATCACTTCCAACCTATATTATTTAATGGATGGGTTCCATTAGATAATATTTAATATGCTACTTATAATTAATGTTAAACTTCATCTATGAACTATTTAACATATGTGTACAATGACAGATAAGTAGATATCCTAAATAGCTCTTATGCATGGTGACCCCATTTACTGCAAATTCACCCTAAGTTTCCTTTGTGTACTAAAATTTTCATAAGTCTTTGTTAATTTCTTGCTGTTTTCATGAAGGTATATATTCTTTTGATTTCAGTGTTTTGGGAATACTTTATGGTTTACAAATAAAAGCTCCACACCTTGAAAGTGATGAGGCTTTGGGGTGAAATTGCATATTGTGATGTAAACATGCATAAGGCCTTTAATTATGATAAGAGACTTTAAGCATAGGTGACTGATATATAATAACCTCCTAGTAATTTTGTTAAGCTCATGGATCTAGATTTTTCACCAAAACAGGTAGAATTTCTTGTTACAAGCATTCACTACTCTGTGAAAAGAACCATTTGGTTACCAATCCAATTTAATCTTAACAATTACTTGAATTCTATTTAATGTGTGCGTGTTAACAAAATCAATAAACTGACTCATACTTTTTACAAACTGTTTTTTATAAAATGTGTGAAACAGGTTCTGACCATAGTTGCAATAAGTAAAGGTGGTTCTGAACCTACTGAAAGATAAGTCTAGTTATGTGGACTGGAATAGAATAATTCAAGACATTATATTAAAGCCTGAATATACATCAGCTAACAAGAGTGATAGTTTGATATAGCAACAAGTTTTTCTCATACATTTTGGAGAAATCTACAGTAACTAAAAGCTAAGGGCAGAGATGCCTGTTGGCGGAGATCTAAAATATAAAGGTTTTTCTGTTGCGCCACCACAGAGATGCCAACTTCTGGAGATCTCAAATCTGGAGACTTTTTTTCAGACCAGCATCTCCCCCCCCGACGGAGTTGACAAATGGGCCCCCCCCCCCTGAAAATTTTCCTTTCAATCTGGACCCCTACTCCCCCCTTCATTGAGCAATTTTCGTGGATCTATCTGTCAGGGACTTTAATTGGTTGAATACTTATCCAATCAAACTCTCACTTATATAGGAGTAACAAAGAAGAAACTTTTTCTTTTCTGTTTGCAAAGAACAATGTGCATCACGCAAGAAAATGAAGCCAGAGACCATAATACAAGCATAAGAAGCCTGATGATTTTGGATGTTTTGGAACATATGGAGCTTTAATCTTAGTTTATTGTGGGCAACTAATGTAAGCTTCCTTTTATCTGGGAGTTTTGGTCACTTGTACAGGAGAGCAGGGGATTGGCTCTGTATCCAGGAGATTCCTGGATAATCTGGGAGAGTCGGCATATATGCCACCATATCATCAACTCAACACCATCCTCTGAACCAAGAAATTGATTTCTCCATGATCAAATTGACCTCCCATCCCAAAAATCCAGTAGCACCCTTCAAATTTTACCTCCAACCTCACAGCTGGAAAAGGGAATATAAAATTATAAAGCAGAAAATGATGACATATCGATGATAATGACCAGGAGATTTTTTTCTGTGGCCTGGAGACTCCTAGATAATCCAGGAGAGTTGACATGAATGTTAAGGGAAAAATAAAAATGAAATGTTAAGAGTTCAAGGGTTAACAGGTAGGCAGGAAGATCACAGATCCGAATTTGTATGGCCCTTATATGAAGAGGCTTATATTGCAGCCAATCATCTGTAGTAAGGGCTGGGTTGTACTCATCCATTGACCTTGTATTTTCAATCTTGTGGGGTAGTGAAGAAAGGATCCATTGAACTGACCATGACAATGTTCACGAGGTTAAAAACTATACCTTTTTGGATGTGGGGGATAATTTTACAAATATACATTGCTGTGAGCAGAAATAAATGAACGTAATAAAATAAGCTAGTTTGTTGTACTTATGTTTTGCTGCAGGGTGGAGTCAACCTCTCTTGTCTTTAGGGTTTTCAGGAATTAACTCATAGCAGCTCTGAATTTGCCTTGAAATCTTTTCAGTCTTTTTCCAATATCCTTTTGCTTAAATTTCTGGGGCAGATCCAAGAATTTCTGAAAGGGGGGGTTGTACACTATTTAAGTAACCTTTAACGCCAATGGTGTGGAAGGCGAGTGACGGCCCCGTGCCTCTGGCGCGAGCTCTTAAGGAGTCCGGAGCCATGCTCTTCCCCCCCAAAAAAAAAAAAAAGTTTCCAATTTTTCCCTCTAAAGCGCCATTTACAGAATTCCTGAGACTTGAAAAGCGTTGTGAAGGCATGATATGAAATTTGGAGTTTATCTTATTTTTCAGCAAGAAACCCAAAAATAAAAGTGCATGATTGAAAGGGACAGCAGTATCAAAAATAGTTATTTGTGATTTCTCTACATACTTCGTTAATCAAACAACGTAGCCTGAAAAAGTCTCCTAGGATGAGCTTTTACAAAGGCCTCGCACATCTCGTCTACCTCGAACCTCTCAGGGTAGTGCACAGCAATAATAGCGAGATCTGGAAAGCGCTCTTCACACATCGCTGATCTGGTGCACGTCTTGATCCGTTTCATGAGCGAAAAGGACCGCTCAGCTTCCGCACTACTGATTGTTTGGGTGCACGACGCTCTCCTCCTTTTCTGTCGAGAGGGTAAAAGTATGGGCTGCCTGTGGCGCTCTGCGGCCTTGAGTCGGAGAATACCATTGGTCAGTGGTATACCGCATAATTCTAAGGCCGCAATGACATCACGGTCAATAATATTTCTGAATGCTGTAGGTTGCAACAGATTGCGAAGTTTATCACGAATTGAACGAGAACTTTATGCGTGATTTTAGGTTTAAAGAGTTTTGTTAGCCGTATAATGCCGTTATTTTCTAGTTCCTCACCCTTTGATCAAGATGTTGGTAAGATTCAACGCATTATTAGTGCTTCTCTTGTTAAGCAAAACACAAACGAATGTCGATTAATCTCCTCTCTACAGAGAAAGCCACTAGTGAACTCAACACAACAGATGACTGGCAGCTTATTATGGAAATATGCGATCGTATTCCACGTTCACCGAGTGGGTAAGGAGATGTTTTTCCTCCCAAATTTCTGTCATACAGTTTGTCGCCGATCTTAAATAAGTAAACGTTTTGTGTGTCGAAGATATTAAGTCATCTGACTATTAACAGTAAGTTATTCATTTGACATCCTGGCACGATTATGTTATTTCCGTATTTCGATTAAGGTATTATATGGAATAATCTTCTTAAAAAGGTAAATACTAGCATTGTAAGGCAGTTTGAGACCGTTACTACAGATTCATATAAAGTCATATGTTGAGTTGTACGGGCATAAAATGCGTTTATTAAATACGTGAATGCCATTGTATACATATTCATTGTTTGCTCAACACAACTCATACTAATGTACACTTCCTTGTCATGTCTTCAACAGCAGGTGATGTCATAATGACATAATGTTGATGTCATAGTTTCATTATACATAATTTGTGGCCACAGTTCTCAATAACAAAAATAAATTAATAACCAAAATAATAGAAATAAAAAAATTGAAGGCAAATAATTTCACCATATGGCATGTAGTACACCTGTATAATTGGTCTGGCTCTATAGAAAGTAGATTGGACAACTGCAAAGTCAGAAGTTTCAAGGTTTGAATGTTTCAAAGGGCTTTCACTTTTGTCCTTTTGTTGTGACAGATGTTGAACATCTCCAATACAGATGTTGAACATCTCCAATACAGATGTACTTCCTGCCATGATTGTTTTCAAAGAATGTTTTATAAATTTGATGTTGTGGTAGTTTTAAGCTGAAATTTACATTGTGATTCAGGTTTTTTGCTGAACCAATTTTTTGGTACTGTAGTCAGTCACAGTTGAAGTTTGATTAAGATGTGATTCAATTCTTATTTTTTTCTGAAATAATGAAAAAGTAGGAAGTAACCATTTACTTAATCTATTTCCTGAAAAGATAATTTGGTATTATCAACTAAGTTGATAACATAAATAGGTATTAGCCCTTTGTAAGGGTGACAGGCTAATGCTCAAAACGTCAGCTTTGTAACTCTTAATGGTGGCTAATTTATGTTATCAACTCAGTTGATAATACCAAATTACCTTGGTATACTTTCCCACCAATGCAAGTTACATCATCAACTCAGTTGATAATACCAAATTACCTTGTTATACTCTCCCACGAATGCAAGTTACATCATCAACTCAAATTGCCTTGTTATAATCTCACCAATGCAAATTACATCATCAACTCAGTTGATAATACCAAATTACCTTGTTATACTCTCCCATGAATGCAAGTTACATCATCAACTTAGGTGTTAATACCAAATTACCTTGTTATACTTTCCCACCAATGCAAGTTACATCATCAACTTAGGTGGTAATACCAAATTACCTTGTTATACTCTCCCACGAATGCAAGTTACATCATCAACTCAGGTGGTAATACCAAATTACTTTGTTATACTCTCTCACCAATGCAAGTTACATCATCAACTCAGTTGATAATACCAAATTACCTTGTTATACTTTCCCACCAATGCAATTTACATCATCAACCCGGGTGGTAATACCAAATTGCCTTGTTATACTCTCTCACCAATGCAAGTTACATCATCAACTCAGTTGATAATACCAAATTACCTTGTTATACTCTCCCATGAATGCAAGTTACATCATCAACTTAGGTGTTAATACCAAATTACCTTGTTATACTTTCCCACCAATGCAAGTTACATCATCAACTTAGGTGGTAATACCAAATTACCTTGTTATACTCTCCCACCAATGCAAGTTACATCATCAACCCGGGTGGTAATACCAAATTACCTTGTTATACTCTCCGACTGACTCAGCACTACAGTTTCTTTAGAAACTTACCCCCTTTATTTCCTGAAAAGTGGATCAAGCCAGTTGATAAATTATATGCAGGAGATGTTGTTTCTAATGCAGGGTCTCAGAGCAAGAGACAAAATTAATCAGCTTACAAAAATTGGAAATTACAAGAGAACTCTCCTGTCTTCTTGCCTTCAGTTTTCATTAATTTGTTTGGAGAAGTCATTTTACTACTAGGCATTGGAGAGGGATTGCCTGTTGTTTAGGCTGCTGACTACCAATAGGACGAGACAAAATACTAGAAAATTGGCTAACTTGAGTCAAAATGTTGACATCTAATGTAGTAATCATCTTTCCTTTTGATTGCTACCCCACAGACCTAAAGATGCATTGCGATCGATAATGAAGAGAGTCAACCATAGGGTTCCCCATGTTGCTATGCAGGCCTTGACTGTAAGTAGAAATATTTCATTTGTTTCTGATAATTTTTATCAGTTTGGAATAATTAAGGAAAGAGATACTTAATTCCTAAAGAGCATAAGGGATGTCATATAGGAGAGCCAAATAGTTGCCCATTTACACCAACTTTGTAACTAAGTCAATTAGGATCTTATCATTTGGCAGTTGTTCCTTTCAGTTTGATCAGATTGTTTTTTGCAAGTCCTGCTTGTGTTATTGTGTACAGCCTCTATATAGTTCTCAAATTTTCAGATGATGTTTTTAAATTGGTAAAAATTTTTTGCCTTACATTTTAGCTTTTGTCAGCGTGTGTAAATAACTGCGATAAAGTATTCCACTTGGAGGTGTGTTCAAGAGATTTTGTCAATGAAGCAAAAAATATAATTTCCAGGGTAAGTTCGGAAACCAAAGTAGGTAAAGCAATATTGTCCAGATGCAAAAGTGGATACTAAACCACAATGATTGTGCATGCATCCTTATTTTTGTTCTTTTAAGGTGCATGTTTTTGATGTAAACGAGTTGTGTATCTTTTAATGCCCACAAAATTATGCCACTTGATGATAAGGCTTGCTATGGACCTTGAATTGTTAATTATTGAATGAATAAATTAAATTTTTCCATATAATAATTTATTCTTATCTAAATGTCAGTGAGTGACCAAGACGGAATTTCTCTTTACAATATCAATACAATATCACCAGATAAGTGATGAGAATTAAGGAAAATATCAATTTGGGGATAATTAGTTGATTCAATACTAAATTCTCTGAACTAACATGATAAGAACTGTATGGTTGATAGAAAGGAGAATTACAAATTTGATCTGGGATTTAAAGGGTTAAAAGTGGTTTTAGCATTTTATTTGTCACCTTTTGTCTAATTTTACTGTCATTACTGCCATTGGCTCTGACAAAGGGCCAATGCTTTAAACATCTGCTTTGAAACTCTTTACAGTGGCCAATTTATGTTATGATTCAACTTGTTGATAATACTAAATTTCCGTGTTAAACTCTCCCACTGATACAACACCACAGTTTTTTATAGAAACTTACCTGCTTTATCCATTTCCTGTCATTACATATATACAGGGACATCCCAGAGTAACAGAAAAATTGAAAAGTCTGATAAAAGAATGGGCAGTTAGCTTCAAGGATGACCCACAGTTAAGGTAATGATTGTATTGATTAAGTAAGTGTGCTGAGATCCTGGGCTGAGTTGTTCAAAGCAAGATTGACTAAAGCTGACTGAGGGTTTCCAAAAAATTTTTAATTAAGTTCTGTTGCTTTGCAGACAGTTTAAAGAATTTATATTTTTTGCCTTCAGTTTTGTTAATATACACTATTGTAAAACCCCTCAAAATGTAAGCCCTAATATATCCTAAATCTAAAGAGGAATCAAGGATAAACTGATTTCTTAATCCAGGATTACTGCTAACCGCCTTTTGAAAAACCAGCCCCTGGTGGAGAAGTCCAGGTTTAAGGACTTGGCTGGGTCAGAATTTTGTGTTCTTGGTCAGGACACTCAATAACCCTTCAACTCAGGCCAAGATCTGATTGTTAATTTGTTAATTCTTTCTTCTGGCTGCTGCACATTTCTTTGTAAATGAGAAATGCACATTTGGTTTTCAATTAAGGAAAGAATTTCTACCTGAGAAGTTGAGCATTATTTTTAGCTGTTTGCTGGGTAATATACATTGTTAGGATAGTGTGGGGAGAGGTGACATGTTAATCACTGCATGAGAATAAAGGAAATCATCAAGAAGCTTAAGTGACCATAAAAAAGAAGCAGAGGGGAGGGGGTGAGGCAGTGGAAGGTTAGGAGTTCGGGAATTGTCCAGTTTCAAATGCTCTCTGTTATGATTTCAGTTTAATACCGTCACTTTATAAAGAACTTAAAGCTGAAGGGATTGAGTTTTCTGATAGTTCCAAGGTTTGTGTATTTAAATTTTTGTGGAAAATTTTTGCTTTATGATTTATTTTGCACTTGAGATCATCTCTGTTTTGTTAAAAAGGCTTTTGAGTTGAATTAAGTTTTAGCATAAGGTACTAAGAAAAATTTAACACGCTCTAGGATTCAAGTTTAAGCTCAGCTGGCTATACAACGCGTTCATCTGCATCATCATCATCATCAACTGCCTCCCCACAACAGGAAGATGAAGATTTAGCAAAAGGTAGGTATGCATCTGCAGCAGAAGATAGAAATTTATGGTGCTGTTTTGCACTAGCCAGTATTTATTAATGCGTTGATCAATTTGAAGCATCAACCTCCCCTCCCTGGCAACCCCTCCTTCCCACCCCACCTTTTTACTCCTGAGATCTCAGTGTTAACTCTTCCCACTTTATGCCCTACAATTCTCACAATATTAGCTCTGAGAATATGCAAGTACCGGTACTCAAACAAAAGGTTGTATTATAAAAGAGTAAAAACAACTGTAAATATTTTTTATTTTTTTACAGCAATTGAGTTGTCCCTTCAAGAAGCAGAAGCAGGCAAGGTACTGAATAAAACATACTGAATTGAAAATAGTTTGAAATTATGTTTAACTTAGTTATGGTTATCTGTATATTTCCCAAACTGCTTTGTATTAACTTTGGTTGAATTTAGTTCTCCCAATTTTTAGGTAGGTGAAAACTGTTCCAGCAGCAAAACTAACCAGCTAATTAACACTAGTTGATTTGCTACCACTGTCTGTACTTTAAGTTTATTACTTTATGCTAAATATTTTTTAAAAGTTTGATGTGATAAGATTTAATTTATAAATCAATGATGTTTTCAACATTCTTCTTTTTTCCTGCAGCCAAAAGTGTCTAGTTTGTATCCGAGCTTTAGTTCACTTTCACCAGCGCCTTCAAGAAGAGTAAGCATTTCTTTTATTTCCCTTCCCAATGGTTGCCTTATTATAGTGCATTGCCCTTGTCGGAATAACAGGGTTCCCAACATGTTTGCTGTGTAAGATCGATTTGATAAACATGAATCTCGTGGTTTTCATGGCGTTACCACATGAGAGAGTGTGTATACATGTTGTATGTCACGCGCTTGTACCGTACGGACGTGATTTCAGCACTTAACTCTTTGACCCGATAGAGTTACTAGCATCTTCAAGTAGTTTCTCCTTAAAATATCACCCCTGAATAACATACATAACGTTACGAGAATTAAGGAAATGATCACCATTTCAAGAAATTCTTGATTGTTTAATAAAGTCTCTTAGTTAGCTCTGTAGGAAATGTGTAAAGAACAGTACGGAGAATGTGCTTACTGATGTTAGGGTGTAGGGGGCTATAGGAAATTGGACTGAGTAGTAAAAATATTGGCTAAATATCAGAAGAGAGAACTTAGGTACAACTTGACCGGTAAACAGCTACAATTTTGAATGTTGGCTTTGGACTGTTTGATAATTTATTATAGTGAGCAAAATGTTTTTTTTACTTTGAATAACAAGTTAATGCCTGATTTTCTGCTAGTTTTGGCGATTGGAATAGGAGAAAGGAGATTTATAATAACAGTTTATTTTCCTCTCTTTTTAATACTTTTGTTCGTTTACACATGTCAAATATCCTTGATTTTGCTGATAGTATTGTTGCTCTTCCAAATCCAGTTTTCGAGCTTTCGTATCTGAGTTAACGATTCACAAAAAAATTACCTTAAGTCCTGAGGTCGTATAGTTTGCCGTCACCTGACGGTAACGATCGCATGACTTGACATGTGACTTTTTTCTCCGACAGGTCGAGACGAAACAAGTGCGAGCGTTGTACGATTTTGAAGCAGTTGAAGACAATGAACTTACGTTCAAGACAGGAGAGATTATCTCCGTTCTTGATGACAGGTATATTATTTGAAAAAGAAAGGTTTGTTATGCTTTTTTGGATAAGGGAAATGTTATACATTGGTCACAACCACTCTTGGCTAATGCTGAAGACCTCATTGTTTTTCCACGTATAAAATGCTTTCGAAATTGCTGGTATTTGTAGAATGCAGGTCGCTTTTCAAATACGATAAAACTCTTATGGAGCCTTGGCCGGCTACCGGCTCAGACTTTTTTTAAGCTTGTGAAACGTCTGTGAAATTTTTCTTTACGAACAGAAGCTGCGTTGATTATAGAACATTTTAGCCTTCAATGCTCTCAAATCCCACTGTCTGTTCATGAAAAAATGATGTGTAAGCCATAAGTCCTTTTTGTTTGAAAAAAATTAAGCTTCAAGAGAGCCTTGACAATTTATTTTTTTCTTTTAGTGATGTCAACTGGTGGAAGGGAGAGACACATCGTGGAGTTGGACTTTTCCTTCAAATTTTGTAACATCAGACTTGTCAGAACCCGAGAGTCGTAAGTTTTCATTCTGCGCTGTTTACATCGTTTCCTTCAATGTGAAGCGATCTGTGATGGCATTGAATTCCTCATCTTGCAGTTCGCGTTTTCTTCCCTCTCACCCCACCTCTAAAGGGTATCTCTCTATTGCCTAACCCAGGGTGGGTAGGAATGCGATTATGGGAGAGAGATTTCTCCAGTCTAGGGTCACTGTATGTGTTGTATTTAAGAACAAGGTATTTTCCTTTCCATCGAAAAATCTTACTTCTATTGCGGTTGAGGCAAAGTTTGCGCTATATGTGAAAAAACTGTAGCTCCTTTAGCTTCAAAATTCAATTTAGCGTTCTTTCCCTTTCGTGTTTCCCCTGTCTCTGTGGCATAAAGCGTATAGGAGTATTGAATGAATGGCATGGCAGTCCTTCACAGCTTTACCCCCCTCCTCCCCCCATCAATTCCTTCAGCATTTCGTTGGCTTTTCCTGAACAATTCACTTTGTGGCACCCAATAATATTGGGGGGGGGGAAGAGGTAAAGTGCGTGTTTCACGCCTTCTAGAGAGTCGGTCCGATGTTTATTTGCTTTCACCAACAGCCAAGATAGACAAGAAAAAAGTCCGGTGGGCTGATGAATCGAGGCAACAAGCGGCTTCAGAAGGTAACGATAAAGTTAACAACAACGTCTGTGAGCCTCAAGAATAACTATTTCTAAACTTTCTTTTCTGATTATGTTGCGTTTTTGTTTGCTTTTTCTACTACGCTGTACTAATCAATTGGCGAACTCAGCATCTAGGATTAAAACTCTTCCTCTGCTTTTTAGTTTCTTCAGTCCCCGTCAGAACAGAGATCAGCGAGGTAAGGATTGAACCGAGAACATAACCAACAGCAACGACCACGACAATAACTTAATTTCCTTTTTTTAAATTGTTGTTAAGCTCTACTTAAACCTGTTTAGTTATGATGAGCTTCTGAAAATTAAACAGCGAAATTAACGTAACTCTTATTGTTTCTTTAATTTTTGTTCGTATTTAATAAAGGGCTTCTTTGCGATTATCGCGAGAATTGTTGAATAATCGATCGTTTGTTGTTTATATGAAGGAAAAGATCGACCTCTGCACAAACATGTTAAAAGGAGCTAATATTGAAGGAGAAGACGAAAGGGAGGATACGATTCAAGACATGGAGGGTTTGTTCATGTTTTTGTCCTAATTAAAATTAAAACAAAATTCTCGAACGTGATTGGTTATCACCTGCCCGATTTGAGCACTCATAGGACTGTGTATGCGTCATGCTTGTAACTGGACAGTGTAATAGGACAGTTGACACATCACGCCTGTGTAAATGGACAGTACGCGTCATGAGCGTGCACTGTTGTCGTGCATTTCGCTAAGTTAACTGTTTCTTCTTTTTTTTAATGGAAACTCGTAATCGACAAATCCGACTCCCGCTTCGCGGTTGTCCGATTTTGTTAATCACTCGTGTGATTAAAGACCAAATAGGACTAGGACTCCACTCTGTTCTATTACCATTATTAATTTGGTAAAGGGCAATCAAAAAAAAATTGCAGTGATATCAGACCGAAGGTTCGTGATATTTGACAATCGCAAAATGGAGTTTAATCCAAGTCTTCTGGATGTAATTTGTACTTTAGATGTAGTAGATCCTCGCAGTGTACAGGAACGTGATCACATGTGAATCTCGCTTACTTTCCTATTTTACAGATGAATGTAACCGCATGGAACCACTTATCAAAGAAAAGATCGACGAGAGTGAAAGGTAAATTAGATTTATTCTAAAAATCTTTCAACCCATTTACTTCCAAGATCTTATTAGTAATTCTCCTTACTGCCTGCCACACAAATCTTATGATT